ACCGAATAAAAATAACATAAAAAATAAAATTAAAATGTCAATGAATAGCTCAAAAATGGCACAAATGTTTTGAAAATTTTACCATGTCTAGAAAAGGCAAATATAAGTTTTAAATTCAAATTTCAAGTCTCTATTAATATTTTTTTACTGAATCACAACAATAACAAAAATTAAATATAATACATCTAGTAAATTTACCCAATTTCCTATGTTTTTCACAAATATTATAAAAACTGCATGGAAAACCAAAAAATGACCTCCTATGGTACCTCCCCAGTCAGATTTTCTTTCAGAAAAAGTTCTATCATTGTAAATCAGAACAAAATTGCTGGAATAAAAATTGTCCAGAGAAAAAACTTAAAATTAAAAAAAAAACATCATTGTAAAAACAATACACTTCTCGCTTCACTCAAAATTTAAAATATTATATTATTCGTATACAGAGAATATACATTTAAGCAGATATACCAATTTATGTTAAACAATAAAGTTGTATATCAGCTAAACATGTGTATTGTTTAAACACTAACAAATAAGACAATATTGTACCAATATTATAGGTTAGTGTTTATTCATGACTGTACGTATTTAAAATGTAAACAACAATTGAAAATATCTATAGTATTCGGACACGATATATATTAATATCAAGACTAATTATTATAATTTGTATAATTAGCGTGCCATGCATATTGGTAGCAGAATAGAACTCATATATAGAATAAAAAATAATACAAATCAAGCATCATTGCAAACGCAATGATGAACTCATAACATTGAAAATTATTCAAAGACTGTTATAAATACAGCAAAATTTAATTTTAACTTAATTGAGACAATTTGTTTTGCTTATTTATTATAATTACTACCTATTGGAGATAACAATATTGTTAGCGTCATCAATACAAAAATAATAAGTATGTTGGTATGTAGTTTATTGAATATCTGCTGTTTATTACGATTTTTTATGAATTCACAATATTATATTATACGAGGTATAGATAAAAATATTATATTATTATTATAGACGTATCACTTGTGCAATACCAAGATGATTGTAATTTATTTTTTCATAGATTTTTAATATTATACAGTTTTTAAAATATAAAATTTATAAATTTGAAAAATTAGATAAAAGATTTAGGTTTATTAGTAGTAAGTAGCAAAAGATTAAATTTAAGTTATATTCATTAAAGAATACTGGGTAAAAATGCCTTGATTTGGTAAATATTTATTGTAAGAATTTAATTATTTTAGAATGTTTGATAACTGTAGTAATTATCCAAATACTAATTTATATATTAAAATACTAACAGCTGCCACCAGACAGAATGGTTTTAAACTCACTAACAGTCATAATTTAACTAGGAAATTCCATACTAAAGAAGTAGAGTATTTGTAATTTTTGTATTGTTCAAATCTAAACTGAGTTTCATTCTGACATTATAATTTGTTCACTAATTATTTAACACAACTGTAAAAATAAAATGGTAAATACAAATCTGTTGTCGATTGTATACATACATTTTTTTTTATACTTCGATAAGCATATTTTTTAAATATTTTTCTACTCTAGATTACCATAAATATTATTTAATACAGAATGTATCATATTATGACCTAGTTTATATTATATTTTCTGATGTTCCATTTATATTTCCTTGAATCTGAATGATTTTATATGTATCGATTTTAAAAATAATATTAGTTAAAACAAAATGCTTAGGTACTTACGAAAATAAAAAAAAAATGATACATTGTTTGCATAGGGTCGATAAACCAAGAAGTGATAAAAAATAAATAATATTTAACATTAATGAATTATTATTACTGTTAACAAAATAATTCAGACTTCAGTTGGTAATTTGATTACAAGTGAAAACAGGCCTAATTCAATTCCGAACACATAATAAATTAAACAGACTTTGTATTAGCACACTTTGAGAAACAACAGATACCACCATCCAAAGTGAAAAAGTATATAGTTAGGCTTAGGATGATTCAAACAGGAATGAATACACCATTGCCTTAATGGATTTGATCAGCATTGTACCAAAAATGTATTTGAAAATATAATAAACATGAAATAATATAACTTAAGATAAACGGCTGTATGTACATTTTGTATTATAGTAAACATTTTAAATCATAATGACTATACAATAATAGCGATTCGTTACACTAAACAGATGATTCTCCCTTAATTCGTCAATTATTAACAACCCTCTGAGTATAGCCATATAAATATCTATTGACATAGTAGATTTGGTGGCAAAACAATTAGAAAACCTACTTGTGTTTATTGTAACAATTCATCAATACCTACACATCCTCATATCTGCTCCTTACATTTTGAGCAACAAACTTCAAGCAATATACCAATATAAGTGATTATTTTCATATTCACATAGTAAAAAATCAAGTAGAAAAAAAAAATTAAGTAGTTGCAAATAACTGAATAAAGAAAATAATCTCGTGCAATAGGTAGCTGCTGGTCAATATTAAATTTAATATATCTTTATATTAGTATGCATATATTGCGACGATGACCATATAATAAACACACATACACACATAGAACGATATACACATGTATTTGTCAACAGACAAACCGCCTTGCATCTGTAGTATACATACTACACAGTAACAATATTATTTCACACCATATACACATATATATATATATATACCCCTATTATATTTGACTGTTCACTCCTCAAATCCACACTCCTCCACACTACACAATTCTGCCTTCCCCATTTACTTTATTATTTTTACTAGTAATTTTTATTCTACTACAATATGATATTGAAATTTATAACTATTAGTGTTGTATAAAAAACAAATTTTGTAAAGAGGGCAATTGCCAAATAGTTAGAGATATTCATATTGACAACCAAAAAATATATTATGGACCACTATTAATACTATTTTAAAAATAATACATGGTAAAAAATAAGATAATGCAAAATGTTGACATTTATTTGTATGATTTGATAATATTATTGGCAGAGACTTATTTATTGATACTTTCCAAAGAAATTGGCATTGATAGGATAATAATTAATTTTGCAAATGCAAATAGAATATGTAATAATGATATATAAATCACAATTTTTTGTATTTTTATTATATTAAAAAAAAAAAATTAAATGATAAGTTTGAAACTAAACATCAAAAAAAAATTATAATAAATATTACTTTTAAAAATAAAATAGTAGTAGTAAAATTATGTTTTCACCTAAAAATTATCTAAAAATGTACATATCACGAACATAACAATATTTATTTACTCGAAAAAAAACATAAATTTATATAATATATATATATATTACATAATTATTTTGTACATCACAAGCAATTATTTTATATAATATTTTGTGTATTGTAAATAAATGAACGCATTGCTTAAACGAGTTGAAGCTTATGATTTTAAGGTCTAAAATCAGATTTGTTTTCAAAAGGCGGTAAATAATTATCAACCATAGGGTTACGCTACATGCTAGTCATACTAGGTTAAAATATTAAACCCTTAATCACAGAACACTTGGATAAAATTACTTATTAACTGTTTATGAATTATGAATTATGAATATGAATAAAATTGTTCGACTGTAAATGAATTCAATTGCTAAGAAAATAACTTCGTAAAAACTGAATACCATATTATTAGATTAGTCATGGAATAAAACATACACACAATTTCATTTATCAATGATTAATTGTTTTGTTTAAAAATTACCCCTTAATAAAGAAATTTAATCAAAATAATAATTATAATATATAAATTAATTTGACTATTGCTTATAAAACACTTAAATCAATAATACAAAAAAAAAAAAATATATATATATTTATAATTTTTATTTGAGATATAAATTATAAATAACAATGTTTAACACAATATTACATAAAATAAAACTGTAAAATGCATAAATCCAACTGTTTTATGAAATTTAAAAAAATAATAAAAATATAAAGTACATATTTAGATTGAATTCAACAGAGTAGTAATCTCACCCAAGTTAAAAAAATTTCCAGGGTAACAAAAATAATAATTATTTAAATTAAATAAATAATATAATAATTGTATTAAACCAATTGAACAAACAAAGTGCTTGAAACACAGAAAGAAAATATTTTAATCTAAAAAAAAACTTAAGCTCTTTATGGGCAGTTGTAGGAAAAAGTAAGTGAGGTATAAATTGATGTGTTCCTGAACCAAAACTTAATTGAAATTAACATAAACAGATTTACATATATTTGTTTTTTAATATAAAAGTTAATCGAAACAGTAATTTATTTTATTATTTACAGGAACTAATGTAGGGCATTTTTTTATATATAAATATGTTATAAAAAAAAATTACTACTTAGGTAACTTAAGTATTATTATTTTGACATAAACAAATAATTTTTTTTGTTTAATAAGCAAACCAATAAAATAAAATAAATACTCCTGAATCATATTTTATTTGAACAAAAGAATGTGTATGTACTTTACTTGATATATTATATATGTATATACTATATATACATATGTGTATAAATATATGTATATATGTACACATATATATGGGTGTAAATATATATATATTTTTTTATTTTACAAATAAAAAAGCAATAAAAGAACATTGTACTGTCTTACTGTCTAGTGTCAAGACTAGTGTCAACAATTGAAGCATCTTGACTTCGTTTTTAATAAGTCGTTGACGGAATGCACAGGTGACCGAATGCTAACAGTCTATAATTTGTTATTTTAGTATATGTTTTCCTCTTTAATAAATATAAGTATATTGTAGCCTATCACTTTAATTACAAAAAAAAAGAAGAGATGTTTCAAAATTAAATACAAAATAATATTTAATAAATTGGATAATGCAATCTCACGTAATGGTCGGAACGGGAACATTTAGGGCACTGTCACGCGAGTTAGAGTGCGAGGTGGCGCGTAACAGCGTGACAGCTTCTCGTTCAGAGCTGCATTTGACCACCGTTAGTCACTTAGGTCGAGGAGTTTTCTTCTTTTTACGTTTAAAAAAACAACAACACCTATAAGCAGCATAAGATTTAATTTAGGAAAAAAATATTAAATAGGTATAATTGCTTCTTTAATTTCATACTTAGTATCGTCGACAATTTCTGTTTCAGCTTGTGCTGTAATAGGAGTATTGGAATGGCCAGCAGTTGGATCATCATTAGCCAATTCACCATTAGTCGAGCTTACCACCTATTATTAGTAAAGTATAAAATGTAAATATTATGTTTCTTAAACATGTGTTTTATCATGGTTACTATGACAAATTACCTGAACACTTCCATGACGATCAGCAGGGGTTAAGTTACCTAATGTATGACCTGGAAGCTTGGATCCATCTTGCCAACCTTTTATTCCAGACTGAAAATAGTAAAATGCAATTTCATAAAACTTAAATGCTTAATAATGTGAGTTTATAATTTTCAAACAAAGGTGAAAGTTTTTATATCAATACAAATAAAATGTATACAGGAATAGATCTACTGGTATTAAATATATATCATATAATGTATGATGTTCGTGTATAAATATATTTATGACTTGTACTATGTACATTTGGATTTACAGGATATAATAATAAATATTATAACAGTCTTTAATGAAATCAATACCTTATTGATTAATAATACACTATCATCATTATCATCACTGTAGATTGACATTTCGTCATTGTCCTTGCACATTAATAATAATAATACAACATAATTTTATTAACAATACAAAAAAAAAAAAAAACGTTATTTAAGAATACTACAAGGTCATTTGTGAAAATAATTTTACCTTATTACTTGTGACTTGTCGTTCTCTGTTTGGTGATAAAATGACTTCTTGACTGGATTGTATAGAGCCAACTAATGTACACTAAAAATAAATATTTGTTATGTAATATAATATAATTATTGTACAGAACAAAGAAATGCTTCTAATATGTAAAATTAATAAATAATAAATAATAATACCAAATAACTAGTGCATAATGCCCACTATAAATGTTATCCATGCAACTTACTAGATCACTTTGAGATGTTTGAGGACTTTCAGTGGATAGGTTGCGTATAACGCGCAGTATGTTAAAAAAGCCACGTTTCTGATTATATAGCATAAGATAGCATAAAAAAAATCATGCAGCATGCACAGAAAAAAAAAGTAAAAAGAACCAAAATTATTAAATTGACAGAAAATAATAATTTCTTAGATAAATAAAGTAAACATGCACAACATCTTAGTTAAAAATAGCAAAAATGAGCACAAAATACATAATACAACTAGTTGTAAAATTAAGTTTTAAATGTATTGGAAGCATTAAGTTTAATTAATATATTTATAATGTTAATTTTTGGTTTTAAATAACGATATATTTTAATAAAATTAAAATAAATATTATGATAATTACTTTAGTAAATAAATAATACAAAATACTAATACTTATTGCACATTTGTTTTAACTAATGAACATAAATCATTTTATGGTTAAATTAAGCAAACAATTTACACATAATGTAGTTAAATTTAAATAATTGTTTATTGTTTATGTATACTCAATACATATTAACAATTGACTGGCAAATTAATTAAGAACAACACAAGTCAACATTTGAATATAAATTATTTATCAGATTCTATTATAAATAAATGGGGAGAAGGAAAAAAAGATATGTACGCGCATACTTATAAAAACAAATTATATATTTATTTTCACTATAGAAACTATTAAACCATAAATATGTTAACATTACTGTAAAAACAATATCAGTCAATAACTTTTATACTTCTGCTGTCATTTAGTTTCACTGTTTGACTTGTATTGTTCAAGGAAATTGGTTCAAATATACTTAATCAAAATTCATTAAACATATTTGAGTTAGTTCATTAAAAATACTACTAAAAAAAGGCTTTAAAACATAGTTGCAAATTGATTGATTAATAATAAAACAAAAAACAAATTAATAAAAGAATATGCTATTTTATAATTCTATTATTTATAAAATGGTTAATTCATGTAAGAAAACTATAGTATAATTCATGTTATTTATTCTCATGTAACCTTAAATATTATATAAATGATTTTTAAGTAAAAAAAAAACATACCATAGTTTTTCCCGTCCAATCAAATTCTGAGTCATTGACATAACCTTTTTTCTCAAATAAATTTTTGAATAATGTACGCAAATATTCATAATCTGGCGTCTCAAAGAAATCCAACCGTCTAACGTAACGTAGATACTGGGCCATTTCCTCTAAAAACCATAGTTAAATAATTAAAACAATAATCGTTTGTAGACAATTTAAGACTCAAGTACATACCAGGGTATCCATCACACAAAACTTCTATAGGAGTGGCTCTTTTTGTATCACCTATTTTCTGATATCGTTCTTTTAGAGTATCAGCTTTTAAGCCTTGCCATGGTAATGAACCTCTTAAAAAGTACATAAACATATGTCCAAGTGCTTCTAAATCATCTCTTCGACTTTGTTCTATGATAACATAAAAAATGCACATTCTCAATATTAATTTGTAGATAAAATGTTTTCTAATAAATGCACTGTATTAAAACTACTGTTGGCATATACCACTATATAAAGTAATTTAATTTTAAATCTATGTTATAGCTAACCAAAATTTTTAATACACTACACATAAATATTTATCTTATAGAACATGACTAATTAAAATTAGTATAATTGTCAGTATACATTTATTTGAGTATACTGTCATTAAATGTATTAATTATGAAAATGAATAAATACCTTTTCCTAAATGTGTATTTATACTCATATATCTTGCAGTACCAGTTAAACTTTTATGTTCCCGGTATGGTATATGTTTATTTGTTTCTAAATCTATATATTCTTTAGCTAAACCAAAATCTGAAAATAAAACATTATTCGGATTAATTTTAGCATTAAAACAAAATAAATTAAAATTTTAAAATAAAATAGAGAACTTTTAATAAAAATACTTCACATTTCGAAAAAAATAAAATGTGCATTGTTAAAATTATTTCATATGTTGAAATTGTGCGCACAATAAAATATAATTAAAATAATATTATATGCTAATTCACTCTAGATAGAAAAATAATATTTTCTATAATATAACACAAATTTGAGTTTGACAATTTCCAAATTTCATTAGTAAAATATAATATAGTAATTAACCTATAATATGAATAGTTTTATCTTTTTTCGTTGATGTACGACCAATGAGGAAATTTTCTGGTTTAACATCTCTGTAAATAAGATGTCGACCATGAACATATTCTATCCTGTGCAACTAAAGAAAAAAAATCAATTAGATATACAATATTCAAAATGTTGTGGGTGGGACACAACTACATTTTATTAATTTTATAGGTACTATCACTAATACAAAATATTAAAATTACCAGTTGAGTGGCAATCATTAGAACAGTTTTGAGCGAAAATTCTCGTCCGCACATATCAAACAAATCCTCAAGACTAGGACCAAGGAGTTCCATTACTAAAGCATTATACTTGCCGCACGGACCAAAAAAAAATACTTCTGGTATGCCATCTGAGAAGAAAGCAGGAGCTTTGAAATTGAGCAAAAAAATATTCATATTAATAATAGTTAACAACAAGTGCATGTACATCAAAAATAATAAACACAAATATAATAAATAAATTATAATGTTTGAGAAATGGCAAAATACAAACAAATTTAAAATTAAGTATGTTCAAATTGTGAAAAACTTAATGTATTATTATTATTATTTACAGTGGTTGGAAGTAGTTCTCTACTTGTAGTATGCTACCTTTTTTAGTAGTGATACTGGTAACATATAGTTTTAGTTTCGTAAATAGGGTATAGCACGATTACTGTATATTTTATAAGAAAATAGCTCATTATTTGCTACTTTTCAACTAAAAAAAAATTGTGAATTTAATGAAATATCACGTAATTTGTAGTTATATTAGTTTTATTTTAATCTATAATAAAATAAAATATGTAACTATAGTTTCATTTTTTGTTATCAGAAACACCAAGTGTAAATAAATTATTGTTACATTATATTGTAAGAATCAACTAGAAGAGTACTGCATTTTATAATACTGGCAAAAATAGAAAAATTCCCATTAATAAATAGACATTTTAAGCTCCCTAAATATATACGAAAAAAAAGTATCAATGGATGTAGGAAATTCAATTTTTTATGGAAAATAACAATTTAAAATGTCGTTTAACTTATTTATTTGTAACCAGACAAAAATAAAATACCTGATAGGTATCCAATGTTGTAGGTGAGAAGTTGAAAAGATGGAATAATTAAATGATTACAGTATTACTGACGAAATAAGGTTCAGGACAAAGTTCTATTCAATATATTTTTAAATGACGTGATTTTTAAGATTTTCATGAAAATATAAACTTAATGCTTATAAAATAAATTATTAAAATGCTTAACTTTTTTTTTAAACAAGCATAGCTTAAGATGAACCTCATGTACAATGTTTAAACATTTTGGATTTGCCAAAAAATTATACTCACATATCTAAAAATAAATTTTAAAATGATATGCTATTCATAATTTCTGTTCAAATTTGAACTTTAAATGTGTGTAGTGTACCTACATTAAAAAACTACCTCTTTACATTAAACTTTTTTTTCTGGTTTTCTCAAATTATTATGAAAACTGGAAAATTATCTCCTCAAACCCCAATTAAATCTAAGGTGCTAGAAAAATTCTTGTTATCTTTTGATTGGAGCAAAATTCAGATTTCTATGATTATTTTTGATCGAATTGTAACACATTATTTTGAAAAGCAATATTTACGATTTTGTGAAAATTTGATAAAATTAGTGATGAACACTATAGAAAAGTTTATACCATCGATAGTTTTACTTCGTTACTTTTCCCCGATATTACTAAAATATTTTTGTTTACAATAAAACAATTCGAATGTTAGGTGAACGTTATGGTCGATAAGTAAATAATTCTACGAAATACTACCTGCAGTTAGTTATGCAAAGAGCGAGTAAAAACCAAAAAAAAAACTGTATTTAAGCCGACAAATATTTGAGCCGATAGTATTTTAACAGAAAACAATACAGCCAACCGTAATAAAGAGATAAGGTCAGATCTTCCAAAAAACGATAACGCATGATAAGAAATAAATAAAAAGAAAATTTCGTACATATTATTATTTAAAAATGAAAAACCTTGCCATTAGTTTATCTTTATTGCAAATCACAAAAAAAATTGAATTCAAAGTTAAACTTTTAATTAAAGATGTTAAATTGTATAATTTCCAGTAGTTAACAATCTCATATTTGAAAATTAATTTGGAGTATTTGGTTACATCTTACCATGTCTTATGTAATTATTTTTATTTCAATATTTAATCACGAGTTGGACGTGATACACGTAATTTACTATAACTAGTGGAATGTACTACATTTTAAATTATGAATAGAGTAAGGAGTCTATTGGTTTTATAATAATGTTTTTTTTTTTCTGTGAACAACTTTTCTAAGAGATAATTTTCCTGAGGCGATACTTAAGTGAGATCATTTTTTGGTTTTCTAAGCAGTTATTATAATGAAATTAAAAAACCAGGAAAAATACAGATATTTATGTATTTAATTAAAATAAAATAAAATGTATTCAATATTAAAAAATAAAAAGTAACCAATTTGAATTATAACTGAAACTTTGCACGTTCTTTCAAACTTATCAACTTTTTTTTTCAAAAATCGAAGTTCAAATTTTAAAATTTTATAAATTAACCTTATTTGACTAAAAACAATGATAAGAAATTTACAAGTAGATAATCAGTAGTTTCGGGTGTTTCAGCGGAAATACATTCAATCCTTTTTATTTTCGGCCGATAGACTATTGACGAAAATATTTTCTGATAATTTCATGTTCCGCTTAAATACAATCGGTTAAAATAAGATTTGGCCGTTTTATAACACTCCTCCCCTCTCTATACAAAAGACAGATCGTTTGGTGTCCTTTGTATACAAACCGACACTCACCTGTCCAATTTACCTAACTATATGATTATTTAGACATTGATCCACTAAGGGTTTTGGTTATTTTATTACACTCAAGTAACAGTTAAAAATCTTCACTTTGTTCTTTAAGCTCGAGTGTGACAATTGATATTTCTGGTAAAAACCAAGAAAACATAGTTTCCAAATAAAAAATCACATTATAATAAATAAAACCAATAGATCACTCATTACTACTCTCCGAATTTGAAAAAAAAAAAAACACTATCATAAATAACAAAATAGTTATTTTAATTCAGTTAACCCTACGTTAATCTCTTGGGTGATGGAGAACTATTAATTGTATACCACTGTTCTTCTAATTTATATAATATCAACAACTTCACGATAATAATTTAATAATTGTGTGTATCTAATAAATGTTTTAATAATATTTTAAATATTGTTAAAATTATTTTTTTTTGTGTGTTATAACAGAAATTATTTGAAATTTCTAACAATATATAATATTGTTGCAGTACACAATAGGACCACAATATTGGGATGATGCTAATAAAATATTGTACTATGGGTTTTATACATACGAGTATTATACCTAGAGTATTATATGAATGGAAATGTATTGATACTGTATCATCTGTGTTGTATTGTGTACCACAGTAGTACACTTCTTATTACAACCGAGCATAGTATTGAATGTGCTCCTGAGAATATTATTTTAAATAATACTGATAATAGTATCCTACATTTCTAATATAATAACCGCAAAGGAATAATAATCATGTTATATTATGATCTAACCAATCTAGGATAGGTATAATATTCAACAATTCAGATAGTCTGCATTTATATGTTAATTTACCCGATAAAATTGGTACATTTACAAATGCCATCTATTTTAAATTAAATAATACAAATTTAACATTTATACATTATATGCATACAGCTTAATAAATTATAGGTATGAGGTTATTAAAAATTATGCAAGGAATTTCGAAAATTCAAATAATACGGATTATCAGTGTAAAGGAATAGTGTTTCTCGTTCATTTCATTTTATAAAAATAAAGGCTTAAACCATTTTATCCTGCTAATAATAGTCATTCAATTAATACGCTATCATTATTGATATTAAATTTCCTTTGAATTTTATAATCGACTTGTACTTGTACAATATATTAGTTTTATTTAGATTTCTTTATTTACTTATCATCAATCGATAGGTATACACTTTGCAACAATTATATTAAAATTTAGATTACAATATGTCGTATTATCAAGGTCACTTGTCTAAGGAAATCCAGTAGCAGGGATAAAATAATGATTAACTATTATTGCCTATTAGAAAAAAAAATTGAATTATATCGTTGAAGTTTATGGTTTATACTAAAAATCTTAAGGGACATGTTCCCTAATAGCCCCTCTTCTCTTAATGAACGTTCAATTCTATTTTTAATGAATTAAACGACAAATATTGGCAATTCAAAGGTTTATTTAAAGAATTTCAATGTGTAAAAACACCGAAAACCTAGTTAAAAATTGGAAGCGAAAAAAAATTATAACTAGTGGTAATTATGATTGTCTTACAACATCAGTTATAAGTTACTAATAAGAGTAATAAGACTAGATTAGCAGAGAAAGTTGGATTTCATAAAATATTTAAAAAAAAATTTAAATATATTGGAACAATTTTTTTTAATTATTCAGAGTGATCAACATAACTCCGTCAGATTTATCTAATGAAATAAATACAAATAATGTAAGACAGTCGCTATCTCGGAAGTATTTTTTAAATTTTTATTTCGGATTTGTTTTTTTTTTTTTAGACATTATATAAGAAACAAATTGCTCTAAAATGTTAAATTTACATTATTTTAGATCATCCTTATTTTGGAAGTTAGGTTATTAAAAATGTCAACACCAAAATGTGTTTAAACTGATAATCCATCTAGTTTTAGATATTTTAAATATATAGGTTGCTTTTTGAAAATCAAAAGTCGGTAAATAGGTTCCATCGCAAAAGGACAGAAAAAACACAAATGCAACAATTTAGTGATTGTAACTCAAAATTTCTGAAAACAAATTACGAAAAAATTGAACACTTTCGAAGATAATGAGTTTCTTACGTTATGTTAATCACTCTGTATATAAATACGCCATATTATATATTTTGTCAGTGTGAATTTCAAAACTGGGATTACCAATCGCTCCAAACGGTTTATAAATAAGATTTTTTCAAAAAAAAACTATTATAAATTCTACTTTTAAGATTTCCATAATTTTTGGATTTTTAAACACTGTGTATAAATAATAATAATATTAACAGAAAAAAAAAAATGAAATATCACCAAAAAAAAATAATAAAACAATAACAAGTGAAAAAACATAATATAAAATATTATCTTTACCGTGAGATCCAAGTAATTTATAAAAGCGATATTCCAAATGCAATTGAGGCGCTTTGGATTTCATTGGCTCCTTAAATATTAAAAATAAATTGGATAATTAATTATATATAGACCTATTAAAATAATGCACATAATATGTATAACATATGGCTGTCATTTGAATTGTATTTTATTTATAGTGAGGATATTATGAAATCTTACCATTTTTATTGCCACATGTTCGTTTGTGTATAAGTTTTTTCCTGAAACAAACATATTATTTATATTATTAAAAAAGCACGTTTTTTTTTTTTTTTTGTTATACTAATTTCCATAAAATAAAAAATTATTATCATACGTTAAAAATGTCAACGATACCTACAACTATAATACAACTAGTTAACACTCTAGTTTGCATACTACGAAATATCATAGTATATTATATTATTATAACATATCAATCGTTGAAAATAAATCGAAAAGGAATTATATTTTGTAACTCGGGTAAGTACGGTCTAACGAACAATGAGACGTATTGAATACACAAAAGAGTACATCGAGAGTAATATAGATCGTTGAATAGTCTCTTGCTAATCCAAAATCGAATAACGCAGCGTGGAATATTAATTTTAAAATGTCCTCCAAAACGGCTGACACATAATGTATAATAGGATACATACGTTTTTAAATTGTAATATTATGTCATTTGTATAACATTCAAACGAATTTCTAGAATAGAAAAAATAATAACAATAAAGAATCTAATTAAACATTAATTCTGACAATTTAAATTTTAAATTAAGAATGAAGGTACCTATAATATTTATAGTTCAGGAGTACCTATTTATTATAATACCTACAGCATGAGTACGTGAATTCACTGTAAATATATTATATATTATTTTTTATTTCAAAATTATTGTTCTGTGTTCGTATAGTACTACAAATTTAACGAATCGACCGCGATTACGAACTTTTGAATGTCGTAAAAAAAATATTATGCAATATCGCCAGTATAAAAAGAACTGATACTCGAGATGGGAGCGGCCACTTTAATAGGTGAGAAACTGGGAAGGTAGGATACGTGTCAGGATACTTGCCAGGAAAACAAGTTAGGATTATTTCATTTATAACTGTAAGCAACGATAAACCATTGTTTGACGAAAAACGATTCCGAGCACAGTTCGGTAATACATAATTTGAAGTGCCGTAACTTTTTTTACGATTTTCGTTTAAATTTGATTTTAAAACGAATATCAAAAAAAAAGTCGCCCGAAGATGTTTGAAATTTCACCACGTCTAAAAAAGTCCAATATAAGTATTATTACCAAGTTTCAAGTCTCTACGGTTATTTATAACCGAATTACAACAAAAAACCAATTTTACCACAAAGTACCTAACGAATAAAAATTAAGTACAAAACTCGCAAAATTAAAACTTTTATAAAAAGCTTAAAAATGGCAAAAATGTTTCGAAAATTATACCATGTCTAGAAAAGGCAAATATAAGTTTTCTATCTACCTTTCAAGTCTCTACGACTATTTTTAACCAAATTACAACAAATAACAAAATTGAAAAATAATAAAAGCATTATTTTCGTTAATTTTCCGTTTTTCTTACGTTTTAACCTGATTTTTCCCAGATATTATGAAAGCCACTTAGAAAATCAAAAGATGACCGCCCAAAAGTACCATCTAGACAATATTTCCTTTTAGAAATGGTGCCACGCGTATATATCTGAGAAAGATTTCTGGTAGAATTTTTATACACTACATAGTATAAAAAAAAAAAGTAAGCATTTTAGTAAAACTAATACATTCTTCGCTACACTCAGTTTCAAAATTCGAAATTGTTATTAACCAATTCAAATACGGTAGTCGGTAGGCCATAATTTTCCGGAATGATAAAATTCTGTAATGTAATACGCTCCAGAACGTAAAACGCCTGACCGCAATAATCCGAAACGTAATAAAGTATAAAGTCCTAACGTTATAATCCGGAGTATATAATCACCGATTGTCAAATTTCTGTAAAAAACTAATGATTCCAAAACGGTAACCTTCAGTATTTTCAATGATACGTCATCGACAATAGCAGTTTTTATTCCGCCGGGCTTTCTCTTCATCCGACCCCCTAGATCCAAAACAATTACCTTCCCTGACTAGTTTGCCTACTTTTCCGAATTTTCCATCCCCCTTTTTTTTGGAACTTATGGAATTCTTTCACTTTATCTACATTAATGATGATTACTCTAAACTTCCTTGGCTTTATGAAGTTCCATGTCACGTCTTCGTGCATTGTTGACAATTTGTATGAACAACACATTCAAGAAAATCACCCATCTAGTATTCTAGTTTTTACTGGTAGCTCAGTTAATTCTACTGGGGCGGATTACTCATTTGTTTTCTCCGAATTCCGTATTCAATTGACTACCAAGTTATATCCTTATATTTCTGCTTTCACGGCTGAATGCAGTACTACCTTAGAATCTCTCATTTGCATCCGGTCTCTCTCTCCAGATAATTTCCTCATAATATCTAGCTATTCTTATATGTTAATACATTTAATTCTTGGTGCTTTCCGATTATATAAAAAGTCCGCTATATTCTTATGCCGTTCATTGTCAACCCCGTTCATATTTCATTGCAGTAGGTTTCCTGGCTATATTGGCATCTTGAGTAACGAGCGAGCTGATGTCCTGGTTGAATCAACCATTAATATACATCTGTAGTGTTCTTCACTGTGCTCTGACTGTCAACTCTGATCTAATTCCTATCCTCCTTCGTTCAATCAGGAATCTACGGAAGCAAGAATTGGAAGAGTTCGCTTGAAACCTTTATTCTTCATTCTAATAGGCTAAGTTTAAAAACTCTCAACTCTTTATACACCAACCTTTCCTATGCATGCCGACACCAATAACTATGAACTATAAATAATAATGTTCTCCAATAACTAAATTTAAAGTTTTGTTCGCAAACTGGCTTAACTACTTAATAACTATGGGCTTTGTATGTTCATAATTGTCAGTGTTGTAATTTATGTTAAAATTTTAATTAACATAAAAAAACAAAATTGATATACTAAAATACTAGTTACATACCTAAATACAGATTCAGGAGGGGCGGTTACCCCTATCACACACCTAAAATATGCCCTGTAATCTTACATTGATGACCAAAATCGTGTACTGACCGAAAAAGATCGCGCCCCAATTCATAACTATTATTGTTATTGTTATTATTATCATTATTATTATTGTTAATATTTATTTATTCGGAAAGATAATAGGTTTCACTGAACAGGTTCGTGTGGGGGACCAGATAGATTATAATCCAGACATATTTTTTATCGACAATAAAATTAGTAGTACGAAAATAATAGTTAATTCACAGTAGGCACATAATGATATTATTTTATATCTCAAAACGAAATAAAGAAATACCAAATTTACGAGAATTTAATGAATTCTAAGTTGTTTGGTACCTTTAATTTGTAAGTACCAACCATTGAAAGACTATGGCATAACACTATAAATCGCAATCAGTTTTAAATAATTGTAAATAATATGTACATTCATTTAATTCACATTCACTCATTCTACATTAATCTCAGTGTTATAATTGATTTTTATGTTTTTTTTTGATCGAAAATTGTAACACTTTCGACGTTACAATTTTTTTTTAATGTACACAATAATCATGTTTCCGTGGCTAAAATTATTACCTATATAATTGACTATTGAGGCAATTCATCGAGAAAAATATAAATTATATAAATACCTGCAGCACTATCTCTGAAATGAATCGATAGTTAATATTTTAATAATTTATTAGTATTTACTCCGGTAATATGTAATTTATAAACCTCTACAAATGAGAAAATGTATTCCCCCTTCGATCAGATGTCACCAAAGAAATGATACCCCCACACTCGATTAATATTAAAGGGATCAATAAACACCAGTGAAATTTAATTATCCCGGTAATATAGATTCTGGAAAATTAAATGAAGTATACATTCAATAGTGTTTAGTATATTTGATTAAGTTATCCAAAACTTGAGAATACAAAGTACAAACCTAGATACTGTTTATAGGTAATAAGAAGCCTACAACAGTTGACATAAGGTTTGTATTCCTTCATTCAGATAATGTCAACAATAATTAAATAAAAATAATTGTCTGAAATCGATTATATAAGAGCTATTCGATAATAGAATAGGCATTATATTAATTTAGTGTCAGTCAAGGTATATAAACATAATAGCTTAAAAAGATACACTCTAAATCGAGACACTTTACCACGGGAGATTTGTGAAATAATATTATATAGTACCTACGAGATTAATATTTATACAACACAGTAATAGTTATAGATAAAAGTACAACAAGTCAGATAGTAACATATAGACTTAGTAAAATGGATAAAAACAATATATATATTTGTATAGGTATATTAAAAATAATATTTACACTTTAGAAAAAAAAAATAAATAAATAGTTCAACTTAAACATTAATACTTAAATATAGGTACTATAAAATAATAGGCATGCGTTTTTCCAGACTTAGCAACCATCGATCACCACATGCTAACCAAAGTTGCTACGAAAGAAATGGCCGGATATAGTATTTAAAACGAGAATTCTATATGTAGGACGTAGATAAGTATTATAAAAGAAACCTAAAAAGAAACAACCAATAATCGTGTTTTACAGAACTCGAACAAATATTTATTTTTTTTAGAAAAATTTAAAAAATTATATTATTGCCGCTGATTGTAATTGTATAGATGCTTGAAATCATATTGACTTGTACCATTTTCAAGAATATAAAAATATTAAATTATTACCGCGATTTTGAGTCTACTATTATTGAATTCCGAACAAATCTAGCGTATGTGCTTTTTCTCGGGAATAATTTTTTTAAGTAAAAAAAAAAAACCACTCCATACCATAGTACTGTTATATACTTATGTAGTTTGTCAATTGTACATAGTTGGTAATTATTTTTGTAGATTTTCGATCCTAAAATAATAATCCGAAAACAATTTTTGGTAAACAGTATTCAATTTTTTTCAAATTTGATAAATTATTAAAGATGAGTACAACATACGTACAACTTGAAGACAAAATACATTCGAGCAATTTTTTTTTCTACCTAATATGAAACATAATTAGACTAGTACATTATTATTATCATATTGACAATCGCCAAAGTGTTTGAAATAAAAAAAAATTATAAATTTAATTAAATTAATTCAATGGTATAAAAACATGATATCTTATTAAAAACTTCTATACATACTTCTAGATAAATAAAATGGTTGTTTTTCTTAAAATATTGACACGACTAAAAATACAAGATAGATTAACATTAATTTTATAATTTTAGGTACGTATTACTTTCCGAATTGGTTTCTTTATTTTTTTTGCAAATTTACGTGTTATAAATTTCATTGATTTCACATTTGTTTTCGATTTTTCTTTTATTATTTTTTTTTAAACTAGATACTAAAAAATTCTAAAACTAACTACTCTTAATTAACATCTGTATCCGAACTTCTATTCATAATAATCAATAGATATTCCTACATAAATGTTTAAACAATTAATTTTACCCAACGAAACGTATACAATAAAAAACGTCTTATTGTAAAAACAATGAATTTCTCGTTCAAAATCTAAAAATATTAATAATAGATACTCGTTTGGTCCACAAATCGCAGTTTTACTACACCATTCTACTATTTATAATTCAATAACAATATAATATATTTATACGGTTGTTAAAAAATTAAGATACATTATAATTATTGTATTATATTATAAATAGGAAAATTGAAAATACTATCACAACATTAAAGAATTTACGAGTATTTTATAACACTATAACATGAAATGTGTATTGTACCTATATAAATTAATTTATTATTCACAGTAGTAAGTTATTAATTCACAGCCTATTTTTGGTATACTGGATCTTTACAAGATCCAAAGACTGACAAATAGTAGCTAAACTTTTTAGACTTTTTACAGTATTCTTTTCATTTTTAATATTTTCTCTTTTTCATTATCGGACTTATGTATATTATATTTTGATAGGGAGTCTTCAACAATGCGTTTATTAGAGACCGGATTTCAATGCAAAATTCATTTTTTCTTTTTTAGTGACATTACAATACTTTCCAAATACATAATTTGATTCATTTAACAGAGACTTCAAAGGTGAAACTTTTATTTCAACTTTTTTTTGATTTTTCAATGTCTTTTGATTTTTGGTCATTTTTTCGTTCTATTGCATAAATTTAAACAATATAATGTAGTATTTGTACATAATACGACCATCGGTCAAAATATATAGTTGATATATTTAATCATAACACGACTTAATTATTTAAATTTGGCTATATAATTAAAAATAATATTACTCATGTTTTTGGGGTTTTTGCATACAAATTATTTACAAAGCATTTTATAATTGCAATAATGTCTGTATCTTATCTTTATTTATAATCATCCGGACTTGGCAAATAATAAATAATATTATTAACTGGTTCAGTTTTTAAATAAAATATCAATGTTGTAAATTACCCAATAAAACAATAAATTTAAAAAGTGTATGTCATTTTTTTAAAGACTTTTTTAAGATTAATTTTCAATGATTTTTAGTGCATTTAAATGTGAGCTCTAGTTATTATAAAAACTTAAATATACCTACCTATCTAATACAAGGTTTTACAGTAGGTATTATTCTAATGGCATTTAAATTAATTTCCATTGAATTCTGTTTATATATTTTAGAATTATATATTATTTATAACTCGTATCTATCTACACTAATGGAATAGATATAAAGAAAAAATATAATAGTGTATTATATGTGTGTGTGTGTGTGTATTTGTAATAATATATAGCAACCGGAACTAATACAGTGTAACAAATTTAACAATTCAGACTTTGTGATGTAACACAAATCTTTAAAGGTTTCACTTTGGGGTTAGGTAGGGAATGTATTGGGAATTATCCAATAATAAATGGTGTAAATAAAATGTCAGCTGGTTATAATAAAGCTACATATTATAAAAATATAATTTAACTTAATGATGACAAACACACACACACACACACACACACACACACACACACACACACACACACACACACACACATACATACAGTGTAAATGTTGACACCGAGTCCTACTACTGGTCTCTTGATCTTATTGTAAACAAAGTCAACAAAGTTTATAAAGTAAACAAAAGAACAAACCTTATCAATCATGGAAGGTATATATTCTTTGAACATAATAAAAATTATTGTAATTTATGGACATGTTCATAAAAAAAACATAGGTATAGTCATTTTCCAAAATTATTTGTAAATATCATTGTTTGATAATATTTGATACGAATACAATATTTCTACACAAAAGTAGAATATTTCAAAATTGTTTTGAACTATTAATAATACTGTGATATTTAGAAACAATTAAATGCAATACAAGACAAATTATTTTATTATATCTATGGTAAAATTAAAAAGTAAGAATATTATTACTCAAAGGTATTTTATATCATTTTTCCGTCATATATTTGAAATATTAAATCAGTCAAATTTGTATGACTAAAATTATGATTTATTATAATACATAAATTTATGTAATAAATATATAATCATACAATATAGGAAATGGTATATAGGTATAGTATATGTATCTAATATATATATATCAATTTATGAATACTAACAATATGTATTTATTATTTTATGCAAACTTTATCTAAAACAAGTTGCACCAAAGTTAAACACAAAACAAAGTCAAATAGCCCAATACAAAAAAAAAACCAACCTTCTTATATATTTTAGGAGAGAAGTTGATAAATTCTATTAACATTTTATAATAATATAAAAATGTATAAATTGAATCCAAAAATAAATGTCATTTATACATAGAAGTAAACTAACTTTATTGATGCATGTACTAAATATTATTATCCTGTATGTATTAGCTATGAAAGTAAACCTAGATTCCGCATGTTCCTTAATGAATGTAAATGTAGGCATTTTATAATGGCATTAAAAATTTAGTTAAACATAAATCAAAAATTAAACAAATCAAAAACGTGCTAGCTCCCAAAAATTGTGAACATGAATATAATAACATGCATAGGTATATTACCTATGAAATACCATATTATACATAATATGGTATTTCAAACGGTTATAAAAACTAATTTCATTAACTCTAAACTATATTATGGACTTATACCAAACCAACATTTAAAATTCAAACTTATTTATTTATTATTTTCTATTGAAGTAAGAAATGAAATTTCCTTTAGAAATAAAATGGCATACTAATTTATGTAAATCTAATAAAATTACTATTTTCATTTTATTTTTTTTCACCACACAATGGAATATACACTATAAATCTCTGAATATGAATCAGTGTGGCTTACTAAAATCAATTATAGGTAATTTATATCAATTATAACACAGTGTTATAACACTTGGTTGTTTTACCAGACAAAATTTCAAATCATTTTCAACATTTAAAAGATGTTTAGATATAAATATGATATTAATGTATTAAATAAATAATTTAGTTCAATAAATAGAGAGCTATGTAATATTATAAAATTGATTTATTGTAGTTCATCTAAACATATCTGTAACTAGCTATTAAAATGTACTTAATAGCTGGGAGGAAGAAGAAGATTAAAATCTAATAAATATAATAAGAGCATATCAACTTATCATTTCTTCACAATCCATTTTATTTATGAAAACTCATGACGTATTCAATTGTTACCAGTAAACAACTACAACCGAGTAAATAACATAATATTCAAGTTACAAAAATATAAATTTAAAATTATAATGAATGATTATCATAACACTTAATAAAGTCATAATCGTTACAGGTCAGTTTGCAAATTTTTGAAAGGATTAATAGGAAATTTTTTCATTATGAATAAATAAAAATCTATTTATTTTTGAAAAGTAAATCAAAAATACCTTGAATAATACCTTCTCAGTATACAAATGAAATATATAATAGATTAAGTTTAAAATAATAAATATTTAAATGGATTGGAATATAAATACTCTAATTATTAGTATCATAAAATATTAATTCTTTATCAATACAATTATTAGTTGTCTTTTATCTCATATAGTTATATGTATGTACATATTATGTCTGTATTTTTACTGGTCATTATTTATGATATATTAAAATATTTCAATCACCACTTATTACTATTTTTTTTTTTTTTATCAGTGATTTAAAAAAAATAAAAAAGAATACAAAATCGATTGTTCAATTTAATTCAAAGACAATCATTGTACAGTATTTTAAACTATTAATGACCAATTCAAACCTTTTTAATATCATGCCAATAGTTTCAAAATTAATAACACCTCTACACATTTACATCTCAGTTTTACTGTTTAATCAATATTACAAACAAATAGAGACTGTGATTTTGTTAATAAATTAACACTCTGTCAATGATACAACCAGGGGGAGTCTTTTACCTAAGTGTCTGGACAGCCCCTTCCATCCATGTTTAAGTAATATAAATTTGTTTTTTGTAAAAAAAATTTTTTTTATGTCAACATATAACACACTGTACTCCTCTATATTCAAAAAATCCTGGTTTGTGCCACTGCACTCTATTATCACATTGGTTCAGGATAGCGGTACCTATACAAATATTTTAGATTTAAATGTGACAAACATTTAAATCATAATGAAGTGGGCATACAAATAAAAAATTAAGTTAAAATAATATGGTTCTCTTTGCAGTGTTCAACAAGTAATTTTTAAAGGCTGGATGATTTTTTTTAAAGTACAAATTATACTCAATTTAATCATTGTACACACAATAATACTAAATAAGACATTTTTTAAAAACATTTTAAGAAAAACCTTTTTTTTAAATAAATTAGTAAGCTATTCAACAAACTTTTAAAATCAAATGTTGAATTAATAAAAAAAAAATTAGTTAAAAATAACAGTATTTAAATTAACTAAAAAAACTAAAATGTGCAAAGTTTTTTATTTATAATTTTAAATAGAATACAATGTATAATAAAATTTTTTTTTTTTTTTTATTTAAATATGTTTACTATGTGTTTACTATGTTCATCAAAAATAGCCTAATATCTCAAATTCCTGGATACATTTTATTAGGTAAACCTTTGAATAAAATTAATATAAGCTGTTTGATTCTTATATTTAGGTTTACAGAATTCTAACTTTTAAGTAACCTTATGAAATTAAAAAAAATAGTAAAGATATTAGATTAAATTATAATATATTGTAAATGTATAGAATGAAACATTAATATGCAATTCTGTTTGTAATAATATTAAGTTTATTAGGTTATTCAAATTGTTTGAGCATTATAGTAAATTTTAATTGGCCTATTGTAAATACCTATCAAACAATAATTTATGAATTACCTAGTTAAATTATAACTAAATATTAAATTATCAATTAAATATTAAATAATACATAACTAATTACAAACTATATATATATATATAAATATAAATTTGTTAAACCTTTATACTTCAATAACAAAAATGCAACTTTTTTTTTTCTGATTTTTAATATACTTTATAAAATATAACACAAATTATTAAAACAAAAAGGCCTAATTCTAAATGGTTTAACTTGTAAATATAAGAAGATATAAATGTACATATGATGCACCTACCTGAACATTTAAAATCAATATTATTAATTTATTTTTAAATGAAAACTGTTTTTATGAATGAAAAGATTTGGTACTAATGCTTTAACATTAAACGTTATTCTATTAAAATACACTTCCATCACCATAATAGTCAGAAATATAATAAAATAGGCAAAATAATTTGGATAGTATGGAAATTCTTATCAAAATATTTTTTTCTTAGACCTAACATAAAGTACAATTTCTCTTGTTTCATAGACTTTTTATTCTATAGCATAACGGTTTAATATATTTACAAAATATAATAGATATTTTTTGGTAAACCTTTTTCAGTTTCACTGTAAATAATAAATGTATTATAATAATTATAGTTACTTATACGTAAGTATGCAATCCATATGTATACTATGTACTATGTATTTGACCAATTATGTTATTTATGGCCATTAAATATCTTAGGATATTAAAACTTTTACATTTGTGAAAAGTTAAATACCTAATTATTTTTCTGATAAAACAGTAATGTATTTTAATAATTAAATATGTTATACATAATAATAATAATAATAATCTGTAATTATTTTGTATATTATTTTGTACTATATTATGTTTACATTGGAGAAAAAATATCCTTTATCAAGGAAAAAATATCCAATATCTTACTTTTTGTCCAGTGGAAATTTGTCCGATGTCAGGTAAAATTTTATATGGAATTTCTTTAAATGACTCTAATAGTGATAAAAGTGATTAGAAATAGTACATTCATAAGTTTATATTATATTGATTTAATACCATAAGTAAGTATAGAATATTATCTAAATATAACTAAATACTAACTTATAGTTTATTTTAATTAAATAACACCAAACATTTTAAGTGTCTTGTATTTTAGTAGCAAAATTACAACAAAATTAAGTATAGTAAAAAATAATAAATTGTTTTTCAATTACATAAGTACCTAGATAGCTGTCAATATTTAAATTCATTGTTCCTAATTTACTACAAATTTAATAATTTATAATAATTACCTAATTAAATATATATATGCATATATTGTTAGATTTAGGCATTTAAAAAAATTGTACGTATTGTTCATTATGGACAGATAAAATATGTATCTAAATGTAGTTAGGTACAATTTTCTAAATAAAAAGTCTATTTTGAAAAAAAATCACCTACATAGGTATTGGTGAATATCTTGAAGTATATATTTTAATATACTATTGAATACCAAATTGAATATTGATTTACATTAACACCGATATAATTTATATTCAAAATGTATGTTTCCAAAAATATATAAAAATCAGCATTGAAATATGCAGTTTATATTTAAACATACTTATGAGAACATAGGTATTTTTAAACGCCAGTATAATGTACAACTTGATAAAATAGAATTTAAAATACTGCCTATTCAAGTAACTATTTCAAGTAAATAACAAATGCCTATAACAAACCTACAATCTAGATAGGAAAGTAGGGATGTATGTCATATGGGCAATATTATTTGAACATACATATTGTACTTACCTAGTCTTAGTTCACCGAAATTTCCACAGCCTATCTTTTTGCCGACACGAAAGTTCGGGCCAACCATGAGTACACTAGAATTAGCTGACGATGACAACCCATGTCGTCCGGCAACTGCCGAATGCATTGCCCTCGATCCGGTAGATTTTCCGCCTCGCTTGTCGTCTTTGCCATTCTGTTCCTTCTCCCTGTCCCTTTTCTGCATGGCGTTCGAGTGTGTAAGTTCCTCCGGGAAAATTGGCCAATTTTAGCTCATTGTACGAAACAATTTATTATAATTTTCTTGATGTTCACACGTTGTGACCCAAGACAATAAACACTGTTATCATTGCGTTAATTTTTTTATATAAAATTTAATTTGTCAAACCGAAACGAGACGCCGGTTTTATGACTGCATCTTATTTATTTAACTATAAACTAATTAAAAAAAAACAGTAGTTATATTAAAAACATACGTCAACCGTGTTGAAATTGAATAAAATTGAAAACGAAACAATTGCAGCTGAAACTCTCCATTTTTTTGTGACTGATTAAAAAAAAATATATATATTACATATTATATATCTATACATTCTTATTACATATTATTATTATATACATTCACAAAACATGTGTTTCGGTATCAATTGCACTAGAGCGCGGTAGTAGCGCAAAGTACAAAGAGAATACAATTTAATAGTACAATATATCATATTCCTATTCTGAATGTTAACATACATTTAAGTGTTGTTTGAATATTTTTATACCATTTTTAAATGAAACAATATTTAATAATATAGTTATGTAACAAATAAAATAAATTTAACTAAATTAAAAACATGATTTTGATGCATTATTAAGTTCCTCTTCATTTCAATTTTTTTTTTTATACATTTTTAAAAATGTATGCTAGATAGGTACATATAATTATTTATACTACAACTATATTAATGATTAAAAATTAAAAATGCATAATAACGAACAATATAATTTTTGAGTTTGTTTTACACAAGTTTATTTTGAATTTTGAATTCTTATTCTAAACTCGTTTTAAAATTTGGAGCAAAGTGGGGGATTTATTAGTTTTACTATGTGTATTTTTTCTGTCTGTAAACAAATTTTCGAAAATGATTCTTATTTGGATGTACAAAATATAGCATCTTTTCTGAAAGAAAATTTCTCTAATTAGTGCATTAAACAGGTCATTTGTTGATTTTCCAAGGAGTTATCAAAATAACTGGAAAAATCCGAAAGAAAATGATAGGTTAAACGACAAATATTTAAGGCACGCCGTTGCTTTACCGATTTCATTGTTTTTAATTTTTGCAAACAGATAAACTACATTTTCTACCATAAATATTGTTCCAATCAAAAAATGACAGCAATCGATTTTGTTGCTTTTAATATATAACCTGAAACAAAATTATTTTTTGATATCTAAAATAGGTTTTGATAATAAATGATAAACCCAAAAAAGACGAAAAATACGTCAAATAGAGTTATTATTTCAAATGACTGCACAACGATTCCATTATTTTAAATTTGTATGGCTTATGTTTTCTTCCATAAATATTACGTAAATAAAAAAATAACAAGAGATCTTTTTCTTTGAATTTTTAATCTAATTGATAACCAAGAAAGTCGTTTTTTTTTATTTTCTTTGTAGTTGTTAATTAATTGCGTAAAATCGCTCCGAATCGTTTTTTATACAACGGTTTATCGTTGGTTACACATATAAATTAAATAACTTTATTTACCCATTACCTACCTTTCCAACTACTCATCTACAACAATGGCCGTATCCGTCTTCAATTTCAGGTCTTTTTTATTTTTACAAGTACTATCAGCCTACAAATAGTAGAATGATCAAAATTAAACTATACATAGCGCATTTCCATATACCTACCAATTACCAATTTAAATACAATGCCGGCGAACATTTGTATAATACAGAATTTATGATTTTTTAATTATTATTAAATATTAAATATTATTATAAATATAAAAATTTTTGGTAAAAAAAAAAATTCAAACACACTCTGCACGGACCATGGGTAGGTCATTGTTAGGTATAACTGCCGAGACGGATCAAGGGGGTCCTAGGAGCCCAGGCTCCCTCAGAAATATTATTTTTCTGATTTTTCTACAAGAATTGTAAGAAAAGATAATATACATAAAGTATTACATTATTATACTTCAATTGTAATTGTGTTATAAAAAATGTTTGGGTACCTCCTCCAGATCTTTGTTTCTGGATTCGAACCTAGGTATAAGGGGGTTGTTTTGTAGGTAAATGTAATTTATATTATATATACTGAAAACTATAAATCATTAAAATCAAAAAACGATTCTGAGCAGAGCTCGATAAACTGGTTCTAATATTATTGATTTGGTTTTCCTTAGTAGCCAAGAAATCAACAAACATGTATGTAGAATCTACATATGGGCTACAATTCAACATTTTTGTCAGATTTACACTTTTTAGAAAAACTATCAGGAATCCAGCGGCGGTGCGAATTATATATATTTGAAATACGTAATTCACCAAAAAACGGCTGGATGTTCAGCCCGGATATTCAGAAATATAATAAAAATGATTATGTTTTTACAAAGCAAAAGTCATTAAAAGAATTTTAGACTGTGGAAAATATTTGATAAATTTATGGCAGAGTAGAAGTATTTTTGGGTTGAAGTTAGTAGGTAGGTAGTTGAAAAATTAAATTTTTGATTCAAGGTAAAACTTCGCGACACCACTGGATACAAGGAGGTAGGTGACTATACGATCGCCCCCTTTAAGCCGTGTTTCGGTTTTAAAATTATGTCTATTTTTTTTTTTTGTATCTGTGAACAACTTTTCTACCAGCAATTTTCAATTATAGTTTTTTTCCTGAAAGAAAATTTGACTGGGATGGTATTTTAGGGAGGCCTTTTATTTTATTTCTCCATATGTTTTCATAATAAATGGAAAAAACTAAAAAAAACATGGGAAATCCTAGGAAAATAGGTACAATATTATATATTAAAGATAATATATAATGCATAATAAGTAATTATTTTACCATTATATGCCATATATTATATTGTTGACAAAACAACACTGTTAATCAAACTCCACTCAGAATCGCTTTTCGTTAGCAATGGAAAATCGTTGCGTACAAATACACAATAAATTTCCTCTCTACCTTCCCAACTTCTCACCAATAACAATGGCCCATCTATCGTGCGAAGTATATGTACGTATTATTATTATATACGTAATTATCTTTTTTTAAAGAATTCGTATATTATGTAGAATTTAATTATAGACAAACTCGGATAAAGGGGGGGGGACATGGATCCGTGTTCATAACGGATTCCGAACAATAGTGGGTCCCTAGCGGGTAGTACGTTTAATAAATGAATAATGAATATATTATTATTATGCTATCATAATATTATCTATTTTTAGTAGAATGATTATGGTAAGAAAATGTGATTTCCGTTGATTACGAATTTACAAAAATTAAAATAATAAAACATTATTACTATCTATTATAGATATAAAACTGTTTTTGATAATAAAAACAGTCATTACTCATTAGAAAAAATATTTTATTTACGTTGTTTTTAAGGTGGATACACGAAAAGAATACAATCCTTGCACAGTTAGAGCACTCTAGATAGGTAATAGCATTGATTATAAAATACTGGTAGTATTTAAAATCAATGATAATAGGTACGCTACGCCCACAGATATATATAATAACGCCGTCATTTTGCGACTCCCTTATTACTTTCTATTTAAATGTTTCATATTAATAAATTTGAACTTTATAGTATTAAGCTCAGTGGCCACCAAAGTAACGTGACATGACTTGTGCCACAAATGGCAAATGTACTAGGTAATCGAAATGATAATACAACTGACGGTTTTGACAACCAACTAATTTTGGTATCCGGGTAATCTTTCAAACTTCTATACATTATTAATACATGAATAAATTAAACAATTTTACAATCATATTATACAACAACGTATATGTTTCTAATATATGGCATAGATAAATTGACTTATTATGTTGTAACGTTAAAAAATAATAATGTATATATTTTAACCATTTATATTTTACTATAAAAATAATATAAATAATTAGACACATATATGTATTTATATAATTTATATAGGTACATATATTATGTTTAATAATAATTAAGATTAACTTATAATAAGTATTACTTACCTAGTTAAACGACTTACACTATCTACAGAATACCGAAAAAAAAGAACAATTTTAAAATTTTGAATAAAATAATTGATTATTTTAACAGACTAAATTTAGTTCACTCGAATAATATCACAAAAGTATGCAAAGGTCTTCATAGTAATATTAATAAATATTCTCAAAAAAAAAAAAATACCACATTAAACTCAAATTTTTCCTGTTGATCACTAAGCACAATTTTTGTAAAAAGTCACAAAATTAAAATTTTTATAAATATCTCAAATATTTTTAAAATTTTACCAGGTACTAGAAAAATCAAATACAAGTTTCCCGTCCAAATTTAAAATCTATGAATATTTATAACCATGAACTATAATAAAAAAAGACTTCACACGTCAGTGGGCCACTGTTGTAGGTTTGAAGTTGAGAAGTTCCTGAAAAGTTTAATGTCTATCTGTACACAACGATTTACCATTGCTAAATAAAAAAAGATTCTGAGTGAAGTTCGGTTAATAGTATTGTGTTATCAACAATATAATATATGTCATAATATGGTAAATTTTCTATTCAGATTTGTTTTCAGAATAAGTACTATCACTATAAATCGGAGTAAAATTGCTAATAGAGTTATCCACAGGAAAAAAAATAAATATCGTTGTAAAACCAATACATTCTTGACTCCACTTCGAATTTAAAATAACAATAGTAGGTATTATTTTTGTACATTTTCCCATTCTTTCTACGTTTTTCTCCCCGGTTTTTCTGAATTGTTATGAAAACTTTTAAGAAAATCAAAAATAAACGGTCTTTGTGAGCAATTAAATATTTAAATCCAAAATGCGACAAAAAAGGTTTTTATCATTTCAATTGAAGCAAGATTTCTAGTAGAAAACATAAGTTACAAAAATTGTAAAATCATAAAATCTTTGCACCATAAATATTTGTCCGTTTATCCTTAGATACGTTTTTACCAGTTATTATTATCTTCTTAAGTACCAAATAACTAGATAAAGTTTCCGTTCAGAAAGTGTTACACATTTGAAAATCGGATCAAGATTTCTCGTAGGGTTTAACAAAAAAACATCATTATAAAACCAACACATTTCTCGTTTCGGTCAGAATCTAAAACCATACAATATATATACCTACATATTTTCCTTAATCTGCTTGTGTTAAGTATTTTGATTTTATAAACTTGTGATTAACTTTTATATAACATGTCTTTACTACCAAGTAAAATAACGTAACGAATTACCCCATTTATAATCATAATCATTGTTGATATTGATAAACTAATTGCAAAATGGCAACATAGTAGTATACTTAGGGTGTGTTCGTGTAGCATGCTTAGACACTTACGATGCTTATGAACGGTTCGTTTAGACATATCGCTAAATAGCGAAGCTAGATAGATCTTAAGACGAACGCAAATATAAGCATATTGATTGTACGATCCATAGAATAAAAACTCTATGGTACGTACATTGCAGTTATCAGCTGTAAATTGTTATCACCAGGTACTATAATTGTAACGACTAACGATGTTATTTTAAAAATTGTTAAAATGTTATGTACTTTAAACATTTTTATTTCTATAAATGTATATAAATCGTAGTCTAAACAGCGTGGTCGTATTCTACAAAGAACAATAATTTATTATTAGGTGAAAACATAGTCAGCGTTATCACTTATTTCGGTATATCTATTATCATTTGATTAGCTTGTGAGCGTTTGCTGTCCTACCTCGGTGGGATAATCGTATCGTTTGTGAGCGCGGATCGATGACGTAACGCTCAAATTCAATGACGTCATAGTTATAGTCTGAGCGCTATACAATGCAAAACCGAACAATGCAGTGGCGCTTTTAAGCGTGCTACACGAAACGAACACACCCTTAATCAATGACTATAGTACACTCATTAATATGCCTTAGTACATTAGGTCGAAATCATATAACTTAACACTTGACACTGTCCGAACGTCGTGATAACGTTAAAACGTAGGGAAACGTTTACGTTTTTAAGTTATTGTTTTGTTTTACAAATACAAGTAGGTATTGAAGCATAATATTATTGATTGCAAATTGTTCGGCTGAGATTTATCTAAACTAGCTCGTATAAAAAAAAACAAATACAAAACGAGCAGTTCTCAAGAAAATTTAAATAATTTTATAATACAGTGTTCAGAGAGTAATTTTTGTGGAGGCAATAAATAACGATGATGTAGATTATTAAAGAGTTTAGTTCTCAAAATACGAGAAAAAATTAATTCTAAAAATAATATTTTTGTAGAAAATAAATATACCTAAAATTGTTTTATTTCTGAAACATATTTACTCGTATAGGTCATCAATATTCTGATTAGGTTATGAGCCCCCAAAAATTATTTGGCTCCGGGTCTAAAATTATCTTAAACTTGGTTTGATTCTACAATTGTTTATACCTTTATTAATATAGGTATATATATTTCAACCTTATTATATTTTTATAAAATTACCCCCCCCCCCTCTCTTTCTTTTCATAATCCAATGGATTCACCACACCAATATTCTCAAAGTCTGCATCTTTTTACATACTATGTGAATAATTTGTTACACTTTTACTAACTGAACTTGTTTTTCATTAAAAAAAAAAAAAAAACCAGTAAGGGGCTAAGTACCCAGAGGTGAACAATTAAAAATATCAAAATGTTTCAAATACCATCGGACTGAAATACTGTTTCTTTAAGTAGGATATTTTAAGAACAAATAATAGTCACCTTTACCCACCAAGAAAATGTAAAAAAAAAAAAAGAAATGCCACTGCTGATAGGTGTACTACTATTATAGCAAATTGGGAAGTTAAAATCCTAAAGTTATTTAATTTATATCTGTATGCAACGATAAATCATTGCTGACGAAATAAAATTCTGGGCGAAGTTCAATTAAATATGTTTTAAAATACCACAATTTTTACGATAAACCAAATAAAAACTAAAATACTCGGAAATGTTAATTGTCTATAAATAGTTCAATAATTTTTACCACATTTACATAAGTTCAATACAAATATTCTATAAAAATGTCAGGTACCTACAATTATTTTTAATCAAATGAGAAAAACAAAATTGAAAATAATGAAACTATTAATACCATAAACAATCCCATATTTCCCACTATTAAAAAAAACTGTAAGGAAATCAAAAAATATACTATTTATACTATTGAAATGCAGAACAAGATGTCTGGTAGGTAAAAAAATAACATTGAAAAAAACAAAAATAATTAAACTTTTATACTTGCAAATTTATCAGTATTTCTGTATGCTTTTCTCACAATTAAGATAAAATACTAATTTTTGAACATCTGACAAAGTTACTATTTTACATCATTTTTATCCCACAATGGATTTAAGCACTCTGGCTGAAATTAAGCCTGGCTCAACAAAAATTAATTTAATTAATTCTCTCATGCACCAACAAGAAAAACTTGATTTCAGATAAGGCACTACACTTGGTACATCGGGGCAAGTTTTCTTTTCAAAAATTTGTTTAGACAGAAAAAAACACAGTAAAAACAAAAGAATCTGAATCTAAAAATTACAAAAGAAAATACATATAATTATTCAATACATTCTTCACTACGCTCAGAATATATAATTAAAAATTATTTTTGTGTGGTATCCTAAACCATTAATTACATTTCAATAAAATATAGTTATAACCTATATTTCCATCAGCAAATGGTTTCAAAGTATATATATATATATGAATAAAAAAATTTTAGTGAGGTAAAATACAGGAATGAGAAAAGGAATCCCCTTTTTAACAACAATTTAGAACACTGCACCTGTTCAATCCCTTTTTTTAACTTGTTCCTTTTAAGCATTGGACATAATACATAACATTTTACATTTTTACCATTTTATTTTATAATTTATTTAAAACAAATAATACATTTGCTTAAACATAAAAAAGAAAAGTTAACACAATTAATTCTTTAATTAATACGAGAAAACCATGAGGACTACATAATAATAATTACTTGAAATCTCTGGAGTTTTGAAATTATATTTATTGTAATATATTATAAATTAAATTGTATTTATCTACTAGTACAAATAAAACTATTAAATATTAAAATCAACCAAGTGTTATATGACTTTTGGATAAAATAGTTTTACATAGTGAAGAAAATGCTTTAATATACTCAATCATTTGTTACATACCAATTTAGTACTTATATAGTTTATATTTATTTTTACATAATGAATGTATAATATTGTAATAATTTATAGAATCTTTTAAACTAAAATTTCACACTAAACACTGGATTCTATGTAATAATAAAGCAACACAATTTTGCACTACTAAAATTTTTGTATACAACAGTAAAATAGTTTTAGACTAAATAAAAATGTTGGTTATTTTTAATTTTTGTATTTATCATTCATAACAAGTTAAACAATTGTAATAATGATAAATTAAATTATAAAATATAAGAGTTTAGGAGACTAAATAATTGTATTTAATTTCTTTAAAAAAAAAATTATCAAACAAACAACTTACGTGTTTTAAAAGATATAAACGTCTACAAATCTGAATTTTGTGGCACCCAGAAATAAAAAATGAAATGCATTACTTCGTAAAACTGAACCGACAACTATTATTTTTTTTTTTTGGATTTCCAATAATTAAATTATGTAATTTTTTTTAATTATCTATTACTTTGGAATGTTAAGTGGACAAATGCCCACTGTTAAGTAGCCGTTCAACAGCGGCATTTATATCTCCAAATGTAGCAATTAAAGCTTGTAAGTTGGCTTCTCTGTTGACAAATCCCATTGCAGACAATTGGTCCAATTGAGAACTGTACCTTTCTTCTGGAGGCTGTGAATTTGCCACGGGGTTACTGTTATTTGGCAATTGTGATAGCTATAAAAACATAATTATTATACTTTTTATAATAGGACATTCAATAAAGCCATTCATATTGGAAAATACAAAACATTTTATACAATTTATTATCATTTTATATACAATTAAGAAATATATTTAAAAAAATATAATTGTTATTAAATGATTATGATTTGTTGTTTTAATACAAATTCTATAACAGTCTGCTAAATAAATGATGGCAAATGAATACCAAAATCTTATTCATATTTGAAATTTTATGTTTATAGTTTAAGGGTGTCTATGGTAAACAATATCACTAATTTATAGACATTTGTTCATAGATTGTAAATAAAACCAATAAAAATAAAAGAGCTGATACTGGGGATGGGTACAGACATTGTTGTAAGTGAAAGTTGGGAAGATAGGATACATAAAGTTATTTAATTTCTATCTGTATGCAAAGATAAACCATTGCTAGCAAAAAAACAATTCGGAGTTGGAGTTAATAATATATATTTTGAAATAGGGTATTTTTTTATTATTTTCGTCAAAATTTGATCTTAAATATCAAAAAATTACTCACTGTCAGTGGCTACATATAAAAAGGAACAAAATCAAATTTTTATAATTTTACTTTTGTTAGAAAACATAGTTAGCAAAAATTAAAAACAATGAAATGACTCCTCTACTACGCTAACTAGACACAAAATTACCTTTCAGAAAAGGTGCTACACTCTAAACAACTTCTTATGTACAATGAGCCACCATTGTCAGACAGACATTGTGCAATGTCAGTCTTTTTTTAAATTCTTAAATTGTAAATAGCTATGGATATTATAGATTCATTGTCATTAACTGAAGAAGATTAAGTATTAACCATACCATGGTATTAAAACAACAGAAGTACAAAAGAACCACAGTTTTATCAGTTATTGTTCAACGTTATATAATGGTTATGTAGATATATATATATATGTGGTTTTATAAATCCAGTAATAATTTACAATTTACTAATTATTTTATGTGATACTGTCACATGTTACAGAGACATTATAATTGTATAGAGACACTTTGAGTTACACCTGTATGTAATATATTACATTTGCAGACAATCCGGCATCATATAAAAATTAACAAATTTAATTAAAACTGTAAGGTTTAATTAAATTTGTTCAATGTAATAGTCTATAGTGTTTAACATTACAAACCATTGGAATGATCTATGTTTATGAAATACTAATAAAACTAAATTAATAATTAACTTTAGTTTTACCATTCTTCTCATAAGTTCAGCAAAGTTATTTTCTTGTCCTTCTTCAGTTGTTGGCAAATCATTGGGTACAGTCGAGTCGGCATTAGTAGTAGTATTGACATTTGGTGTTGGGAAAAAAGATTGGCCACCCAATGATCCACCAATATTTGACATATTAGTGCGTAGTGATTCAAGGCCACGTTGTATTTGATCAAGAGCAGACAAAACATTTGGATTGGTTGTCATTTCTTGAACCGCGGGGTTTGACATTTGTTGTAGGAATGCTGGCATCATACTACGGAATTGGGACTAAACAAAAGTATAAGGTTTTAAATTAATTTGAAAAATATCTACCCAAATTGTTTTCCTTACCTGAAGTTCAGGATTATTAGCAAGCAATGGATTGTTACTTAGCAAGTTGTTGGCCATATTGGGGTTACTAGTCATTGCCTGTAAAGTTGATTGAAAATATGGGGTATTCATTATGTTTTGCATCACTTGTGGATTTTCAATCATTTGTTGCATCATTGAATTCATTGTATCACCATTAAACATGGTTCCTCCAGTTCCTCCAGTTGGTATACTACCAGATGTTGGAGCTGACCTTACATTTGAAGGATCTGCTGGGTTTGTTCCAGCAGAACCACCCCAAGGATTTGGCAATGGATCACGATTTTCTTGACCTTGTTGAGGATTTTGTTCTGACAAATATTGTTAAAAATAAATACAATATTTCAATTGACATGGTATTAATACAATTATAATTCAAACATTTGCTATTTAGGTCTTTAGTTTTAATAATAAAATATTGGGTAATATCAATCATTGCCAAAATACAACGATTATATTAAATAGATTTTATAACAGATTAAAAATAAATAATAATGAATGATTATGTTATATAAAGAATATATTACCACCACCACTTTCACTTGGTGCTGCAAACGTGTTCCGACTAAATTCTTCAGTGGCTGCATTCATAAATGGTTCTTGAACATCTCTATACATTCTTTGTAAAGCACTAAAACCTCCAGGTATTGATTCCAAATTTGATAAAGCTCGGTCCTGTGTACGCATCAGTTCTTGCAACATTGAAGGGTTCCGAGCCATTTCCATAGTTTGCCGTAACATCTCAGGATTGTTTAGCATATGATTAATTTCCGGGTGTCTCTAAAATAAATAATAACAATAATTTAATAAATAAAATAAATAAAACAAATATTATAACTGCGTACCTCAACTAATTGTTGCATTTGAGGATTAGCCAAAATCAACTGTCTCATGTGTGCAGGATCACTCATCATTTGTTGTACCATTGGACTATCAACTAAGTTTCTCAGCATATCAGGGTTATCAAGTAATTCTCGTTGCATACGCTGTTGCAGTTCCATAAAATTAGCAGAACTAAATCCCATTGATTCCATACCAGGTAAACCACCCAACATACCCAAATTAAATGGTGATGCATTAATATCAGCTGAAATTTTTAAATAAAGTTGAAAATAATTTAAATTAGAAAAAAAAAAAAATGGGGAATTAATTTTAATTACCAGGAGGTCTTTGAGTTTGAGGAGCAGATCCTGTATTTGTAGATGAAGATGTAGTTGTAGTGTTTTGGGGCGCATTAGTCTTGATAACTAAATGAACTGTCAATCCATCTTTGATATTGTGTGTTGTCAATGTATCTTGATCTTTCATGATTTTACCAGCAAATATTAAACATAATTGCGATGATTGTGCATTAAACTGTTTAGCAACAATCTCTTTGAACTGGAATATAAATTAACAAGATTAACTCTACTAAAACTAGAAAAAACATATTTCTTTATGAGTTATTGTTTTATTGTTATAGATAGAATATAAACACTACAATCATCCCCAGCTAAAAGCAAAGGATAATACAAAAGAACAGATCCCGAGATCTTTTAGAAAATTTTACAATTCATTATTATCAGCAAAAGTTATTAGTAAAAAGTAAATATTAGTAAGTTGTTAATTATTTATTCTACTGATAGAACCAAAGGAAAATAGAAATTAATAAAAACAAATAAATATTAAAAATAAGTCTGAAATTCTAGTGTAAACCCCAGCATATGCCAAGACCATGTAATAGAGTTCTATTATATTTTCCTTTATAATTCTTATGTATATTAAGTTTTAATAACATTTATTCAATTTTTTTCTGTTTTCATTTAATGTACGAACAAACAAACAAAATAAACAGTTTTCAGTTTTATATATTACATATATAGTTTATATAAATTTTCTATAAATTAGAAAAATAAAATAATTGAAATCTAGGTAACATGAAACATGAAAGAAGTTACTCCATAATGATTACTTAACATTAAGTACTAAATGAATACTATTATTTTAATACTAAGTATAAAATAAATAGTTATGTAACACAATACCCTAAAATGTGGTGAATACTATCACAATATATTTTGATTATTCAACCACAATTATTTGTCCTAAATTTACAGATAAAAAGTGCAAAAGAATAATTTTAAAAGTAACTATTATAGATGCAACACATAATCATTATGGCTAGAAAATGATATTTATTTTAATTTTTTTTTTATGATTTAAGAGTTAAAAGGATAATTTATCAAAATTACATTCCCTCTTTGAATAAAAAATGTTTAAAACCTAAGACATCTATAATAATTTAAACACATATTTCAAAGAAATTAAGTTTCAAAAGGAAGTTTAACTTTGGTATTCATACTATGAATCTATTACGGGTGATAACTAACAGCTAGAAATATGACCCCTATAAAAGAATTTTGTGTCAGCAGATAATTACTAAAAGTTAAATTTTACTGTAACTTAAGGAGAAAAAATTAATCTTTACATGAAACACTAAAGTTGTGGATGATATTTGAAAATATGGATAGTAAACAACAAAGACTAAAATGTAGTATTTTAGTACTATATAAATTGATAGGAGATTAGCCTATCAGCTAATAAAAATAATTTTAACTGTAATAAAATGAAATGGTACAATAGCAATAATAATATATGTAATATGTGTTTTCATAAATTGTTTTTATTAACAATAAGATGGAAATAAATCTATAATAATATAATTATGAAATTATTCAAACAGATATAACTTAAAAAATACTTAATTTATGAATTTCGATGAAACTTGTTTTAAATAAATTCTTAAGCGGCCCATACATGATCAATATATATTGATAAAATATAGACTAACATTGACAATGACCATCAACATATCAATATTATTGATTAATATACCAGTCACATGGTACGGACAAGGTGACTAATAGTAATCTTATAGTAAAAGTAAATCAATAACTATACTTTCAATTTGTTAGAACATTTTATAGAATTTAAGTACAATTTTCACTACAAACAATGATATCTGATAATTTAGATAATACTGTATCTAGCTCTTGCTTTAGCTACTTATATTATTGATAAAAAAAAAAGTCAAAAGAAGAAACGCAAGCAAAGATTTTAGGCTAAAAAGTGGTTAAAAAACAAAACAAATACAATTGTGTAAATCTTTTATCCTGGATACAATTAAATAACCAGAAGACTACTAAAATTTGTTAAGAATGGACGAGCGATGTTTTGATAAACTTTAATAAAATTAAAAAACTTTGGATAATAAAAACTAATTAATTAATAAAAAAATAAGATACAATAATGTGAGATGGAATTTTGGTCAGCTAAAGACTTGTCAATATTATTGATCAGTGCTACTAACACACAATATTATTGACAATGTATTATAAAAAATCAAAATTTTTAAATTTGTTTAATCCTTACACAACTCATACACGATCAATAATATTTCCAAATATTGGTCAACATGGATCTTGTATGAGGGCCTTTATGATTCTAGAAATGTCATCAGCTATATTTTATCTGTTATTTCTAATGTTATTTAACTATTTTAAGCAAAATTCTATTAATTCATTAAATTCTTTCTTGGCTCTCTATTACTAACCTACCTAAATACTTATCAATAATAATTTGTAGGAAAGTATCAACAATTATAACAATTATTATTCTTAAATAATAGGAATTGTTTAGGTGAGCTTAATTTCAATTAACATATTGCTGCATTATTTACTAATTGTTTACAATATCTTAAAAACATTTTGATTAAAATAGAGATTTTTACAATGGAGAACCAGTAACCGACTAAAGTAAATGTAGTTTTAAATTGTTTGCTGATTCCTACATTCTGGATGTTGAAAATCGCATTCAGATATCAAATCATTGTAGGAAATAATATTATAAAAATGCTAAACTAGATCAAAACACTCCTAAAATTTCCAAATCTACGTACCAACCTACAAGAGAATTTTAGTTTTCATAATTTCATAAACAAAACTGTATAAACTAATAATTAACTTGTATTTGCTATTAACAGTTATATATATTTATTAATAGGTAGGTACATTTATTTTATATTGTACCAAGATACGTAGTAATGAGTTCACAATGAACATTGATATCTTTTTTCAAATGCAACCTTGTTAATAAGTAATAACGATACCGGTTTTAAGTATTAATTAAGAAGTATCTTTTTAAATAATACATTTTATTAAAGATAATAATAAAATGAGTCAGCTTAAATAATTACATAACCTTAAAAACACAATGAACAAGAAGTAAATTATTAAATTCAACAAGAAATCCTGAAAAGCCAGTAATTATCAAACAAATCATCATTAAATATTGTTATACAAATTATTTTAAGAATGTATTAACTCTAATCACAATAACATATACGTGTATATCTGTATACTAACTTCACTAATAGTAGCATTTTCTTGCACTTCGACTGTTTGCTTCTCTTTGGGCGTTTTTACCGTCAATGTGATTTTCTTTTCACCCGCTTCGCCGTCTGACATTTTGCTGAACCTATTGATCTGAATGATACAAAACTAATTCAAATACCACTATTTTTAAATAAACACGTAACTATAATATTAATCGACCAAAAGTTTTATGAATATTAGAAGAACGACGAACGGGAGAATAATATTATAATGACATAATGATAATGACATAATATAATATAGAGATACTAAATCTTGGAATAAAATAAAATGTAAAAAAAAAAACATATGAGAAACATGGAATAAAAAATAAATATATTATGCCATGACAAATTCTGGTTTCTATGGTGTTCATATTGATAAAGAAACGCGCTTTTTCGATAGCACGAGGCATTATTGTAATTATAATTAATTACGTTTTTTGTTGAGTTATTATTTGAATTATTCTATGGACAGTGTTTAATTGTTCAATTATTATAACTTTAATTTTAGAGGTTTGTGTTAATTTGTTAATTTGATTTTTTGAAAATTCTTAATCATGAAGATCGAAGAAGTTAAAAGTACTGTAAAAACCGCCCGCATTTCAAGTCACAGTCATGTAAAAGGGTTGGGGTTAGATGAAACTGGCGAAGCTATTCAAATGGCTTCTGGTTTAGTTGGTCAAGAAGATGCGAGACAAGTAAGAGCGACAATTTAGAATAATTATTTATAGTTTATAATAATAATAACCTATTTGTTTTACTTTACAGACTAACTTCACGGTTTCTTCCAAAATTGTGCAAAGTTTTAGTTAATATTTTGCATTATAAATTCTCACAGTCACTTATTTCCAACAAATGCTAGCCGCCTAGCTAAACGCTATTTCATTTAGACCATCATATAATTAATAACTTAGTAATATTCCATTGTTAATTATTGATAGCAGGAAAAATTTTCACATTTTGACCTTTCTCTACACGTTTTACATTTGAGTAGAGCGAGTTTAATTATAGTAGATTAAATATGCCCTGTAGGTAGTATTAAATTAATAGCAAACGTAAAAATGGCCTAAGTTTAATTGTATAATATATATATATAAATATCAAAAAATATTGAGTCCCTACTTAAAGCTACTGACTGCAGCGGAATTCCTGTGCACACTTCTATAGTTTATTTTACTCTTTAGTTCAAAATTTAAATTTAACAATTGTCATATATATATTAATAAAAGAAATTGTTTATTTACTTTATAACAAAACAATTGTTATTTTTAGATTCTGAGTGGAACGAGGAATGTATTAGCTTTACAAAGATGTGTATTTTTTAATTTTTTTTTTTATGTGTACACTTTCTACCGGAAAACATACTCTAATTATCAAGTATAATGCCTTTTCTGAAAGGAAATGTTCTCTGGGTGTAACTTTAGAGCAGTTATTTTTAAATTTCTCATTAATATTTGAGATAATGAAAAAAACCAGATTCCTTAAATTAAAAAATATTGAAAGATTAAAAATAAGGTTGTCCTTGGGAACCACTTTTATTTATTTTTGTTGTTTTAAAGTTTTTATTATTTTAAATCTTTAAAACAATCATTGTTGTCATGGAGACGCCTATTGTTGTAACTATTTTACCAAAATATGACAATATATATTGTTGTTAATTTGCACCGATAAACCTATCGGTGCTTACAAATATACTTTACATTCATATCTGTATCCTACCTTCCCAACTTCCCACCTACAAAAGTGACTGCATCCATGTACAAAGTACAAGTATATATTTATTACCAAAAAAAAAAACTGGAAAAATTTTTTTTTTTTATTCGGATTATGCTCTAAAACTACTATTTATTATAATTTGAATTGCAACAAAAATGTGCGTAACCATTTATGTACATAAACTCTGAAACAATTTTTAATTTAATTTTTATTAATTAAAAAAATTTAATTTTTTTGAAAAATAATTGCTCACATAATATAACTTTTAATTATTAATTGTTTTGTTATCATTATGGTAAAAATATTAATTTTAAACTATCCATCTACTTTTAGGCGGCTGGTATTGTTGTTGACATGATAAAAACAAGAAAAATGGCTGGCCGTGCTGTTTTAGTTGCTGGACCTCCGGGTACAGGCAAAACTGCAATCGCTCTTGCTATTGCTCATGAACTTGGAAACAAAGTATGTACTATTGGGCTTCAGTATAAAGAGTAAAATTAAAATTTTTTGCGGCCATCAATATTTTAAATATTTATATATTATTAGGTACCGTTTTGTCCTATGGTAGGATCCGAAGTATATAGTTCAGAGATAAAAAAAACTGAAGTGTTAATGGAAAACTTTCGACGTGCTATTGGGCTTCGTATCAAAGAAACAAAAGAAGTATATGAAGGAGAAGTTACTGAAATGACACCTGTGGAAACTGATTCTACTGCAGGGGGTAAATTTAAAATCAAACAAATTAAAATGTTCACCAAAACTTGCTTCAAATAATATTTTATTTTATTATTAATTTTGAATAATAGGTTATTCCAAAACTGTATCACATGTTATTGTTGGATTAAAAACAGCTAAAGGAACCAAACAATTAAAATTGGATCCTACTATTTATGAGTCCTTACAAAAAGAAAAGGTTGAAACTGGAGATGTTATTTACATTGAAGCCAATAGTGGAGCAGTTAAACGACAAGGAAGAAGTGACAGTTATGCTACAGAATATGATTTAGAAGTAATTAATACAGAACATAATACAATTAATAAAATATTTCATCAAAAATAATAAACTTTTAACATAATAATAATAGTAAACTAATTGTTCATTAAATAGTTTTTCACAAGTTATAAAAAGACATATTTTTATTAAATTATCAAATATTAGTGATGATCCGATATTTGCTTTGAAATAAAACTAACATGTTAGTTGAAAACCCAATTTTTGAGTAAAGATTTTTTTTTTTTAAATATCGTTTATAAACAAACCCGATATCCAATATAAAACTGTATATAATGATTTTTTTATCATTAAATACTCATTTTGAAAATTATTGACTATTTTTTAAATTAAGTTGTTTTTTTTTTTATCAATTTTATGATTGAGGGAGAAACTACTATCAAATTTTGATTTTTAAATGGCAACCTATATTGAAAATGCCTTTAATGGATGGAGTATTATACTCTATTCAGATTAAGAACAGATTAGGAGGTTGATATAAAACACATCATTGTTTACACTTCCATTGCCACTGTGGTATTTATAACTCATTCACACAGCATGCGAACATAAATAATAATTCCCGAATAATTAACAAATCTGCCACCAGGTGGTCTAGCAGCGCTATAAGCTTGGTTGAGATGTGCGAAGGCAGTCTGTTCTTATTCTGAATAGAGTATAATTTAAATAAATTTTGGTATTAATATTTTTGGTTTCCGTAAATCCATTAACGAAATATTCCACTTTAAAGTTTGGGTTGGAGAAGAGTAGTGGTGCATTATTAAAACGCTGTACGCCGTACCATTACCCAAAATGATGCCCCACTACTCTCCTTTAACCCAAACTTAAAGTGGATTATCTCGTCAATAAATTGATGGAAATTTAAAATTTCAAGACAAAATTTTATTTGAACTAGTACTCCATCTATTTATAGGATTTTTAATATAGGTTTTTATTTGAAAATCCAGAGTAGATAGACGTTTCACCCCCCAAAAATAATAAAAATGTAAAATTGAAGGGGCTGCTTATTTCTTAAATTTTCTATAAAATAGATTATGAAAAAAGTTAAAACCTTCCAAGACAATGAGTGTTTCACAATAAAAAAATCGCCCTTTATAACATAAAAATTGTTTATACTACCTATACTTTAAGATGCTTATTTTATAAAATTAAAAAATAAATTATATGATTTATCTAAATATGAATTATTAAATAATTAGGCTGAAGAATATGTACCTTTACCAAAAGGAGAGGTTCATAAGAAAAAGGAAGTTATTCAGGATGTGACACTACATGATTTAGATGTCGCTAATGCTCAACCCAAAGGTGGCCAAGATATACTCTCCATGATGGGTCAACTAATGAAGTCCAAAAAGACAGAAATTACTGGCAAGTTCTTTTTCCTCTCTTAATTTCATATCTGGTATAATTAAATTTTTATTTGTTATAGATAAATTGAGAAAGGAAATAAATAAGGTGGTCAATAAATATATTGATCAAGGTATTGCTGAATTGGTACCTGGAGTATTATTTATTGATGAAGTACATATGCTCGATTTGGAAACATTTACATATTTGCATAAAGCATTAGAGAGTACCATTGCACCTATTGTGATTTTTGCTACAAACCGAGGACACTGCACTGTCAGGTGAAAAAATGATAAATTTATAATGTAATTTAAAATATCTTGGCTCACCTACACAGGTCTTCAGTGAAGTCCATAGTATTAATTTGCATATTAAATTAAATTGTGTACCCGATTTATTTATTTAATTTGATTTTTTATAATATTACAATAAATATTTTTTTTTAGGGGAACTGAAGACATTATTGCACCTCATGGAATCCCTATGGATTTACTTGATAGATTATTAATAATTAGAACTCTTCCGTATAATAGAGAAGAGATGGAAAGTATACTTAAACTTAGAGCTCAAACAGAAGGTCATTCCATTGAACCAGACGCGCTACACTATCTTGCTGAAGTTGGTGTGACTACTACTCTAAGGTATACTTATAAGATTTTTAATTTTAAAAAAAAAAAAAATGTGTTGATAATACATTTAAAATGTATAAACATTTTTTAGATATGCCATTCAGTTATTGACTCCATCGTCACAAAATGCCAAGATGAATGGACATGGTTCAATATTACGTTCTGATATAGAAGAAACCACATCGTTATTTATGCATGCAAAAGAATCATCTAAAATATTAAAAAAATGTGCTGATAAATTTATGAAATAATTTTTGATTTAAGATTGTGTATAATAATATTAAAAATGTACTCTAATTTTTTTTCCTTTTATAATTTGTTATTTATGTTTTCAACCAGTAAGGACTGATAAAAAGAAATAAACATAATTGAATAACACAATATCTATTTAATCTAAATTGTTTGATTATGTTTATTTATCCAACCATTAGACCATTATACATTATTGTATTTTTTTCAATTGCTCTATACTGATGATATTAAGATCAGTAAAATCCATAATAGACTGTATTCTATTACACAATTAACTAAACCACAAAATACTTATACATTCCTTTTGAAATTTTTGTTTCAATAATACACTTGAATACTAATTATGAACAAAATATTATTTATTATTTGGTCAAATAAATCATTGAGAGAATTGATTAGAATAAAAAAAAATAACTATAACTCTAACTTAGATTATGCTATTTTTTATGATCTGTGTAAATATAAGAACTGCTCATTGTCAGTTAATATCCAGCATTGAGTTTAATGTAAAGTATAACTTTAAATCATTTTGGAATTGCATTATATGTATTAAGTCTAATATACCAAATGTTCCTCTTCTGTTTTTCTTGATAATAACTAGATTCTTTAAGTGCTTTCTTCCCCCCCCCCTCTCTGCAAAATCTTTTTTCCTGTAATACTGTAGTGCAGTTTACATAAATTTGTTATATTAATAAAATATATTATTAGTAGAACTATTATAAGTATAATAAAATACATTGTTTTGTATATTAATATGAATCATTAATTAGCAGAAAAGGGAATGTTGAGTTATTACCGGATTAGTATTTATTTACTTTGAATACATATTTTGTGTAAAAATGGGACAAGTCCATCAAATTTGTATGAGAGTAGCAACCACTCAAGTTAGCATTGAGTGCAGAAAGGGAAAAGTCAACATAGTCTTTGTATTCACTCTAATTCACTCTATGAATTTTTGTTTAAATCTTATCGTTATCAGCCAACAGTTTTTCATCTTGTTATTTTTTGTAAAACTATTTCTGAGTTTGTGTTATAAAAAATATTCAACTTTTAAGATTTAAAAATATTTGTAAATTATATAAAAAAAAACACTCATGTGTAGAGAGTCCATGTTATAAGCCCCTCTCACCAAAAAATCAAATTATACAATTATAGGTAGTTTGTGATAGATTTTAAATTTAAACCCATCCCCAAAAAAAATCTTGGCTACGTGCCTGAAGAGCTGATACTAGGGTTGAGTGCAGCCAATGTTGTAGATGGGTAGTTGGAAAGGTGGTATAAAGTTATTTAATTTATACCCGTGAGCAATTTTATGAAACCTGGAGCAAAGAAAATAAATCTATAATAAAAACTTAATAATAGCAAAAATAAATAAAAGCAGTTGCCAATGACAACCTTATTTTTAATCTTTTATCTTTTTTAACCAAAAGAACTAATTTTTCCTCACTATCTCAAATATTAATAACAATGAAAATAAAAAAAAATGACCTTTATAAAGAACTAGTTAAGCAAAAGTTAATATACAAAAAAATATTTCACTAATCAAGCTACCTAACAGCTGTATACCCAAAAGATTCCTATAATGAATTTTTAAAAACGGATATACTTCGGACAATGGGTGGGCCACTAGCTGTTGAAGGTAGGAAGTATTTTTACAACTAAGTACCTACGACTTATTTTCTTTATCTATTAATAATTAACCTAACCTCCTGTTAAATTCAAGCATTTCTGTTTTTTCTAATAATATTATCTACAGAATACCTACCTACCTAGCTGTCAAATAAAAATTAAGTAAAAACTCGCAAAATGAAAATGTCCATAAATTACTCAAAAATGGATCAAATATTTTGAAAACTTTACCTTGTCTATAAAATACAAATACAAGTTTTCTGTCCAATATTTTAGTCTCTATGAATATTTTTAATTGAATTACAACAAAAAATAAAATTGAACATAATACATTTTGTAAATTTTCTCGTTTTCCTATGTTTTACCCAATTATAATGAAAATCAAATAATCTCTCTTAAATACTCCTCAGTTATATTCAATTATTAAAATAACTACAAACAAAATCAAAAAACGACTTTCTTATTCACCAATTAGATTACACATTCAACAAAAAAGATATATAGTTTTTTTTTATTTCAGCAATATTTATGGTAGAAATTATAAGCCGTACAATTTTAAAATAATGAAATCGTTGTGCCGTAATTTGAAAAAAATCATTTCGTCTTTTTTGTTTTTTCCAATTATTAGAAAAACTACTTTGGATATTGAAAAACGATTTTCTCCGTTAAATGTTTACGTGTAGAAAAGGCAGATATTTTTGTGTATTTATAAGTTTTGTGTCCAAATTTCAAATCCATTGTCCATACGAAATACGAATTTTTTTAACTTAATTTCAACAAACAATTTAAATTTGTATCAAAAGCTCAAAAGTGGCTCAAATGTTTTGAAAATGTTATCATTTCTAGAAAAGGCAAATATAAGTTTTCAGTCCAAATTTAAATTCTCTATAAATATTTTTAAAAATATTAAAAAAAAATTAAAACCATTATCTTCGTAAATTTCCCGTTTTTCTTACGTTTTATCCTGGGTTTTTCCAGATATTATGAAAACCTCTTAGATAATCAAAAATGACCTTCCAAATACCATCTAGACAATAGTTCCTTTCAGATAATGCCACACGTATATATCGAAGTAAGATTTCTGATAGAATTTGTATACACGGTATAAAATAAAAAAAGAAAAAAAATAAACATCATAGTACAACCAACACATTCCTCGGTCCGCTCAGATCTCAGAATCTAAAACAAATATGTTTTGTTTAATAATACCTATATAAAATTGATAACAGACAAAGCCAACGGTCAAGGTGGATTAATAATCTACCTTGCTAACATGATAATTTTTCATGTTTGCTAACAGCCATTTAATGCGTATCAATTTTGGTATCAATAGCGTATCAATTTCAAAGGTTCAATTTTGTACGGACAATATTATCATACTTTTGTCAATTGATTTCAAATTCTATTTCTGTTCAATTATTTAATTATGACATAAGAAATAATAATACAATTTTCTTATCGCTACGTAATCATGAGTGACTCTTGTAGTGAAAATACTGATTTCTTGGTGTCTCTACCATCAGATTTCTTCCAAGTGCACACCTCAGATAGTGAAACAATCGAAGACACAGTTACCGAAGAGTTGTCGATAAGTTCAAATAGTTTTAAAGGTGTAATTGACAATTTAGTGACGAATTTAGATACTTTATCCAATCAAATTAATGTAATCGAACAAATGGAAACTAGTTACATTAGCAATGGATTGGCTAGTCCTCTTAGTGCATCCTCTCCTCTTAAACGAAATGGTGAAAAATATATAAACTATAGTTCTATTGATTCATTAATGAAAGAAATGGTTAATACCTATGAGTACAATGACAAGTTATTGAAAAATAACTTGGATAATGGTCAGATTCAGCGTAATGTCAACTTTCAGAAAATAGATGACACATCACCGGTTAAAACCAAGGAAGCCATTAATGATGAATTGGGTGATAATAATTCTAAAAGGTAAGTTTAAAGTTTAAAAATATTGACTACCTACCTACTTCATTTAATTTATTTTTAGTTCATATTATAATGATGTGGAAAGTGCATGTCCGCGTGTAGCAGCTTTTAATGATTCTCAAAAATTAGATTCTGTTTCAAAAGAAAATTTATGGTTGAAACTCGGAAAAGAAATTTACCATAGACAAGTGAGCTATTTTTATAGGTACCCACTCACATTATATGCAGATTATGCATGATGAAAAATTGTATTTAGATTTACAATATAACTATCATATTATAGAACAATTGCAGTTTAGCTATCAATCAATTTTTTTTTAAAAAAAAAAACCTAGATAAATAAACGTTTTAAAAATGATAGTGCAAACAAAAATTGTGGCTGATCATTAGTTTCGAAGTTATAGCCATTTAAAGTTTATCGTTTTTATGGATATTATGGTGTTTTATTAAATACTTGCAGTATTGTGTTTCTTCTATATGTATTGTCGTTAAAAACATTAGTAACTAAACTGAAATTATACCCATATAGTTGATAGGTATTAGTGGCGTAAATTTGGGCTAAGTAGGTTTATGAAGGGATGACAAATTGTTTTTAAATTATAAAGAAGTAGGATATAAACTTATTAGCTAAGGCTTATTTTCTGGAGAGAGACGAGTAGGGTCTAAATTTAAAAAAGTCATCATAAGTATTTTATTGTCATTGTCTTACATTTAAACAAGACCTCTTAAAGTGAATAATATTTGTTGAGGCATAGTAGTCAATACAAATAATATACATAATAATTTTATATAACAAAACTTGGAAGGGGAAATTGAACACCAAAATCCCCTTCCATGATTTTGCCACTGATAGGTATCCTATTGTTCCACTCAATTGTCAATTTAATTTATTTTTCCTATTACTCAATTAAAGGTATACTATATTGGAAGTACAAACATATCATTTGTAATATCTGTTAAATATCATTTTGCAGAATATTGAAAAGAAAGTAATAGATTTAGAAGAAAAATTAATTAACTATGAGAAAAAAATAGCTAATTGTAAAGAGATGGATTGCCAAAAAAATAATCTTTTGGATGAACTTGCTGCACGATCTGCAATGATTCTGAGCCAAGTTAGAGCATATAGTAATATCAATGAAAAAATCAATAGGGATTTACAAGCAGAGCGTAAGAATAAAAAAGATATTGTAGAAGCTATGAAAGAAAAAATTGAGCATTATAAAAATGATTCAGCTAAAGCTATTACTCGTTGTAATTCTTACAAGGCTAGAACAGAAACTGCTGAGAAAAAATGCAGTGAATTATTAACTAACTGCCAAAAAATAGAAGAACAAACTAACCATTTACAATTAAATTTAGAAAAAAAAAATGAAGAAATTCAAAAACTACAAAATGAATTAGCTAGATTACAAGAAAAATATAAAAATGTAAGTTTCAATATTATAGTTTAAATAAAAAAATGCACTTATTTCTAAAATCTTTACTTAGGTGTTAAATCAAATTTATTTTTAAGATAAATGAAAAATACAACAAAGTAATAGACAAAAGTATTAAGTTAGAAAATGAAATTGCAGTGTTAAAACAAGAAAAAAATGTACTATGTGAGAAAACTTTGAAATATGATCATCTACTGGATCAAAAGCGAAGAATTGAAGACATAGTAAATCAAATGAGAAGTGCTGAAGTATTTATAAATATATAAATTATTATATCTATTTAGTATAAAATAATTCTAATTGTAGATGATTTTGTCATGTTTTGTATTACTACAAATTATAATCTATTTAATATTGTTTAACAGTCCTATAAATATTGTTACTTAGATAAAAAACGCAGAAGAGCTTAATGCAGCAAAAGAAGAAATTAAATCTGTCAAAAACGAGTTAAAGAGTTTTTATCAAAAACAGCTTGATGGTATGTTGGCAGAAAAAGTGAGTGATTATCAGCGTAAATTAGATGGAATTGTACAGATTACAAATGAGGAAAACAAACTAATAAAACTTCAAATGAATAAACATATGGCTAATTTAAAAGAAAAGTTAATATCTTCTAAATTGTTGTTAAATTTAAAATATCAGTCACACGTGTTAATTTTATGTATAGATATGACAAAGAAAAAGCACAAATTAATTTAAAGTATACAACCGAGATTGAAAATTTGGAGACACTTATAAAAGAAAAATCTGAATGTATTTCTACATTGGAACAACATTTGGAAGCCGAAGTTCAAGAAAAACGACAATTAGTTAAAAGTGTAATGGGAGTAGTTAAAAATGTGAACATTGATAGTCAATCAAATTCGGTAATTAATATTTAATTTTAATTTTATTTGTTTGAGTCATATATATTGTATTTTATATTATTATTATTAAAAAAAAAAAAAATGATTTGTATTTTCATTAAGTTTCAGAAATTAAATAGTGAGATTAAACATTCAAAACAATTATTTAATAACAGTAATTCATCTTCAAGATTAGAAGATGATTTTTCATTTTTTGAACAAGAAAAATTAATACATCAAGTCACTCCGACAGAACTGAGAAAGCATATTGAAGTTGTAAGTAAAATATTTTATACACTGGTATTCATAATTGGTTTTGTTTAAGGGGCTCATTCATTATATAATATACCTAAAATAGACGATGTTAAGTTTACAATTATAATTTTTTTTTTTTTTTTTAAATAATATTTGTTGTAACATAAAGCTACCATACTCAAATTTTCAAATTTAAATTAAAAATAATGATAATGATAAATAATTACATTTATCAAAAAAAATGATTCTGAGTTAAGTTCATGCATAATTAAAATTATCTCATAATTTCCTGGAAATTTCTTGTAATTATTTTATTTGAAAAATTTTAAATATTTATTGTTATTAATGTCCATATTCAATTAATTTACATTGAAATTGCTGAAAGTAGCTGGAAGGTTGAAATTACTAAGGTCTCGTTTTTTTTTATACGCTATATCTAAAAATATATATAAAATAAATATTGTAATTATTCTTTTAGTGCTCAGAATAATAAAATAAGAGATTTAACTTACACATTATAATATAAAAACACAATATCGTCTTAAATTTATATTTAACCAAAATTAAGTAAAAACTGATAATGTCTTTAAAAGATGTAATTTTACTAAAAACAAATAAGTTAATCTTTGTTATAGTAATTTTTCTCTTTCTTTTTTTATCAACAATAAACATAATTTATTAAATTGTTTCAGCTTTTGAATAAATATCCTGGAAATCCTTTGTCACAAAAATAGTAAGTTCAATTATATTATTAGTGTATTAGTAATTAGTATATTATTGTATTATCAGTTTAATTCCTTCATTTATTTGATGCATTATACATTTATCAATTGTATTTATTTACCATTATTGTTCCTTCACTTATAAATGTAAAGCAATATATAATTTAAATATATAGTTATAATATTTATAATAATTTATCTAATATCAAATATTTTGTACTTTTATAATATTTATGTATTCCGTACATTTGTTTTGTTTTGGTTTTTTTTTTTTTAATTTTACTTCAAATATTTAATGTTCAAATATTGGACAATAGTTAAAATAAATATAACATTAATATATTAGATGATATACTTAAAATGTATGCATAATATTTTCCAATTTGATTTCTTCCAAATTGCCTCATGAGAATATATACTTATAAAAACTATGCAGAATTCAGTGTTTTATGTAATTAATTACTACTATAATAATACTATATATTTTATATTATAATAGATAGTATACAATTGAAAAATGAGCTATTACTGGGGATAAGTGTGTCATAGTTGTAGGTAAAAGAAAAGAAAGAACTTTTTTTGGTTAGGAAAAATACTGCTCTAAATTATTTGCATTGTATTTTAAAAGAATAAAAGGTGCAAACTTTTCACAAGATTGTACTTTATTTGCAACAATTTCTAGATTTACTGTAGTTTTTTTAAAATCCTATGTATAGCATGTAGATACTAGGTTGGTATTTCTTGAAAAGGAATAAGGAAGAAAGGGTAAGTAATAATGTAAATATTAGCTTTCAAAAACTGAAATCAAGACACTATAATATTCTACTGTTTATAGTTTACATTATACATTTGAGTAGACAATTAGATTATGTATTTTTAAATAATAACATTGTATAAATAACAATGAACAAATATCATTATATAAGAATCCTAATGCCTGTAGTGGATACTAGATAGTAACAAGGTTATTATAATAACCTAATTTTAAACCGTAACATTAACTCAAATAGTTATTGATAATATGGGTATTCTACTCTACCCTGAGTTTTTCGAATGCAGCCTTGGATAGTAATAAGTGATAATTTAATGTATAGGAGTTATGATGATTAATTAGCATCAATTAGTGAGCTCTCATTGCGAGTGTAGCCGTACTATACTATACTACCTAACCTTGCACTATTTTTACTATTTATACGAAACTACTGAAGGTATTAGTAGTTTAGTACGACTTTGTACAAGTTATAACTTACAAACACTACACATCATGAAAACCATGCACTGTAACACTACTTATTACCTACTACAAATATATTTTATATATTATACTAGATAGGCTATTCTGAAAAATAGAGGAAGCCATGGGTCACATGACTCAGTTAAAAACTATGATATGGCACCATAGGTAATAATCTTAGATCATGTAGGTGCATATAATAATATGCAGATAGATCAATGTTTACAATTTGTAATCTATATTCTAGTGATAATGACAAAAGTTACATTTTATTCATAAACTCAAACATCTAGCCGGAACATTCATCATCAAAACGTGTTTCAGTGGGTGTAGTTTCATTTCGAGGACATAAACACGTGAGATAATAAATGGAGTGTTTTAATTGACTGTCCCCGGGGTGCAAATTTGTTCTTGCACTAGGCTTTATATCAGTCTTATCTTTCTGATCCCTTTGGGCCGATCACGCCTCTCAGTCCTTTGGGTGAATGTTCCATCTAGATGACTTTAATTTGTGTATGTTTTGTATATGTTAAATTATTATTTGTAAAGTTTTAAATTTTGAATAAATATTTGCTTTCTTTTATACAAAATGTTTCGATAGAAAGCTACCTGTCTTTTTTTCTTGTCAGTCCTTATACTAGTTCTAACTGGTTTCATACATGAAATTTATCTGAATTATAAATGAAATAGGTAAATAAGTATACAAAGAACATGAATCTTTTTCACTAAAATATAATATTCAATAATTTGTCTTTCATGTAAGTAATACGTGACTAAAGTCCATGACCGACGACAATGGAGGTATTGAGGATCGACCCCCCCCCCTCTTGGTTGGATTTTTCATAATTAGTCTGCATTTGCCTAATAGCAGGGAGCCGTCTGAAATTATAATTGTTAAAAAAATGTTTTCCTAGGAAAAAACTATTAAAAAAAAAGGAATGATTATAAAACAATTCGGAAAAATAAAAATTTAAAAACGACAATGAATAAAATAAATTTAAGAAACATAATTTACGATTCGATTAAATACGCATACAATAAACAAAATCGTTCAAATAAATAAATAGGTAGTATTAATAAGTAAGCATAACTTTTATAATAGTAATCATAATATGCTTACTATTATTTAAGTATAATGATTTTAGTAAGCATAATTTTTATTACTTTGGCGCATTTTGGTACTGATTGTGCAACCTATACGTGTTTTTAGCGAGGTGAGGTGTATCAATAATTTTAATCAAATTAAAATAAACCGAAAATAATAAAAATCACAGTAATGCCGTTATTTTTCTCGTCTTTCCTACGTTTTTTCACAATTATTAAGAAAATTAAAAATTACTTTCTTAATCAACCACAAAAAAAATGTCTTTGAATGTTACTCGTGAAATTTGTTACAATATTTCTGGTAGAAAATAAAAATCGTACAAAGTTTAAAAAATGAAATGGCGTAAATATTTGTATGTTTTTTTTTTTAATTATTATGTAAATTGCACGGAAAATCAAAAAATAACCGTCAAAATCCAATAAAGTGTATCTTGTCATTTTTTAATCGGAGCAAGATTTGTGTTTTTTTTAAAAATGAATTAATTAAAAAAAAATTGCATGCATAGGAAAACTAATATATCTCTCACACCACTCAGAATCTAAAATAAGTGGATTCTTAAACTATATAAAATAATATAGGTATGGATATGGGTAATGGGTATTGACCCATTTCATATCATCAACAAGATCAAATAAATCAAAATGAATTTAAACTTCAAATTGAAAAAATTTATTTATTTTTATAATTAGATTCTAAAAAACGCAACTTAAATAATTTATTTTAAGATAATGAACGATATCTTCTTATATTATTTACCCATTTAATTTAGTATTTATATTATCGATCAAAACTTATAAAAACTAATATTCTTCTTCATATAAATTATATTTTATTAATTTTAAACTAACAATATTTTGTGGTTTTTACAAATTTGGTTAAAATTTGAACATAAAAAAATTGTCAAATAATGATAAATTTTATTTTATTTTACCAGTCAGAACAATGTTGAAACTTAGGTAGGTATATTACATGTTTGATATTTTTTACCGAAATAAAAAAGTTATAGTAATATAAAACAAAACAAATACCTACTCAAAAACTTTAAATAGCAATAAATAACTTAAAAAAGGAAAATATTTTTTTCGCAGATTACATTTTTTTTAAAAAATAATCAATTATGTGTTTATATATACATCGTTGTACACATATGTAGATTTTCTAATTAATTGTTTGGCTTTTCACCATTAATAAAAAAAAGACGGACATACCTCGCACGTAGGTGCAGACACTATTGTAAATGAAAAGTTTGGAAGGTATGATACAGAAGTGAATTTAATGTATATCTGTAAACTACGATAAACCATTGCTTACGAAACTATGATTCTGAGCGGAATTCAGTTGATAGTGACGCTTTGTCAACAATATATAATATGTCTTATTAAATAATTAAATAGGCATTACATTTTTCTTTAATAATATTTGTGAATATTGTACTGATTTCCCATTTTTCCTATTTGTTGCGAAAACTCTTGGGATAATCAAAAAAAATGACTGGGTTGGTTGTCACAATTTTTATGTTTTTTAAAAAAAATGATAAAATACATTTAGCTTGAATACTAGTGTTTGCTATTTTTACAAGGAGTGCCTAAGACAATATATTTCATTATGAACTTACCACAATACAAAAAAAAACCATAAGATTTAAAAAAAAAAAATTGAAATGTTAAAATTGTGACAACCATACCCGATTCCCCCAACCTTCCCAGTGAGATTTCGTTTCTGAAAAAGTGCTATCATTGTAAATCGGAGAAAATTTGCTGGTAGAAAAGTTGTCCATAGAAAAAAAATTCATAATATTTTACTAATATATTATTTCGTACATTTTCCCGTATTTCCTCCATTTTCTCCGGTTTTTCACATTTGATGAGAAAATTGAAAAATTACCCCCCAAAGTAATATTCCATGAAAACTTCTTTCAGAAAAGAGCCTACATCGTATACATCGGAGTAAGCTTTCGATAGAATTTTTGTACACAGTTTATAAAAAAAAAAAAATCTTTGTAAAACCAATACATTCTTAGCTATATCCTATACCTACTCAGAATCTGAAAGTACAATGTACTTAAAAAAAAAACAAAAGATGACCTCCCATAAAGTTTTCGATCGAAGAAAATCTAGTCGAAATCGTGTTCACAAAAATTCACGTCATAGTAAAACATAATGTATTATTATTGATAACATTTTCAGAGTTTTGATGTTTTAAATTTTTATCATCGTATCACGAAATCTATTTTTTCCAAACGCAAAAATTGCGCTGGCTGCTGCATGCTGAAGTATAGACGTTATTTTGCGTTGCCCATGTCTATGTTGCTGTATTAATATTATCATTTATTAATTATCATCAACCACCAAAGCGAAAACTCTTGTATAATTTATCTTATCATTATTTAACAGAAAAAAACATCGTTCAGTCGTCGTTTTCCCTACTATTATTGTTGTTAATATAGGTACATAAACATTGACCTCTAAAGTCCTGTGATATTTTTTTTGAATTGAATAATATTTTGTATTATATTAGCATAGTGTAGTTGTAGTCGTTTTAACCTTCAAAATATTAAACTATCTGCCCGAAAACGTGTGCCCTTTAAATTTAAATTATTAATATTAAGTTACTATTTACTCTACCTACCTATTGAAATATGGCTTCCATGGGTAAGAAATTGTTTGAACAACTCAAGAGTAAAGAATTTCGTACTTATTTAATGAGGTATAAACAGTAATTTATTATTCATTATATTAAAGTCATAAATAAGACTGTCTTTTAATTTTCTTGTAGTACACATTTTTGGGGACCAATAGCAAACTGGGGTATACCAATAGCAGCTCTAGCGGATATTCAAAAGGATCCTGATTTAATTAGCGGTAAAATGACTGGAGGTAATATTATAATTTTTAATTTTGCTTTGTATTTAATTATAATATAGCAGTATACAATAAACATACAAATTTTCTTTAGCATTATGCCTGTATTCAATTGCATTCATGCGATTTTCATGGAAAGTTCAACCACGTAATATGCTTCTGTTTGCCTGCCATGCGACAAACGAAGTAGCTCAAGTTATACAACTTACGCGATTCGTCAATCATAATTATATATCTAAAAAAGAAGATGCGAAAAATGATTAGCTTTTATACTTAAATTTATTTTATGGTACAAGTTATTATTTTGTTTTACTGTTTTGAAAATCAAAATTGTATTATGTTTGGGCATCTGTAACGAATCTGTTGCATTTTTAGAAATATTTATTAATTTTGTATGCCCCTTTGTTATTATATACCTATATGTTTGTAAACAACTGCTGACAATAAAAATTACAAAAAATTAGATAATATAATTATTGTTAAATTGTTATTTGCTCATTTTTGTGTTTTATTATTAATAGTATGAGATAACCTTGAAAAATTATTATAGTTCAAATATTAATCTTAATAATTAATTAATATTCATTTTAGCTCGAGTCATCATCATAATTTCATAAATAATGCAATTAGATGAATGAAAACAATAACTTAGTTTTATAGTAATTATTCAAATAATTAAGTTACATTATAGTATATCTAATATCATTATTCACACCTCATTAAATTATTTTTTTGAGTGTCTTTTTAAAATGTAATGTAGAAATATTAGTTTTAATTTTAGTAATTTTTTTTACTACTGTCCATTATTTATTCAAATTGTATGTTATTGTTTTTGACTTATTATTAATGTCAATATATCTGTTAATTTAAAAGTATTTTCATAGTTGCAAATGTTAAATATTTTATTCAAGATAGGTAGTACATTTATAAATTTAAAAATTAATTTAATTTTTAAAGACTAATTTATTATTCAAATTTCTAAAAATTAAAATAGTTTATTGAAACTGTAATTTAATGATAATTACTAATAATAAAATTATTTATTATTTATAATGCGTTAGAGTTTAGTGTAAATTGCCCATAGAGGCTATAGAATCATTATTTATTAGAAACAAATTTTCAAATTTAAAAGGAATGTAGATATCCAAAATTATATATATATATATATATTTATTTTTTTTGATAAAAATGTTAATGTCATTAAGTATTCCATTAAAATAAAAAGTAAACAATACTTTTAATATTGGATACTTGTCTTACTATCTATAAAGTTATCTTATCAACATTGGTGTAAGTATTTTTTTTTTTTATATTTGTATGTGACTACTTATAATCATAGAATATAGATAAATAATCTTATTTATACAAAATAAGCTTATAATATGTCCATTGTATGTGGTATATATTATCTCACTTGAGAAAAAATCTAAGCCTGGCTTAAAATTAAAATAGGTTCTTATTTTTTCCAAATAGTTTTTATACTTTCTAGAACATTAAATTAAACTGATAAGTAATAGAAAAAACTATAAGTAAGACAATCTTACAAAATATACTGTATAGTTGTTTTATGGTTTTCATATTGTTTAAAAATGTTTTATGAAAAAATTATTTTAAAAACATAATTGTAAAAGCACTAACATCTTTACAAAAATGTAAAAGCAATTAATGGATGTTGATGAATAATAAACAATTTTAAGTAATAAAGCTTCAAAATTTAAACTTGTGGTCATTTAACTGTGCGTAATTAGGTAGGTAGAAAAACATAGATAATTATTAAATATACTTTGTTCATTACAAGTGTGGTTGTCTTATTGAAATATATTATTTAGATACAAATATAACTAGAGCGCGGATTTTTAAGTAAATACATAATTTTTTTATTCTGATTAAAAATAATCATGTTTCATAAAGTCCTGAATAAAATAAGACTTATAGATTTTATTAAGACTTTATTTTACATAGGTTCACATATTTTGTATATTCATATGATAGGTAAATATTAAATTTAACAAAAATATTGACAATAACAATTACTATATTATTGTATAATAATAATAAAAATAAATTTATTTATGCACTCAATAAAAATGTTTGTTTACAAAACAAAAGCTATTAGAAATATTCTTTTTAATAAAAATAATAACATATCAATGAAAGGTTATTGAAATTTATGCTATCTGGTTAGTATATCAAGTAGGTATGAAATATGTTCCTTTATCTTCAGTTGGCATTTAACACATATTCAGTCGCTCCAAATCAACTTTGATAAATACCAATTTGAAAATATCTAAATGTATGTTATTTCCAAGAAGATAACAATGAAGGCGAATAAATAATAAAATAAAAAACTTTTACTTATCTACAATATTTTTTACAATATGTTTAAAATTCAAAATATAAATTTACACCTATACAAATATTTCATGTTTTTTGTTTGTTATTAAATTGTAGAGCAGCTTGTTTTTTAATTCCTTGGAAAACAAATTCTGGAAAAAGTTAATACTTTCCGAAATAATGAGTGTACCCACTTAAATGAATCACCTGGTATTGTGACAAGACAGTACTTGTGAACAACTTAAACAGGAAAAGACCATGTGGTACACCTAGGCAACGGTGATTAGATATGTAGTCAAAAGAGATATACAGAAGTTGAGATCAAACTGGCATGGAAACTTAAACCACGCATATAATAGAAAGGAGTAGAGGAGTTTGGTATTGGTAGTCATCATATTACAAATGATGACTGAATAATTTACTGGGGGTACAACTGAACACAAATAATTTTAGAACAAAAATAGTTTATAAATGATAAAATATTGTATCGTATTTGAATTGACTATCAAAAAAATATAATAAATTATCTAACACAATTTAAATGAATAAATTGTTGTTTAAAATTTTAGACCTATAGGTATAATATTTTCAAAAATCGTTTTTTTCGCAAATTGATAAAACTCAGTGTTTTGAGGTACATATTTCATTCATTTAATGTACCTACTCACGTTAAATACTCTGAAAATTGACAATAGGTTGGTACTAAATATGCATATACACCGATCTCAATGAACTCAATTTACTTATTCCTTTTTCCTGAATATATATATACCAGGTGATTTAAGTGGGTATACTCATTAATTCGGAAAGTATTATCTTTGTTCGGGATTTGTTTCCTAGAACATATAAGAAACAAGCAGCTTTACAATTTTATATTTATATTACTTTTTGTCACCCTCATTTTTGGGGGTGAAAAAACCATTACCTACTTTTGATTTTCAAATGGCAACTTTTATTAAAATATCCATAAATAGATGGATTATTAGTTAAAATAAATTCGAGTGTTGAGATTTTTCATTTCTATCAAGCCGTTGACGGGATATTCCACTTTTAAGTATTGACTGGAGGTGAGTAGTGGTGCATTATTAACACGCCATGCTCCATACCACCAAACAAAGATCGAAAAATGATATCGTACCTTCCCAGTCAGATTTCCTTTAGAAAAAGTGCTATAATTGTAAATTAGATCAAAATTGCTGGTAGAAAAGTTGTACACAGAAAGAAAAGGCCATATTTTTTATTAATTAATACATTTCGTACATTTTTCGTTTTTCCTAGATATTATGAAAACCGATTGAAAAATTAAAAAATTACCATGGAGATAAAATTTTTTCTAAGTACAACATCCAAAATGCATTTCTTTTTTCCTTGTTTAGGTAAAAGGGAAAAAATGCAAACATTTTTTTTACTTTTAATTACTTTTTAATTTGGAAACTTAGACTTAACTCTGACTTCACCATCGTTCTTAAATTGGTAGTATACATATGTTCAGAAAAAAAAAATTGGAAAATTAGATTTGTTCCACATAACACTCAAACGATTCTCATTAAATCACATTAAACTCAATTTTTTTTTCTCATTACTAAATAAGACTTTTAACAAACCTCCATTAAATTAAATTAAATTTTGTTAAATTTTCAAACATTTCTGTTCAATTCTAACAATTTTACCACAGAGTATCTATGGAATAAATATTATGTACAAAACTCTCAAAATTAAAATGTCTATAAATACCTCAAAAACGGCTTAAATTTGTTGACCATGTCTAGAAAGGGCAAATATAAGTTTTATGAATGTTAATAACTGAATCACGACAAATTACAAAATTAAAAAATAATAAAAGCATTATTTTTGTAAATTTCCCGTTTTTCCTAGATATTATGAAAACCGCTTGAAAAATCAAAAAATTACCTCCTAGAAGTACCATCTGGAAAACATTCCTTTTCAGAAATGGTGCTGTAAGTATATATCTGAGTAAAATTTTTGGCAGAATTTTTGAACACGGGATAAAAAAATAGGTCTTAATAAAACCAATACATATTTAATTACACTTACAATCTAAAAAATGAAAACTGTAATGCCGCCAGGCGCTGTACATATTTGCCAATTACTTGTAATTTTCTTTAAGTTATTTCAAAAACCTCTTGGTAAACCAAAAAATAACCTCCTCAATGCACCTACAAGAGAAAATTACCTTTCATAAAAGGCGCTATAGTTTATTTTTTGGAAAAAGTTTTCTAGTAGAAAAGTTGTTCGCAGACAGAAAAAAAACACAGTAAAACCAACAGATCCCTCGCTTGTAAATGATATTTTATTCTTTTTAGAAATTATTATGGTTTTCATGACCGTAAGGACATACATTTAGATTACTTGCAATTAATTTCATACTTTTTATTAACTATTTTAATTAAAAAGTTGACACATAATAAGTCTACTAGAAACTGATATATTATATTGGTATTTGCTTAAACCTGAATATAAAAAAAATAATACAAATGACATCAATACAATAAATTGTATTTAAATATAAACAACCTTAATAAAGTGTGATTTTAGAATAATAAATAATAATAATAATAATTTAAATAGAATTTTGGTATATATCAAATTATATATATTTTGATCACAATTAATGGACGGATAAGGTTTACAATATAACTAGATCAATATGAAATTATAACTTGTATACATTTTTAAAATCAACTTAACATAATATTAACTAATTAACAATATAGTAGTTTTTATGACATCAATATTACTAATCGTAAATATTAAACTATTAATATTCTAATCATTTAATGTAGTCCTAATTTAATATTTTTATAGAAATATAAAACTCAATTCTAGGGCTAAGCCTATATATAAATCGATACTCAACAGAAGTTTTTTTTTTTTCAAAACCAATATTTTTCGAGAAAAATAATGCAAGATGAAAAAAATATTTTTGAAATCAAATTTTCAACCAATAAATATGCTAATTTTAATATCAACTTATGATTTTTGTTTCAAGTATTGGACATTGGTTTTATATCAACAGCATAAATTGAAATATTGAATAACGGTAAAAAGGGATATTAATCTATCCCAACTTAATTATAAGTTTTATAATTTTGAATAATTCGATGGAATTCATACTAAAAATTCAGTCAAAATTACTTGAGATTAATTTAGTTATCAATAAAAAAATTACAATAACTATGTATTAAATATTATTTCAATAATTCAATTATTGAAGTTAATATTATATATCCTTTGGACATTTGCTTTCTAACTTAAGATATGTAATTGTTATAAGAACACATTGATTAAGTAAAATGATAGTTATAAATAATTATCTAATCCACATTAATAAACTACAAAAAACCATTGCCAAGACATAAAAAATGTTACTCAAAGGAAGTGCAGCTCCTGCTATACGACATTTGAAAGTATCATACCTAAGAAAACACAAAAAAAATAATTTAAAAAATATTTTATTATATTTTTAGTTAAAGCAATAATTCAATACCTAGTTTTATTATTATGAAACATGTGCATAAATTCATCTTCCATCATTTGACCATCAAAATATGTGAAATCTTCTTCCTCGAATGGAAACTCAAAACCTTGTATACACTCGCATTTATAACCACCAATTTCATAACCACGTCCTTGTATTGGCACACACTACAAACATATTATTTTAAATTTTCTGGTAAATCGAATATTGTAAAGTTGAACAGTGACATTAGATAATTGTAAAATAAAAACATTTAATTTTTTAAAAACTAAATTCAAATTAATTATTAATTTAAAACAGTTATTGATTATGAAAATAAATATTGTCATACATATGAACTAAGTTGATCACATTTATGAGTTCCTTTAAATGCATTGGGTTTATAAAATTTGTCAGGACACTGATTTATATCTAAATTTAAAAGTGGCATTGTAACTGAAATTGCGCCTCTAAAAAACAAAAATAATTATTACATCAACTCATATTTTATTAAACAATTATAAATTTAAAAATAATTACTTGAACTCTAATTTGACTTTGAGACGGTCCCAACCAAAGAACGGGACAGTATAACGAATAAACCAATCTTTTGCTGGACCATTGCAATCATAATAAGGAGCTGACCAATAACCATGATCCAAATTAGCCGCTCTAATGTCAAATTTAGATTGCGTATTATTATAATTAATTTTATAAATAATTTTATAGTAGTTACCTGTAAAAAGTAGGATAATATTCAAATTTATTTAAATGATTTCCTTCTTCGGTATAGCGCAATTTCAATTTAATATAAAACTTTTCTAAACTGTCAAAGTTAGTAGACCATCGACTTTTTGTAAAAGTAAACCATTGTTTATTTGTATAAACTTCATCTAAACATTTGGATTGTTATTAAATTGATAGCATAAAGAGAACACAAAAATAATAACAATTGAAATTATTATATTAACTAACCGGTCTTGTTTAATCTGGCTAAATCTTCCACGAAGAACTTACGACCATAATTTACTGTTTTATAAGCATATGGAGCAAAAAGAGTACGGTTTGGAAATTTGTTTGTATCCCAGAATGTACCCGCTGACCATATTTTAAAATCTGCCATTACAATTGATAATGTTTCTCCGATCATTTCATCTTCAGACAAATGCTTATCGGCTAAACGAGTTCCAGAGTAAACTTCTTTTGGATCAGATATCTGAAAAATATATATTATATTTTTTTATAAATATACTGTGTGTTAACACAAATAAATTACTTGTAAAAATGCACTTATGAAATTAGCAAGACGAACAGCCATCTTAGCTTCATTTGCAAATTGTTTATTTGCTCCAAATCCATAGTCACCTAACAGTTCTAAGTCTTCTTTTCGATATCTAAACATAAAAAAATTGAATATCAAATTATTTGTGTAGAAAGAAGTACTTACTTATGGCAATTGGTTGGATTTACTCCTCGTATGGAATTGATTACTTCATGGATATTGATATTCGAATCTTTTAGGGATCCTAGCCCCATAGTAAAGTTTTTGTATTCAGAATTTTTTTCCAAATATTGATCACGAAGATAAGGGTCCATTTGACTTGGGAAGACTATTTTACTTTGAAGCCCTTAAGTTAATTAAAAGTAAAATAAGAAAGTAAATCATAAAAACTATATAAAATGTTAAAGACATATAAAATTAAAATATAACATACATCCAATCCGTTTACAGTCAAATATATCGCTGTAATATTGTTCAAGTGTTGCTCGTTCTATTATTTCTCCTAAAAATGGTCGACGAACTGTATTTCCTAATCGATAACCAGGTAAACATCGACATTGATAACCACCTCGCCGGAAACCCCAACCATCTAATGGTTCACACTATAAATAATAAAGATAAATGATTATTATGTGAAGTGAACAATTTTTTCCTCATAAAATACTTACTAATGTAGTTTTTTCTTTACATTTTGCAGTATCTGCAAAACGATTAGGTCCTGAATTCCCTGCACTTATAGGACATTGGTTGATATCTATTCGTTCAAAGTCCATTTCTATTACAGATACGGCAGTATAACTAAAATAGTAAAATCAAAATATAATAAATAACATCAGAATAATTTTTAAAAATAAAACATACGTAGGATATTCAATATGTCTAAATCCAGTATGACGAGGGTAAATATCAGCAATTGGCACAACGGCTGCTACCAACCATTTGTTACTGCGTCCACAATCAAAATATGGCCTGGTCCACTTTATTGGACCCGGAATATCATCAACTCCTTAATAAAATAAATATTATGAATGTAAGTGTAATACAAATGTAATTATAAAAGTTAATAATTTTTAATATAAATTTATAAATACAAAAAATAATTTAAACAGTAAAATTTACCTGGAGGACCGTGGAAAGTATGTGTTTCATTTGTGTTGTTGGCATAACGAATTTCTACTTGATAAGTAGTCTTTGTATCATGACGTCCAACAACATTATCTGGAAGCCACTTAGAATACCTGGAATATAAATGATTGCCACAAAAAATAAATGATTAAACATTATACTGACATAAAAAAAAAGGTTAATTACCATTCATTGATTCCATAAAATTTTGATGTATAGTCCTGTGTAAGACTTTCGTTAGAAAAAGCACCCAAATCTTTAACAGTAAATGTATTTAAAGTTGACATTTTTTCCAAATGAATAGGATCGTTGAAATCATCAGCTCTATATTATATGTTTATAAAATCCAATATTAAAATCAAATTTGATAATTAATATATCTATTAGCTTACCGAAATGTCCGAGGAGCAAAATACGGAAGTGTTTTGTTGAAAAATCCTCTATAAGACGGCGAATAGGACATGTTGGGGGCGAAATATATGGCACTGGCGTTAATGTGGGAATTGGCTGATACGTCGGCAACTGTAGATAAAAAATAATACAACATACCTGGATCATATGTGTCGTTGATTGCTGGACGTATAAACCTAGCTTGTGATATATAACTGAAGAAAAATCCTCTGTTCAAAGCCATGTTGCTTATATGTAACAAGGCTGTACGATTGGGAAACACAGGATTGATGGCGACATCTTTGATGTCTGGTATATGCGACACCGTGTCTTCAGGTAAATATATCTCACCCAATGGTTGAATCCCACAATTGTCAGCATTTATTTTATCTAATCTGTGTCGGATTTCATCCACAGCGTCCTTTGGTTGCCATTCGTATTGGGCGTTCACCCAACAGATGAACATAAACAATACATGCGTAAACAAAATCATTTTATGGAAGAGTAAAACGTTTTACTTGTTAGATATTCATTTAAAAAATAATTATTTGTAAACACAATAACAAAGTAGGTAACACAAATTTAAAATTTAACTTAAATAATTTTTTAGTGGGAAAAAAAAATGAGCAAACAATCTACTGATGAGTAATATTCTTCAATTGTGTAGGAATTTTTAAATTTAACTGGGTGGAGTTATATTTTGTTTTGTTTATAAATGAGAAGTTTTAGGCTATCAAAGTATCAACAACCTGTTGATTTAATTGGTCATACAGTATGACCAACATTATTAGTACCTACATATTATGTAGTATTTTTGCTTGGTAAATTGTTAGTAACGGACACGAAGCATATAAACAAAAAGGTTTGTTTTACTTATTCATAGATAATATTGTAATATTTTATAATCTATTATTTCCACTTAATAATCTTCCTGTTTCTAATCCCATATTTTAACGACATTTCTTTTCAATTTATATTTTCATCACATTTTTTTTTTCCTTGTGCAGCGTCCTCTTTTCCCCTATCACTACGGCATGGCTGGCTCACGTTTCTTTTCCAAGTTGTCGCACTTGAGTGGCTGCTGGACCGCCACTCTTACAATCGACCTACCCGGTTTTCTTTGTCATTAGCCCGGAAATGTGTTCCTTGTGACCTCAAACTTACCGAAAAAAATTTGAGACTTGCTCGTCGCATATTTAGTTTTTCCATTTAAATAACATAGGAAATTAACGATACTTTCAATTAAATCACATTTGCTCATAAAGTTTGAAATTGACGAAGTTTTTATTTCCATATTACATTCCTGGTTTTCAATTCTCTATCTAAAAATTACCTTCTATAGTAATGTTGTATCCTATATCCGGTTGATGCCTGGTTCACCGTCAATTTTGGTTTCTTTCGTAAATGACGGCGGATACTCGTTTATTTGAGTTCGACTTTTGGGATTAATCAAACACTATACTCATCCGTTTTGAAATAATTACTTATTGTTTATTATTATTTAAATTTATTTAAAAAGACATTTAATAGGTTCTACTTATGACTATTGTTGTGCCTATACGAGTTGTGCTCGTACGGGTTGTTTTATTTGTTCGGTAGTGTGAGGATCCAATTTTAGGAGAAAGTACAATGAAACAGTTCTAAGGATTTTTAGTTAATAATATAATTTAATGTGAGTCGAACTATATAATTAAAGAGTAATGTATTATAATAGTCGTTGTGACGACGTACAGTTTTAAAAGTGGTAGCTCGACCGACTGCGCGGCTCTCTCACGGGTGTCGTATGGCTACAATATTCTCGGAGCCGCTTACACACTAGGCGTTATCGATAGACTACAATAATATACTCTTAATAAGAGCATAAGTCTCTTATGCTCTAATACAAAGGGCTTATACTACTATACTATATACTATAGCAATATGCTCATAACACTATACTGAATCGTTGTTTTAACTCGACTGCTGTCGTCGTTCGTATCTCATGCGCTCGGCGACGGAAGACGTTACAAAAAAATAATATATTGCTTACTTAGCTAAATACAAACTATGTTTTAAATTGTGTTAAATTAAAAAGTGTGTTTTAAAATATTATTGTTATTATTTTGTTATTAACCATGTCTTTAACAAAAAAACAAAAATGTATTTTAAAACTATTTCTATTACAAAAAGTAGAAGAACAAACAATTATAAAATACGTTCTGAAAAAAATAAAAATGAAGTGAATGAAATGTACTTAGCCAGGGATGCTGAAGGATTTTTCAGTGTCCTGATTGTAAAACATTTATGGCGAGACGAAACCAAATTCAGTAAATTTTTCAGATTAAGCTGGGATCAATTTAATTATATATTGAACCTAGTTAGCATTTTTTAGGTCATACAAACATGGATGTTCCCTTACACATTCAGTCAATTGTATGTCTTCTTCTACTGTGAACGATAATTTTAATGAAGACATTTTGTGTCACTTAGTGTTCAAAAAATGTCGAACTTTGAAAATAAAAAAAATGAATATTTTAGCTATTAACCGCGCGGCTCTAGCGGCCGCGATCATAGGAATTGGTTATATTTAAAAACAAGTCAAGTAGCACCTGCGCGGCTATAAGTAAATCGCGCCGCGTCTCTAGACGCGTGCATAGGAATCACACCTTTAAGCCGCAGTGTACATAACACCATAATCCATGTCCCGTGCACATATATTAAACATACCATACATTGCTAGAGATCAACTGGAAATCTAGAGCTCTCATAGGCTGTATTGCGTTTGTGATAAAGTTATAAAATTATATGTTTTTTTTTTTAAATTAATTATTTTGATTTATTTAATAAAATATGATTTATCAGCATCATTTAAATATAAAATTATTAAAGGTAACAATTGACCATTTTAATATTAGTTTAAGATGTGATGCAAGTTCTATGGAAGATATCAATGTGTCTACTAAATAATAAACTATTTATTTTATATGTATCTTAATTCTTAAGTCTTAACTAAATAATTAAAATTAATTTAAATATTTAAAAAAAAACCATATGATTTGGGCATTCAGCAATTTAAAATAAGCGAAAACACATATTTTGAAAAAAATAACCAAAAAATCGCGTGGGAGATAAAATTAAATAAATTCGAATTGCGTCAGCCTTTTTGGTTTGCTGATACACTAGGCTTCTGGAATCCACTGTGATGACAAACAAAATTTTTTCTAAAAAATGTTTAAATTATTTTAGTTAGCATTCTCATGACGTAAATAGTTTATTATTCATTAAAAATAATATAAAATACTTACGTAAATACCAACATACATATTGATGTCTTCCATAGATTTTAAATTACATCGTAAAATAGTATTAACATCGTAACCTTTGATAATTGAATTTTTAAATAATATTAGATTAATCATATTTTATTAAATAAATCAAAATAATAAAGTTTAAAAAAAATCCATAATTCGAAAAATTAAATATTGATAATTTTATAATGTTATCCCAAACGCAATAAAGCCAATGAGAGCTTTCGTTTTTCTAATGAATTACTAGCAATGTATGATATGCTTATATGCGTCTTGTGCATAAATCTACGTATTCTGATTGGCTAAACGGTTTGGTTAATACCAGGTACTACCTGGTTCAGTCAATCAGAATACGTAAATTAATGTACGGAACACGAAAGTACGGAACATGGTGCACGGACGTGTATTGGAAACTGTTATATTCTTCACAATTCAAAAATGTCAATGTGAAAAAAATTAATGAAGAAAATAATTCAATCATACATGTTATGGTAAGTTATGTTATAATTATTTCAGCGGGTCAGAAAAACTATACCGGTGTCGCAAACGAATTTCTTTATTTTACAAGTACCGCTATTATTTTTAAGGGAAAATTTATACCGGTATAATCAAACGAATTTCTTGAACATAGGACGTATCTACATGTTTGTTTTTTCTCCAGTTGGCAGGTAAATAGAAAACTTTTTTTATTCATCCCATTCGACGGTAACAGATATTTTAAATCACTCTTATTAATTGGCTTATAAATAGATACGAAATGATTTTTCTTAAAAATTACCTACACTTATTCTGCGTTCTTCTAAAACCTACCTACCTATCGTTCAGTTTTACACCTGTGTATATAAAACATAATTGTCTTTTGTTTACTTATGCAACTCGTATGTCACTTCCCAGTTCTCCAACTACCTAATTCTATACAACAAATCACATTGATCGGTCTCTCCGTTTTGACGTAAAATGATAAATAAACACACGTTCATGTTTATAATATTAATATACTAATGTTATGGATTAGTATGGTAGTATTTATAGTAAACTACCGCCAAGTAGCAAAATTTGTTTTCTAGTTTAAACGAGGAACTGTCTCCCAAGTATCATACAATTTGTTACTACAGGGCTATAATTGTCTGCTAATGCAGTTCTGGATACAGTGACGCCTAGTGGTTTTTCAAAAGCATGTACTGTTTTATTAATTGGGGGGAGGGGAGGTTGGAAGTTTTTATTAATATTATCTGATTGGGGGTACTTCAAAACTCGTTCTGGTCACAGATGACTCGGCCTTGCATGTGGAGGATTAATACACAAAATATCTTTTGTAACCTACCCACCCACCTATGGATACCGATGCAGTAGTATTGCTTCATAGGTTATGTGAGCGTCACTGTCTTCATAAAACCATTCAACTTTTTCTATTTTCTCATGTAAATATATTTGAGTTTGAAAAGAGCATGGTATTTCAACATCATATATTTATTTAGAAAAAAAAACGGATTACCTTTTTGTTGTATCCACCTATGTTATTTGCCTGTATTTAAAAAATTTGACTTGTTTGCATAATTGTTCAACTTCAATTGTTTATTTATTAGATAATTAATAAAAAATCATAAATTCAAACTTATGTGCACTCTTTATGATTAGGTGAATAATACCTAGTTAAAAATGACTATAATCGTAATATTAAGTACATAATTAGTTTTAAATTATATACAATTTTAATTTATCATTTAGTTATACGAGATTCTTGTTATTTGACGTATCGAAATATAAAATAAAATACTTCTATTATTCCAACTGTGATATAAGATAATACCTATGAATTTATAATTGGTTCCTATGACCCTATACTTGACCACTAAGTATCTAAATCGCCACAATGTAGCATGAAATTCATCTGACTTAAAATCAATATGATGCATGAGTATAATATTACTGACATACAAGTGCATATGAGTTTCAGAGCAATCAACTTACCTACTGCCAAAAATGGCATATATTATTTCTTTATATCATAAAAAAAACTTTGAATTAATACAATAATTTGACACAGGGCACACAAATATATTGGGGATTATGATATATATTATATTAACATATATTTGAAAGTTAATAAAAATGAAATTACTATAATCCTATAGTTAATAAATTGCAATTCATTGAATATTAAATAAGCAAAAAATAATGTACAATTTAAAATTTACTGATAAACAATTCAAATCGATAACATAATCATTTGGAATTCATTATGACCACTCGTAAGTCGCCACAATGAACGAGCCCCTCAAATGATTAAGTCACCAATAATGTTGTTCTAGAGTTTTTATATTTTCTCAGATCTATTAAATTATTAAATTACTTTGATTTAATTACAGTGGCCCTATTATTAAAAGTATTTAAACCTACCAATGTTATATATGAAGAATATTTTATATACCATCAAAAATAGGGTTTTAAAAGAAAATCACTTGTTTACTTTGTTAAAAACTAAATTTATACAGAAGCCCTATTTTTGAAAGTATATACATAATATTATCATACACAAACATCATATACATACATATGAACTTATATATCTTTATATCTTTATAAATCTTAAAACAAATAGAGTTTAACATAAAAGCACTTTTTAATACTAAAATGATACAACATAAGCCCTATTTTTGAAAATATAGGTATCAATATACAGCCATATAGGCAATATTGTATACAAACACCACATTACATATTAATGTATTTTCAAAAATAGGGACCTGCTATAAAACGGTAATTACAATTGAAAAGCTCCTATACTATGATTTTTTTTCTACAATATTTATTTAAAAATTTATTCTGCTGTAGCAGAAGATAACTTATTTAAAGTAAGTAATTAACGAATTTTTGAATTAAAACTTGTCTTCACTATGTGTTAGACAATTAAGATTAGTGGAAGATTCATTCACTTTCACTTCCATTAATCGATGACATAACTTGTAGATTTGCCATGTATCTAACAGCACGAGTGCGAGAAGTTTGTTTCCGTTCTGTTCGTTTTACTTTTTTAAGCATAGTCGCCTATAAAAAAAAATATATATATATATATATATATAGTATACATATTATACAAAAATAAAATAATCTATTCTTTGTAGATAAACTAAAAATATATAATATATACAGACATTGTCAAATTTCATGACATACTTTTAAAGCAGACTTCAAAATGATCAATTCACCAGGTCCTTGTACCCATGGTTCACCATCAACTTGTACAGGAACTTCATTAGTTAAATTAATTTTGACATGTCCACCCTAAAAAAGCATGGGCTTTATAATTATTAAATAAAATGTAATAGTTTATAAACTAACTTGAGCTATTCGTTTAGCATATCTAAGTCCAGTTTGAATCTGACCTAAATGAACAACTCCAGATACGGCCACAACTTCAAGCATACCATCCCAGTGGTTAGGAGTGGAAAATTGTTCTTCGTTACAATTTCGACCCCATGGTTTAGCTCCAGATCCCCAACTTTGTAACAAAATAGTAAGTACACTTGTATTTGATATTTCTTAAAGAGATAGGAAATATATAAGTACCTCAAAATATTTAAAATAATAAGTCCTTCAAGTTGAGGAAGTACTACTAGTTTTCCATCTACCTCTAGACGGACACCTTGTTGTAGATTTTTACAAGGAGGATGGATGATTTTACGCAACCCAACATTTAAGTATTCAATTTTGTTACCAATTCTATAATATATAAATTTATAATCATTAATTATACATAATCATGTTTATATTCAAATAAAGTAATTTATCAAATGAATTAAATATAACTAATATAATACATTGTGGTCAAATCATTTGTAATTCAAGAGTCATTTTATGAATGTGTAAAACAGTTCTGAGTAATTGTATAAATATATCCCTCATATCTTCTTAGACAAAAAAGTGGCTTTGAAAGCAACCAGTTTAAACTACACTGGTATAATAAAATATATTTAAAAATCCCAGATGATACAAAAATTAAATTGTGTTTTAATTATAAAAGTATTTTTGTATAAATTAAATTAGGTACATAAATTGTTATTACATATGCAGTTATACCTATAATAAAATGCTTACCGACTATTAAATCTTTCTGGATTTTTTTCTCGAGCTTTATGAAATGCAAGACATAAATCAGCATCGATACCGATGCCAAAATAATTATTCATCACAAAAATTTGAGTATTATCTTCGCTCATTCCTATAAAATGTAAACATTTTTTTTAAAAAATATGTACTTAATCATAACTAATATAATAAATGCAAATAAAACGAGTCAAATATTAAAATATTAACTTACCAACTGAATTGGGCACGTGGATAGGCCGACCATCTGCCCCATCTTCATGGTGAATGACCACCGTCCATCTATCTAATCGTATCTTTTCTGCTTCAATGACATCCTCTAGAAGATGTATGGGTTCATCCGAACCATTGTACCCAGCACCCCATTTAAGTACACGGGCTAAATCATTTCCAGTACCTAATGGGACAATAGCACATGGCGGTGACGAACATTCACTATCTTGACCAACATTGTCTAAACATTGCAGTACCCAACCAATGGTACCATCACCACCACAAACAAGGATTTTGTAATCTCTTATATGCCTAAATACGTATAACCTGAAAAATATATATGCAAAATACATTTTACAAATACCTAATTAGGAATATTATGAAAAATATATTTTCAATTACCCGGGCAGGGGTCCTCCGTTTCCCAAATCAAATACTTGATATGGATTAAGTAGTTTTCGAAAACTAGATATCAAGCTCAAACCTTGGCAGCCACCTGACTTAACGTTTACAAATACTAATAATGGCTGTGTGTCTGCTGGAACCATAACTGGATCAATGTTCGGTAATAACATAACTAACAGATGTTTGTGTTCATATTCAGAACTTCTAAGAAGATACATCGCATTTACAGCGACATCAGTTTCATTGTACATGATAACCAACGAACCGTACTCGTAATAAATTGGTCCAATAGTTAAAAACCTGCACTCTACAAAAGAAAATTAAATTATAAAATGTATAAATATATTTATTATATTTATTTCTTTAGAATATTTATATTTATACCTTCTCCTAAAAACGTCATTAAAATATTTTCATATGTACGCTGAGATAAACCAGTTGGTAAATTTCCAACAAACAAGGCAATATTAGGCCCATGAGGATCTTGTTTTAGTTGCAAATAAAACCGCATTAGTTCCATTTGTCTTAGAGATTCTTGTCCAATATTTTTTATTATATCTAATGGTTTTTCATCAAAATCTAAAACTCGTTCCGTTACTATAAAACAGTTGATAGATAGATATTAACAAGGATTAAAAATTAAATTTTGATGAAAAATACAGATTTACCTCCGTGTTCCAACAAAACCTGACTAAGTCTATAGTCGGTTGAATTGTGTGAAGTAAAGCCGAATCGAGCCAAAGACTCGACGATCAGATCTTTAGCCGTAGTCTGTCGATCGACAGAAACTACGCAAAAAGGTATATCAGTTTGTAGGCGACCAGGATAAACTCGTACCAAACCACCGTGACTGTCTTGTCTAAAAAAATATTTTATTAAAAATTAAATTAGTATATTAAAGTTCTAATGAAATTTAAAATAATGTACCTAAATTAAAAAATGTATACTAACTTGAGTCTTAGAAAAACAGCCGGTTTCTTGCCTCCTAATCTAGTAACATTATTTATTGGATTTGGATCCTCCAAAATTGGTTCATTTAAACCATAAGCATCAGTCAAATAAAAATTTTCTAAAATAAAAAATAAATAGTTTTGTCATTACAATTTTCAAAATATTATTTAAAATTGATGGTATAATTACCCGCAGATTGAGAGATATTTAACGATTGAAGTATAGTGGAAATGAGTGTTTCGGTTTTTACTGCTTTTGGCACTTTTACCGTGAAACTTGTATGTTTTAAATAAGATGCATCACCATCATACACTTTGACTAATTCTACAAGAAAAAATAAACCATATTGCTTTTATAAAAATAATTTGTTCACGTTAAATAATATAATGAAAACCTTCATTTTTGTCTTCTTTAGTTTTCTCTACTTCATACATTTCCTCATCTTCGGCGTCTTTTGTTTTACTCTCACCGCTACTAAATTCAATTGATATACTTCGAGCTATAAGAAGAAAATTAAATAATTTATTATTAATTATATTTTTGTATTTTCTTATTATCTTATATCTTACGTGTCTGTTTATCTTTTCTGCGCACTTGTACACCAATAATTGATTCCATTGGTACTTCTGTACGCGGAATACTAACTGCATGTGGAGGTAAATAAATTGGACCAAGAATTCCAAAATCACATTCGTAAGGTATTTGAGTACGACATGTTGCATGAGCCTATTACCATTAACGTTAAAAAAATAAATCAAAATATTATATTATTCGTCCTCGGGTTTTAGTTGCAGTTATAAATGTATAATATAATATGACATAATATGTAATTTATGTACACTGTACAGTGCATATTATACAATGTGTTTACTTTCAAATCCATTTTTAAGTTTATTATTTTACTTACCGTAATACCACACCATTCACATCGAAATCCAGCCAGACAATCAGTAGTCCAGCATGGTTTGGCACAAGCATAACACACTGCACCCGGCCTAAGATTGCCTTCTCTCCAATGGTGCTCATGGTGTACAGATGTCAATAACTTTCCAGGATGATAAGTGGCTGTTTCTTTACAATCTGCTACTGCCGATGGTATACAATCGACATGGGTATAGTAATGGCAAACTGTAAAACGTTTATATATATACTTTTTAATATATAATTACTTATATAATATAGGTATCATGAATAGATATAAATATTTCTCTTCAATAAAACTTTTGAAATTAAATATTCATAAATTTAAGTTAGAATGAAAATTGTATGTACATATTGTTTTGATCTAAAAATAATGATTTTGTTAATACAAATGCATTTTATTGAATAATTCATCCTGCTTTATATTAATAAAACTAATGAGGAAATAATAATTTTAAAACTATACGATTTTGTTAGAGCTAAATATTTTAGAATACAGGAAATTTTAATAAAATGTTGTACTTATATAATATATATAACTTATATGTACAATTTTTTTCCCGTTTATTTGAATTTCAGACGAAATATCCTAAAAAATCCAATCTTTCGCTATTTTTCACCAATTTGTATTCTGATGAAAATTCATCACTCTTTATTTAATTTTCCCAGTGCAAACGTGACCTTTCCAACAGTATTTTTCTCTTTAGGTTCTCGTGTAACATTAACTTCACCATACATCCTTATTTTCTCCATATATATCCCGTCTACTTCAGATTTTCTCTCTTTTCCAATAAAATGTCCGGTTTTATTCGATTTTGTATTAAAAAAAAATAGTCAGAATGATGTAGGTACTATGTACATAGAACTGGAAGTTGGCACCATGTTCATACATCATGGATATCAGTAAACCTATACCAGTATTAGGTATGTAGATAATATGGTTTTGCTAAAAAATGATACCTATAAGTACGGTTAAGGATCTATGTAACTTCTTCTTTTTCTCCTTCGCTTTCGTCTCAATTATTAGGGGTCGTCCTAAACTCCCACTTGACCCAATCTCCCACTTATCCCCGTTTAAATCCACTGGCCTTATATCAGTCTCAATTATATATGATCACCTCTTTTCGGTCTTCCTTTTGGTATATCTTTTTCCTCTTACATTTATTTCCATTAAAATGTTTACTGCTTTAAATTCCTTTTCCCTCGTGACATTCCTAAACCATCTTAGTATATCTTCTTTTATTTTGCCTATTTATGAAGCCAGGCCTTATTTATTTCTTATCTACCTACTCATTCCTTATCCTATCTTCTCCCATCACTCCATTCATCCACCTAAACATTCTCATCTCTGTTACACTCATTTTCAATTATATTTTTCTGTCTACCAACCAACACTATAAACCATACGACATAATTCGTTATAGAGGAATACCGAATAAATATGTTTTCTTATGCCACGTTCATACTTAAGCACGGACCACAGACCGACAGTCGGATGCTTGTCTACATGAAATCGCGAAAACATATTTTTGTATGCTCAATCAATATGTGCTCAGTTGTGAATGTGGATTTACATTTAAAATCTATCGATAGATAAAAATAAAATATTTATAGTAAGTATCAAATTTATAACGTATAACAAATTTCTAAAATATACTATATCACAAATTATCTATATACGGGAGACAGTTAATATGATTTACTATAACAAACATGTATGTTTGTTTAAAATAGAAATTATTGTAATGTGATTAAAATTTAAAAATACCTTATAAACCAACTAAGTGCTTGAACGGATATTCAAAGTGAACTTAACTTTTTAAAAATCAATTATATTAACGAACAACAATATTTTCTATTTATTTCGAAAAATTAAAAACTATTATTTTTCATGCTGACGTATGTTTTTTTTTTCAATTAAATATAAGAACATTTGAAGATTATTAGAATAAATTGACGTTTTCTAGACATAATCGAAATCTGTATCTCGTTCACGGTCCATAATTTATTTAACTTATTTCTTAATTCACCCCAAGAAAATTTATATTCTAGTTTTGAAAAAATAGGCGTAGATACTGAAAAATAAATTAATATATTATGACTTTTTAATGATTTGTTTTATATTAAACTATTAAACATAGCAACACTTAAATGCGTTACTTGGAAGACAGAACTGCAATTGATAGCAAAATAATCTGCGAAAAAATAATCATTCTGCTCTTTCGCAGAATGAAATAATATTTTTTAAATAAAAAAATATTATTTTGCTTTAAGAAATGTATGTTTTTAATATTTGTCATTTACCTGCCAATATTAATATGTTATTTTTTTTAAATTGGTTATTTGGATGGATGAGGGGATACATGTCTGTAAGTTATGATTAATTTTTACTCCTCCTTTAATGATTGCCAAATGCCACTAATGGGATGTCGCATGGTAAGTAATACACTCTTATACCTATGAAGATATAAAATTGCAACCACCTTAAATATTTGGGTATAAAGTGAAACAATAATCGAAATCAAATCCGATATAACACTATAAAAATAAGATAGATTCATAATTTAGGCCTACTTACTTTCACACGTAACACTGAAGGTACGACCATCAATTCGTTTTCGACAAACATTACAACATCTTTGATTTCTAATTCTTGCTGGTTCGGACCAACAATGCGATACTGGATTCTATTGATAAAACAAACAAATATAGTAACCAAACTAAAAATGTACTATTTATTTTTAAATAAATATAAATATATTATAGTGATACCTACCTTAATTAAACTAGCTGCTAGACTATGGCAAGGTGATATGCCGGGTTTTTTTAGGCAACTTTCGTGAGCTATATAATTACATACTGAAACATTAAAAAGCAAAAAATCAAAGGCTGTAAGCGCTCTACAATTTAACACAATTATAATATCAACTGGACCAAAACCAACACGTTTGCAGATTTTAATAGGTACTTATCTACATTTTAATAATTTATTATTATTATCAACAATTTATATGTAGATTGACATAGGTGTGAGTATTTTTCTATTAGATTTTTTGACATACGCAAATATAGGTAATAAATGAAAATTGTAGCCTTTTTTCTTAGAAAATATAACTTTGTTAACATGTAAGTAGCTAGATAAAATACAGTTTTTCCATTTAGTTGAAAATCAATAAAGATACAAATTTTTCAGTTTCTAAATACTATTTGAGCCTATAGATTTTTTATCAAATTGATGTGACCATTTTTTCGTTAACGTTTTCCATCAACGAAGAAAAATTCATTTTTATGAACATTGTTTTTCAATAGGTAGATATTATATTAAGTATTGTATAATATAGGTAAACATTTTTAATATATTTAATAAAAATACAATTTTTCGTGTAAAATGATCGAAATAAAACCACCTACTGTAATTTAGTTGAAAAATAAATCTATATAAAGACTGTTAAAAAGTTGGTAAGCAAATAAAAGTAGATAGATACTAATGTTTAATATTATTCGATTTTTACTTCTACAATAATAATAGGTAGGTTATATTATATTATCGTATTGAAACCGAGGTAAATTTTGTAAGACACCGATTTTGATATTGTATTATAATAACCACATCGTGGTTAAATAAATAGTAGGTATTTTTTATTTTATGATGTGATTTTACATCTAAATTCTAAATAGTGTTTTATAATTTTAAATAATATTAATCATGATTAGTATAATAGTACCTAAAACATTAATATTTATATTCAGTTTTATTTTAAAACAAGGTATACGAGAATCAAGTACCTATTTTAAATTTTTGATATCATCTAAAATGACAATAATTATCATAGGTAATTAAAATGAACCTATACAATTATATTAAATAGGTATAATATACATAATAATATAGTAGGTAAGTATTTATGTTTAATATAATTAATATATCTATACTTATAAATAACTATCCTGTTTTCTGTATATCTATCTAATAGATAGTATTTATATAAGTATAATTGATTTCAGCGTGTATACTCGTATATTGTCCCATACATATTTTCTTTATTATTATTTATTTTTTTTTTATAGGAAATTTAATTTAGTGTTACCACGCGTTCATTATTATATCACACGAATATATATTATAAATACTACATCATCCAATTATTTATTTGAGAATATCGATACTGGAGCCTTTAAAAGATATCGTATAGTGTTGACTATTTCTTTAGTATAAACTCAGTGTGAAGTCTACCGTAACGTACCAGTGGAGGTTGAATTCAAATTCAAATTCGAGGGGGGACGGGGGTGAAATTAGTTAAATTATCAAAATTAAATTACCAAAAACCAAACAAACGTCCAAAACGTCATATTATACTTAAAAGAGAATAAAAATAAAATAAATAAATTATTATAATAAAATATTTAAACCATATATCGCACATAACTTAATAAATAGGTAAATAATAATTTCACGCCGTCCATTATCAATGCTACTAGAAACCTTAAACTTAAATATATTCGTTTTTACAAACGTACTATCTTTTTCCTTATGATTAGATAAAAAAAATTAAAATTAAATTGTTAAAAGCCACGATCTAAAATTATTATGTAATTATAATATTGATATTTTAGTAAAAGCTACGACATTAAATGTTATCGTTTATTATTATAGCCTATAAATAAGACGTATATGCACAATAATAAGGACCCTTATGGCCTTATATTTATATTATCTTTATATATTTGTAACGTTGATTTTCAGGTTATTAATAATATGGTTGTAAGGTGTACATGGCAGTGCATTTTAAGTGAATGTCCACATGACGTGTCTCCACTCCCTTCTCCCTTAAAAAAAAGTTCCTTGGACATATAGAACGAAACGTTCTCCTTGACTTATGGACTTTCTTTCGATTACTCCTCTTCCTCACCATTGAGAGTTTTTCATTTATAAAATACAATTTTTGTTAAACAAAAATCTATTATTTATCCAATTCAATAATTTATTATTCATTTTCCAGGAAACATACAGTAAGCAAAATCGTATTCTACTGTGGGATGTTAATGGTCTTTAGTACTGTGGGTCTATTAGAATAGAGAAAAATCTCCTTAACAAATATCCATTGGCACACAGGTAAATATAGACAATTTATACTAAAATGTAATTTATATAATATATAATAGTAGGTTATTAACCTAAAATTAACTTTATTTTAAACGCTTAATCAGTATAGTATAAGAATTAATAATGTTACACCCCCGGGACTGTACTTACCTAACTAATAATGCTGTAAATATATTATCGTAAAATATTGAAAAATTATTTAGAACTATCTACTTACATTTGAACCAATAAATTCCAATAGAGATTCTAAATTAAATTTCAATTACTTTCGGAAGTTCGTGTTCTGTCGTGCACCTGGATACATGATGATATTTAAAGAATGTACACTTGGGTAAAATTATTATATTGTATTTTTTTTTTTTTTTGAAGGCAATTTATTTATTACGCTGCATATACTTATCCATTTTCATAATATTATTATATAGGTAATATATAAAAATATACATTTTTATAAAGAGGGGGGAGTGTATAATAATAATAATAATAATAATAATAATAGTTATGGATGTTTTGTAACTGCAGAATAAAATTGTTTAGGGGGCTGCAAGTCCCATAGGGATTACGGCGCACCGCCGGGAATACGGGTCGAGCAAGTTTTTGCTTTTGACGTCACGAAGATGTTTGCTAACAGTGCTGGAAACACAACACGTTTACAGTAAAAATATTTATAGTTTATTTTTTATACAAAAATAAAATTATTATCTTCGCGAACGTATATTTTTACAATCGGATTTGGAAAATTCAATTCATTGACCATTAGCTATAAGAACCAAATAAATATGAAAATTAATATGCACTTATATTGCATACACGGAACGCCGTTTAATAAAAAATAACATAATGTCGTCTCTATAGCAAAACTACGCAAATCAATTTTTCATTATTATAGTTCAACATATAGTTCAGGAGGTAGGGAAAACTGATAATCGAGATAGGTGTTTTTGTTTTAAAATTTCTAAATAGGAATATTTGGAATAATCCATTATCACTAGAAAAATAACAGATTATTTATTCCAAAGCCGTATAAAATATGAGTAAAAAATCAAAACATGAAACTATAAAAAAAAAAAAACCGAAATTTCTAGTAATGTGGCTTTTCCATGGAAGTGACGATAACATCGTTTTAGGAAATTATATACAGAAGGGATAATATTATAATTTCATAATTTCAATGCATTCTTATTTTAACGCTGTGTTTTTTTTTTAAACTTTTTGATTGATTGTATAATGCGATATTATAGTATACTAAATATCAGATGCTTATTAGTTACTACATACAGTTATATTTTGTATACATGATATTTATCTATCAAAAACGTCTCCTATTTTTAACCACAACTGTTAATATTTTTACCGAAATTTTATATCATAAAATAAGTAGGTATACTTTTAATGTAATAATTCTTCAAATTCAAATTCTTCTTTTCTTTTTAATATTATAATTGAACTTTATACACAACAACCGTTATAAATCGAAATAATTTTCCATATTTGTCCTTTAGAACTAAATAATTTTTATTGATGCTCATGTACTTATATGAGCACTTTTTATATGAAATGTATTAAGTGTATGACAATATGTTTAACCTAATTTTTCCTAAATACAATCGTATATTTGGGATTTTTATGTGAATATTAGCACAAAATTGATTTATTAAATAAAGCGTGTTGGGAGCATCGTACAATTATTATTATACCGTTATGTTTTGTTTGTCTTTCTCTTGTCGTTCTATCGGCCACTTCACCGCAGATCAATGTTATAATACTTTCAGTGACGTCGACAAGAACCAAATAGGTCATATAGCTACTACAATAATTACCGTGCATCAACAAAATGTTATAATAAATATATTATAGGTATACATGTGTGATGGTTTATTACAAAATACTATAAAATAACATCATGATCTTGGTGTTTGCCGTTAAAAAAAAATAGGCACCTATATATTAAAACATATTAATTATATTGTATTCAATGTTTAGTTGCTGCAGTATACCCGATACACTGCGTGTGTAAGTAAATGAACTACACTTCGATTGTCTTACAAAATAATAATCCGACGATTAATAAGATTTATATAATTTTTGCTAACTAATGTATAATATGTACGTACGTATTATAAACACGAAATAACAATCGAAACCGTTTTTTTTTAGGATGTGGTTTAAAAAAAAAATAGGTAGTACATTAAAGTTACGGAGGGAAACTCTAACAGACATATCGGACATGAGACGTAAATACAATAAGGTCCAAAGAACTCGATAAAAGAGGACGAAAACCGAACATTTAAAATATAATGATAACTATAAATACAACATATACCTAGAATCTGGATAAATATAACATTTTCGCCAATATTGTCGATATTTTTTTATTAAACTTTTAAGACGAAAGCCAATTTGATGAATACGGAAATACGACAAAGAGCTTATTTTTTTCCTTCAGAATTATACGCAGGTATATATATATATATATATGGATTGAATCGGGGTCAACGAAATCGGTTATAAAAATAAAATTAAAAAAAAAATCCACTACTCGCGGCTATCGTTTTATACATTAGCCGGTATACATGGTTAAATATTTTTTTAAAAATCACACGTAACACGCGAAAAAATCGTATAAATCTGTATGGCTGTATTTAGATACGTGAATTGCACAGAAACGATCGGGCCAATATCCGCATTTGCGTCTGTAATATACCTACTAAACGAATTGATTGTACAAACTCTTCTCAGCCATCGCATTATATTGGTACATATATCTTTAGAAAAAAAAAAAAACAATGTCATCATTGGTGAGACGGATAGGCGTCATCAGCAAACCCGTCACCGCCATCGTTATCACCACATCCACACCCGCCACCACCAACACCGTAGGTATTGTACATCACCACCACCGTTTTTTATATTTTGTTAGGTACTTAACATACGGGTAATGGAAATAATAACAATAATAAATAGGTACACGCGTCTTATTATATTAATATAGGTACGACGAAGCGGGGGTCATGTAGAGGGTGGGGGGGGGCGCGCGCGGTAGAGACAAATGGGGGGACAAACCTGTGCAGAAATTGCCCTGCGTCACGACGCCCCACAACAAATTGGTGCAATTGTGACAGTAGGCCGGTAGGTGGAAAGTTTTCTTGGTGAATACGTGCCCACGGCAATCCGCCATTGTGCGAGCAGCACTGCCGCCGCCGCCACCGCCTTCCCCACCGCCACCCGCACCGGCGCCCGGCCGCGTCCGTCCCAGCCAGATTTTCTATATGTGCCGAAACCCGGTCGGCAAACACGACGTCACTAACGCACCGCGCACGTACAACAGCACACACAAGACGGCGACGATATCGGAATCGGAAACGGCGCCGGAATGTCGTTCGCGTGTTCGCGAAGTTTATACGTCATTACATTGTTTGGCGGCGCGTTTTGTAACACACTGTAGCGAACGGCCGATGATGAAGCGCGAAAAAAATGTCACCTGCGCCACCACGGCCACTACCGGCGACACGGTGTACGTTACGCGCGCGTGCAATATCAGACAAAATAATGTTAAATATAATACAAAACACCACGACCAACACCGCCGCCGCGTGCGATCGGCACCACGGTCGACGATTATAGACAGCTACGCTTAGGCTACGCGTGGCGCGGTGACGACGATGATGCTGACGATAATAATGATAATATTATTATTATTATTATTATTATTATTATATTAAATGTAATGTATGGTGTGCTGCACTATATCCGACGACGACGCGAAAACACGGCGCGCACTCACACACGTAGTCACAAACACACACACCACATGCACACACACGCGCGCGCGGCGCGCTCGTGGACCGATAGGACAGACAAAAAATAATATTATAATATGGGAAATAATATTACAATAATAATATTAACATAAAACGCGACTGCGATCGCCCACGGGGCCGCGCGGATAATCACGTTATTTCTGGTCCGTATTCCATCGTCGCGGCACGACTAACACAGGACGCGAGCGCACCGTCCGTGGTCTCTGTCGTTGGATTATCGCGCGCGTCATACTCTCGCACACACTTCCGCACGCGCTAACGCTTGCGCAAGTACGCTACGGGCACAAGCGCACAAAATTACACGGGCGCGCGCACACACACACGCACGATATATACAGTATACTCGCACGCAGACAAGCGTTCGAACTACCTATACAGTGTACGCTATATATATAAAAAATATATACAATATGCACACACATGCATGGAGGAGAGCGAGCGCGCGCACACACTTTCGGTGGGTTAGCAGGCGGGCGACTCGTCGGCGGACGTCACGGGCTGTACGCGGGCGCGGCGCACACGCATGCTTCCCCGTGCCCGCTTACACCGCCGCATCAACCCCTCGGCCCCGCGACCACCGTCCCATCGACACCGCCGCCGCAGCCTATGTATGTATGTATGTATGTATGTATGTATGTGGCGGTGGCGGTGGTGCTGTTGGGCAGCCGCGGCGTCGTCGACGACGACGACCGCGACGACGTCGACGCCCCCGCACCAGTCGGCCAGACCCTTCCGTCGACTCGTCGGCGTCGATAAAGTGTCACACCGGGGGCGCCATCTGACGACCAACGCCGAGCGTTCTGCTACCGCCACCAGCCTTTTGCCGTACGTGCGTAATGTCCGCGAACCACTGATTTTCGTAGCTACTGATCTGGTTGCATAAAATACAAAATTAAAAACTGACGGCGTAGGTACCTAATATTATACTCGGAATAATTCGTTTGGCAGGACCAGCGGCAGATGCAAAAGGGACAATAGGGTCATTTCCCCCCCCCAAAAAAAAAAAATTTAGTGTAGTAGGTTTCCTTGTATTGTGGTCAAATATTTACCAATTTTCAATGTTGTAAATAATTTTGCCCCATCATAAAAAAAATTAAGGTCTAGGTCAGTCACTGAAGAGGGCATTATGGAAATCTGTTTTTCGGGGAGTATGATAAAAGGCAATCTACAACGATTCTACTGGGGCGTGACGCAGTGGCGTGGTGAGCAAAGGTTGAAATGGATAATTGCCCGCGCCGATTATATTGGTACTTCCAAGGGTGACTTTAGATTTCAAACAGACTTAAACTTGGTAAATAAATTCATAAATAGCCCTCAGTTTTTACTTAAATATTACTTACCTAAGAAAAATACTAATACTATTAGTTATAGCTACTCGTGTTTGGCATTCATTAACAACACTGGACTCTTACTTGAATTATTTTTAAATGAAAACTTCAATCCATGATTTTTTGACGTTTTAAGTATAAAGGTTTCACAACAGAGTTATTTGCAAAAATACTGACACTAAAAAAACCGTTATTTTTTTTATAATCGATGACGTCTTCGCATCGGGGCCGATATATAATGATTTGCTGATAATCAAATTTTAAGATAAAAATTCAGTTTAATAAAGAAATTTAGTGGTCTGTAACCACGTTGGTGCGGGGACGATGTCGCCAAACTCGCCGACCGATATTCTCACACGTTTTACAATGTTTCGATTACTAAGAAGTATATTAATCTCTCAAATAACGATCGCCCCGTTGTATTTATTATCTCAACTAATTTTTTCACTAGATATCAAGTACTCAGCCGTATTCAAATCTTTTAGTCACACTTGTATAAATATAAATAATTGTATACGTGTGTGTGAGCATAACATTACAGTTTATTAATATCTAATATTATACAGTATCAAGTTAGATTTTGGATTTGATTTGGACAAAATACTGATTTGTCATTAAAATCAATAAGTGGTTAATTGTTTCACCCCTCCTCCCCAACCTCTCCATCTTACTCTCGTTTTTGCAATTATGAAAATATAGTTTGTACTACGAACATATTATAATATGTACATTTTTTTTGGTTTTGGGCCATTTGTGAATATATTCGTGAATTTATTCACGAACACAGCATCATTGTCTATATAGTTAATACATCGGTAATATATATTATAATATATAGTACCTAATTTTATTTTAGAGTAAAAACGGAAACCTGTTATTGTTTTAAAGGAAATAGAAACGTTGTGATACATTATCTTATTTAGCGGAAAAGGAGAAAGGACTTCACTGACGACACAACTTTCTGATGAAAAAGGAGATCACTTGTCTTGGAGAAATACGTCGAGATACGTCACACTAAATATCACATTTAAAATTTAAATATTTAGTATTCATTGAAAATACCAGAAAAACTATATTTCTACTATATTATGATGCGTAATGCTTATTAAATTCAGAGTGTAGCGAAGGGATTGAGGAATTTAATAATTACTTAAATAATTAATTAAATAATCTAATAAATAATCAGAAATATTACGCCAATAGAAAAATAATAAAAGTTGTATTTGTAATCTAGTTAGTAAGTAAGAAAGTCGTATTTTTATTTTCCCTGTAGTATTTTTTAACAATTGAGTAAGACAGAAAAAAAAAACGTAGAAAAAACGGAAAAATGTACGAAAATAATTATTTTATTATTTTTAATTTTATTTTTTTGTTGTAATTCAGTAAAAATATTCGTTGAAATTGAAATTTCACAGAAAACTCTTTCTAGAAGTGGTAAAATATTAAAAATATTTAAGGCTCTTTCAAGTTATGTATAGACATTTTGAATATGGATGTTTATGTGCATGTGCTTAGTTTTTATTTAAGAGGTACCTTTTGGATAAAATTGTTAGACTAAAACTAAACAGAAATATTTGAAAAATTGACAGGAGGTGTATTATATATTGGACTTAATATTCAAAAAAAAAAAAAAAAAAATTGCTTGTAATAAAATTTTTTTTATAATAATTTTAAAATCAAATGTTAGCGAAAATCGTAAATATTAAGGCCTTTATTATATAACCGAACTTCGATCCGAATTGTTTACGTTAGCAATGGTTCATTGTTACGTTCAAATATAAATTAAATAACTATGTATATTATATACCATATTAACTTTCCATTTTCAACAGTGGCACACCCATTCCCAAATATCAGCTCTTTTTTAGAAATTATTTTTATTATACATTTTATTTATGTAGGTAATGTAATTTATAGTTGTTTCATTGTTTTATTTATTTAAATAAATTGGGTATAATCCAATCACAATATTTTCCTGATTTCTGATAGTTTACGCCCACAAAAATTTATATCTAGTTATATGTTTATTTATATTAAAAACGGAACTAGCCCAATTACAAAGACTTACCTTAAATAACAAAATAAAGTACATAGTATTACAAAAACAATAATATAGAGTACAGACACGATAGTTAAGTTGATGATACAAAATCGCAATAGCTAAAGATAAATATACATATAGAACATAAAATCTAGAATAAAAATGATGGGTCTTCGTTGGCCAATTTCATCATTCTAATAAGAGGACGGTTAGACATGTGGTTAGTAAAAAAAAATGGAAATAGAGATAAGGGACACAGAACGGGAGATAAAAACAGGGATACGAAAGTTAACAACCTGCAGCAATTCAAGTGCACCAAGGTTTTCGTTAATAGGTTACCTGAGAAGGTTAAATTCGCTTGCTTCCTTCTATCAACTAGCGTTAGCATATTGAGCTCCCGAAGCACCAGCGTATAGTCATGCGGCGGATGAGCAGTACCTCGAACAAAAACCGCATACTTAAAAAACTTACACTGCACACGCTCAACTTTGCATTGGTCACTATTGGTATAAGGGCTCCATACTACTACACCATACTCCAAGATGCATCATGTGATATGTGACAAGAAAATTACAAAAAGACTAAAAGGTATAAGTTCTACAAGAATGTGATGAGACCGGCGATGTTATATGATTCAGAGTGTTTGGTGGTAGACAAAATAATAGAATAGATTATGAGTGTAGCTAAGGTGAGAAAGTGTAGGTGAATGAGTGGATTTATGAGAAAAGATAGGATAAGGAATGTGTATAAAAGAGATAGTTTAGGCGTGGCTTTATTAATAGACAAAATGAGGGGAAATATACTGAAATGCCCAAACGACATGTCACGTGGAAAGAGGAATCTAAAGCAATGAGAACTGTAAAAAAATTAATTGTTGAGTGTAATTAAGTAATTCATTTTCATATGAGTTTTACACTCAAATTTTGATAAATTATAAAACTAATAGAATTTAAAAACATATTTAACCGAAATTCATTCAGAATTGTTTTCCGTTAGCAATTATTTAACCTTGAACGCAGTTAAATTATTCTATGCACCCTACCTTCCCATCTACAACAGTAGCACAATCAACAACTGCGATATCAGCTCTTTCATGATTTGCAATGCTAAGTTATTTAAAATATTAATAATTTATTAAAACATATATATTAATAATTACAAATTAATCTTACAAATTTAATGTGAAACCATAATTTTTAATTGAATGGTGTAGAACCATATCGGCCCAATTCACAAAAAGAACGATAAACCATTGCTAACGAAAAAACGATTCTGAGCGGAGTTCAGTTGATGCTTTGTTAACAATATATAATATGTCATTTTATAGTAAAATAGTTAAATAGACTTTATATATTTTCTTTAATAATAGTTTTTTAACGTTATACCGATTTTCTCAGTTTTCCTACGTTTTTCCAGGTTTTCCCATGTTTTATTTTGAGATTTTCTCATTTGCTGCGAAAACTCTTGAGTAAAAAAATTATTTCCTTAAAGTACCTCTTTAGTAAAATTTTCTTTAAGAAAAATTACTATTATTATAAGTCGGAGTAAAATGGCTAGTTGAAAAGTTGTGCACAGGAAAAAAAATTGTAATATTTTAGTAATATATGTCACACATTTTTTCGCTTTACGTTTTTTTTTTCGGTTTTTCAAATTTTATGAGAAAACTCTTGAAAAAAAATCGAAAAATGACCAGTTGGCTTCAGAAATAGAGAGTAGCACTTGAAGGAAAGGGTCTAAGGATAAGTAGAAGTAAAACAGAATATGAGTTTGGAAGAACAGGACAGCTATCAACAATAAGCAGTTATAGGCAAGGTTGAGATTTTTAAGTACCTATAGGATATTTTGTACAAAAGAACGATGGCTTTCATGAGCATTTGAAAAATATGATTTCATGTGGTTGGATAAAGCCGAGAAGAGTAATTAGTTTAGGTTGACTTTAAAATAATTATAAATTGATCCATTATATATTTTTATAAAAATATACAAAATTGGTAAACAAATTGGATAAGGAGGTCCATGTTCTAAGAAGTAGGGACTTGTTTTTATTTGTCTTGGAGCACCTTTTAGGTAAATCCGGTCAGGCATGTAAACAGGGGGGGTGGTGATTTGGAGTTCAAACCCCTCCTGAAAATTAATAGTTTTGTAATTTATTTATATCAATTTAATATTTTTATGAATATTAATTATTGTAAAATTTGTATGAATCCCCTCCCCCGAATTTTGTTCTGTACATATAGACTACATTATAAATGTATAATAATATAGACTAGAATTCTAGGTACTTGATAATAATATACAATATATATTATATATATAATTTGTTTAATTCTAGTGTATTTTTACTAGCTACTTACAACAATATTCATTTAATCTATTACAAAAAAAAAAAATGATTTGGTGATTATTGTATATACCTACATCATAATTTATTATTTAGTGACACTTCTCAATTTAATAAATGGTGAATACTTCAACAAGTTTTTTCATTTTAAGTTCAAATTTGTCAAAAAACTTACAAATTACACGACATTTCAAAATATGTTTAATCGAACTTCGCTCAGAAACGTATTTTATCAACAATGATTTACTTTGCGTATAAAAAACAAAAATAACTTTATGTATCCCACCTACCCACATATAAAAGTGGCACATCAAAAATATCAGCTCATTATATTATTTTTATTGAATGAATAACTAAATATATAACTTATGAATTATTAAATCGGATTTAGTGTGTAATGATAAAAATAAATATAAAAAAATAACAATAGAAATATCTTACAAAAATGATAGGTACCCACCTGCATGCTACAACTAGTACGACCTATCTACGTAGCATTTGATTATGAAATATTGCACATAAGGTATAGGTATGATATTGATATACCTGTCTTATATATTTATGTTTATGTCATGCATATCGCATTGACACTAAGTATATTTGAATGCCTATTTAACGGATGCAACATTATATATTATTATGTCTGTCTCAGATAAAATCAAATGGGTACTATAAATGACAATACGTGACACTATGATACTTGTGGCAAAAACACGAGACTATATCAGCTCGCTCAACCAGAAGTTTTTTTTATATTAATTTTGTTACTGCACATCGGTGGTATAACTAAGATTGAATGTTAAGAGCATTTCTCCCCTCCAGAAATTTTTTGTTTACTGAATAGTACTTGTCATTCAATTTTGTGAATTAAGTTAATTAATATTTCCCAGGCACGCCACTTCATCATTGAAGATTCCTTTCAATGAAAGGGGAAAGTTTAATGAGTGGAATGAGAAAAGTAAAAAGAGGGAAAGAGGATATTAAAAATTATAAATGTGTACTTAATATAATTTTATTTGTGTTACTTTTGGTAGGTAACAAAATGTTATGATCAGTTCTCATCATTGATTATTTTAGATTCTGAGTGAAACGAAGAAGCATTTGGTTTTACAATAATGTATTTTCTTTATCTGTGAACGACTTCTCTACCAGAAATTTTGCTTAGATTTTTAAATATAGCACCTATTCTGAAAGAAAATCTGACCAGGGAAGTACTTTCAGGTGGTCATTTTTTGATTTTTTTCTAGAGTTTTCTCAATAAATGGGAAAAACTATGAGAAAACCGTAAGGAAATAGGTACAATATTAAACAAATATTATTAAAAAAATATATATAATGCCTACGTAATTATTTTATCAAAATATAATATATATATATATATATATTGTTTACAAAGCAACACTATCAACTGAACTCCACTCAGAATCGGTTTTTTCGTTATTAATGCACTCGCGTACGAAGTATGTCCGTCTTTTTTTGTTTTGAGAACATATGTATATCTATATTTGTAATACGTGATTTTTTATTTTCGAAAAAATGATGGTGGCGTATCGGAAGTAGTATCACAGCAGTTCCCAATGCATCATCCCATCGTCGATACCACAGAAAAAAAAAATAGTTGTGTATTAATAATTTTTGTTGTTGAAAAAAAATAAAACTGTGAACATGAATAATTAAAAATTAATAGAATATGTTATTATTTAAGATGTAGTCCTCATTTAACCATATAGAATGAATAACTCTAATGTTTTGAACACGTTAAATTTCAATTTCATTGTGATATCACAGAATAGATGATTTCTGAATATAAATTTCATCCATTTTGTGGTGATATAATGGTTTATTACATATCATTTATAAATCAAGGTGGATAAATAACGCACATAGATATATAATATATCATGGGCCATGACAAAGTAATCAGTTATTTTGTCATGTAATATTTTATACATCTATGATTACACAATATAAATACTGACAACCATGATTAAATATATACCTAAGCATGATTAAATAAAGAAATATTTCAGCACTTAAGTTCTACGCATGCCCGCCACATTGTTTTTCTCCAATATTTTATCAATTCATTTTTTTTCCTATTGTAATAATACGTCAGTTAGTGAACTGTGATGATAATATTTAAATATTCATCCCTATTTTAAATTGAACAACCCACTTTTCACATAAAACTTTATTTTCGGAAATTTATGAAGATGGACTGTTCTATCTTTCACAATTCATTTTTTCTACTACCACTGTTATAATCATGAAATATACACAATAGGCATTTAAGAAATTATGCAAAGGAATAAAAGAAAAATAATATTGCAATGTATAATAACTTATGTTAAATAATAAGTGGTTTTGTACAACAAATCGAGGGTTGTTTTATGATTTAAACAGTCGGAGCGAGTGACCCCATCAGGTCTCTAGGTACACACAATATACATTTGATGTGATTTTGCTAATAAATCTGTGGAAATTTTAGATTTTTTCCATATTGAAGCAATACAAAAATTATAAAATATTGGAAAAAAAGTACAAAAAGAATTACCTACTGACTTATCAGGGTTTCAAACTTGAGATCTCCAAGAGGAAGAAAACTACACATCACATTAGACTACGATACCTACACATGCTGGAATATTAGGCAATATTAAGTAACTTAACACACATAATATCCGAACTTCAAAAAATTATAACTTCGAAACTAAGTCAATCCTCTCAATCCTGACTAAAATCGTTCTAAACTCGTTAAATAGTTACATACATACGTTTCGAAAAAAAGAAATTAAAAAATTTGCATGGAGCAGTAACTAGATTGGTTCCAAATGTTCTAATATGTTATATCTGGCATCAGCAAGTATACTTAATCAATAATCAATGGTGTTAGTATCAGTATCACGTTATTCGATTATTGTCATAGTTAAGTATTATTCACTGATATCAAGGTGGATTAATTATTACTCAATGGGATTAATCAACCTTGACTGACATATAAAACTTGTGGTATTTTTATTATTATCTATGGTTATCGTATAGGGCACAATTTAAGATAGTACTATCTTAAATCGTGGTATAGAAGCGAAAGTCGGCAGCCATGTTTGCGCGGAATCTGCAGAATCTGGGATATTGCTGTCATACCTATTTATTTTGTCATGGTTGAAAATATAATTAGCCACTCTATCTTATCAAACAAATAACAAATTTTCAAATCGGTAAATAAAAACATTGGTGTTAAAAGTTCTAATTTTAATAGACAGACAATATTTTGTTTTAGACCTTGTTTTAAACCTTTAACATATTGCAGTGTTTTTTTCTAATTACTAAATTCCAAATCCGTTATATTTAAATATAAATGTAAAATTCTGAATGCCTTTTCATTGTGATTTTTGATTAATTATTTTAAATTAGGCATAAGTTGGCATTCTATTTATTACTTAGATTATTACGTACATTTAAATATTTAATGTAGTTACCTACTTTATAGTTTAATAATAATTCTATATAATATTTTTTTAAGCTCTTAATTATGTCTCTGGAGACTGTTGAACGTGCTTTAGCAGAATTTTATTGTAATCAGAATGTGGAAGTACATAAGATTTTATTAGATTTTCAAAATTCTGTAGATGCCTGGAACCTTGTATGGAATATGTTAGATACGTCTAAAGTAAATACTTCCTATCTTGAACCATTATATTATGAATAAGTATAGACCTTAAACTTAGTATAAGGTCTATATAAATAATACAATAATTACACAATTGCATAAGTTATGTTTAAAATATTTTATTTCTTTCAGCCTCATGAGATACAATTTTTTGGTGCTACTACACTTCACATAAAAATCACCAAACAATGGTCACAATTAAAACGAACAGATTATATCCTTCTTAGAGATAAACTAATGGACACCCTAATTAAGTACTACAATTCAACAGGACCTTCAAATGTAACAAATAAACTGTGTTATTGTGTAAGAAAACATGATTATAAAATTATATGAACAGTATGTCTTAAATCGTATTTATAAGAATTTTCTTTTAAATTATATAATTAACATTTCTAACAATTTGTTTAATATCTCAGAAATATGTGATAAAGTTTGTTTGCCAGTTGGCTTAGCTGTAATCTAGTAGCTCAGAAGATCAATCACCATCATAAGAGTACTCTGCTTTCATTTCTAGTCAGAAACCTTAACTTTTCTGAAGAAGTTAACTAATTTAATATTTTTATTTGAAAAAAATAATAAAAATTATTAAATAAAAATTAGAGTTATTGATTATTGTTCATGTTTATTATTTGTTTAGCTTTGTGCTTATGTTGTTCGTACACTACCAAATCATTGGCCAGATGCTATTCCACAATTAATGGAAACATTTAGAAATTCTTTATCTCAATCTTCAATAAATGTTAGTGTTATGATTTTAGAAATATTAATGGCATTACCCGAGGAAGTAAGTTGTTTATATGTTTATTAAACATAAATATTTAAACAAAAATTAATATAGTTGTTTTTATTTTTTCTTAGTTTGGCGCTTCAACATTAACTCAAATACGACGAAATGAAGTGCGGAGAGAACTAGAAAAATCTTCATTGCAAGGTTAGTTAAAAATATTCACTTCACAATAGTTTATATCTAATGTTTAAAAATATTATTTAGTTTTATCTATTGTGGACAGTATACTGCAAAGTGATAGTATGGACCCAATTGTGATACATGCTTTGAAATGTGCTGCATCATGGTTAGATATAGGTTTTGATCTTATTAAATGCCATCGTCTTACAGATACTTTTATATCAGTTATTGTAAATCCAGAAAGAAATCAAGAGTAAGTTCAATTATAATAAATGTTATCAATAACATTAATATTGTTGATTATTTATTTACTTATTTTCAATATGGTATGGGCTGTATGCTCAATTAACAATAAGTATAATTCAATTTATATTAAATTATTATTTGGCTTAAATTAATATTAATATGTTCACTTTAGATGTGTTATATTAGCTATAGATGCTTTAAAATCATTGTGTACACATCCTCGTACATCTGTATGTGAAGCGACTGTATTTGAAGTTTTAAGTAAAGTTATAATATTATCTGATAAATTATTTCATTTAGAAATAACAGAAGAACCAGTAAGTAAATGAATGGATAAAATATGTACCATGTTAAAGTGAAAAGTACAATACTTTTGGTTTTAGAATGTCATTGTGGATAAACTTTTTGACTTATTTTTGGGAATTGGCGATCAGCATTTTCGTCCAATTGTACAAGGACTTTTAAAGGATAATACCAGAGAGTTATGTACAAAATTTTTCAACTTATATTTAACTTGTACAAATGCACCTGGGTATTATCCAGTAAATGAAATTTACAGTGAAAAAACGTTTACATTTTGGTTTTTATTGCAAGTAAGCACAATGTAATATCATTTCATTTATTATTACTACTTTCTAGTATATTTTTACAATTTCAGGATGATTTGCTGTCAAATGATGCTGGGCCTGATAATACATTATTGACTATTGTTAAGCCGTTATATGTATCTTTAACTCAAGTATTATTAAAAAAAGTTGCATACCCAGAAAATCTAGAATTGTGGACTCCAGATGAACGAGAATCATTTCGGTGTTATAGACAAGATATATCAGATACTTTTGTAAGAGTAATAATTATTATATTTGTCTATAATTTATTTTTTTTATATTTAATATGTACTTATATAATTTAAAATAAACAGAGCTCACATTAATGCAGGATGGGGGGAATGATAGAGGAAGGAATTCTTATTACTCTATTTTTTTTTTTTACCGACTTACTAATATTTCTATTGTACGAATGATATTTTCAAAAAACCATAAGTCATCAATTCTGATAAATTGAAATTTTTTCAGAATTGAATATTTATCATTCAGTTATAAATGATTATCATTATTTTTTCTGTGTTGCACTTTCGCCTTGTGTGCCAATAATTAATATTGAAAGTAATTTAAACAAATTCTGAACATTATTATTTTTTTTTTTACAAAAATATAATAAATTTATAAATATAATGAAATGTCTATATATTATAAATGTTAATAGGTAAGTAAGGGTTAAAAAGATATAGGATGTAGGGTAACTAAATTTATAAACCAAAAGCAACGATAAATCATTGCAAACGAAAAATAATCCTTAACTCAGTAGTATGTATAGTATTAGTCATGTTATTTTCTTTTGTAGCCAAGGTAACCCAGTACTTAATAAAAATAAAACCAATTTATTGATATTTATTGTCGGTTTTTTAAAAAATCATAGATATTTTTTTAAAAAGTACACTAATTAAAAAAAATTGTGTCTTAATAAATAACAATATAAAATATCATAGTTGTATATTAAATAATAACTTTTTTCAATTTACTCAGAATATAAAATAAATACACAAGCAAAAACTTAGACTGACTAATTTAAACTTATTATTATTGAATTTTTTTAAACTATTGAATTATGTTTGAGAAGTAATGTATATTTGGTGTGACTATTAAAGTAAAGTTAAGTTCAATAATTTTATTAATTCACAGCAATTTTTTTTAATATCTATATTTTATTTTATTTTCCTAATTTAAGCTCTGAAAATAAACCTTTCAATTTAAAATTATTTTTATTTCAGACTTATTGTTACTTCATCTTACAGTCAGAAATGTTAGATGTACTTTTATCAATTTACAAACAAGTAACCTGTGATTCTAAAACTGCAATTGCACAATGGCAAACAGTTGAAGCGTGCTTATATGCTTTTACTGCAATAGCGGAACCTCTTCAAAACCACAATTCACACCCACATATTGAACAGTTGATGTCATCTTTAGGTTCATTACCTTATGAACAATTGGATAAAAAAGCAGCTGTTGCTGCAATGGATACTATTGGTATAAAAATTAAATATATGTAATAATAATTTTTAGATACTTGTGATAATAATTGTATGTATATATATACATATTAGGGTAGTCCTTATTTTGATAATTTTAAAATTTTCTTTGTGAAATCTGATCATCTTGTGCTGTATAATAAGAAAAAATATATCATCAAATTTTAAGATTATTTGGATAATATTTAGTAGAAACACTCAGTGTTTGAATATTTAATAACAACAAATTTGCACGAAATCAATGAAAATAGTGTACAAAAAACCACAGATTGTTTCAGGGGTGGTAAAACTGGAGAGAATGAGGGAGAAATATACCCCCTCATTAAATGTGTTAATACAGAGTGGTTTTTTTTAAGTATGCTCAGTATTCATCCCATTTTTTCGATTAAATTATGTGCATAAATTTAAATTTTGATATTTGGAACTTTTAAGTGTATTGAAAGATGATATTTTCAAATACAGTAAAACCTCTCTATAACGGAATCGTTTGGGACCAAACATATTTCCGTTATAAAGAGTTTTCCGTCATAGAGAGGTAGAATAAAAAATTAAGTTTCAAGACTGTATGCATGTACGTGTTAATTTTTTCAAACGAAGGAGTTTTCAATCTTTTACTCTTTCCCGAGTTTTTACTAGTTACCCAATTTATCCATAATCTTTTCTTTATTTTTATTTGCGTCGTAAACTTGAGTTTTTCTACATTTAAATCTATTAATGAGTTCCTTCTTACTTAGTTTTTGTGTTTCCTTCAACTCAATTAGTTTAACTTTATCGGACAACATCAGAGCTGTACGTGACATAGTAAGTAAAAATGAAAATAAGTATGTACAAAATGAAATCATAACGACAATACAGATGATGAACAATTCACATTTACTAAACGATATGAACAATTTAACAGAAAAAAGATGACTGTGCTGTTCATATTAACAAAATTACGTACATAGGTTACCTAATCTTTTCTACACGCTCATTAGAAGGTATGTAATAAACAAACCAATATAACAATCGTGAAGATATATTGTCAAATGATTTTTCAGAACAACCTGTAATTTTTCTTTAAATAATTTTATTTTCCATTTAACAGAGAGTATTTTTACTAATTTGATTACGAAAATTGTCCGTTTCGGTTTAGTAGAGGTTTTGTCTTAGAGATGTCAGTTTTATATATTATTTGCACTGGGACTATTGACATTTTCCGTTATAAGGAGGATTCCGTTTAATAAAGGGTCCATTATAGAGAGGTTTTACTATAATTAAAATTTTTTTTTAATACAATCTTTTTGATATTAAATATTAAAATTTCGTGTAGCTTCCACTTAGTATTATTTAAGTAGCCTCAAACGAAAATTTTTTTTTATTATATGGTATAAGATAGATAGGCGTCCCAAAGGAAATTGGCAAAATAAAACCCTTTATATATGTATAATGTTTATATTTATTTTTAGGAGCATATTATTATTGGATGGAAACACATCCATCATATTTAAATTTTATTGTACCACTTTTAATGATGGGTCTGCACAATAGTAATATGTTTTCTTCGGCGTCAATTGCTCTTAGGGATATTGCAAAAGAATGCAGACAAACTATAGCTCCTTATAATGAGGTTATATTAAATACTGCAATGGTAAGATTTGTTAAATTATCTTGAGGTCAATAATATTGTAATATCTTGTGTATGAGGTGTGCAATCCACCAGTCTTAATGGGTCTCAAAAACCAAAGGCTTAAATTTAAAATTGTCTTTCTCAAATATTTGTTAGCTTTCACTTTTAAAGTTTTTAATCAAATTTATTACATGTGTAAGTAGTGGATAAATATTATATTAAATTATCCTATTCAAATTTTAATGTCAACAATGATTTATAACATTTATAGTAAATATTAATAAAACATTCAATTAAGAAAAAAAAAATTAGAGCCTCAAATTAAATCTTTGCACACAAACCTCAAAATTCATAGTTTTAACACTGTTTGACATTTATTGTACATTGTAAAAAATGTATATATTTAGATTGCATTAAAACAAGTAAGCAAACTAAAAGAAGAACTCCGTCTAATTTATACCATAGGAGTTATTTTGTCAGCTATACCATTTCCTAAGTGTAAACCGTCTTTGGATATGTTTATTGACCCTAGCTTGGATGTAATGAAAAATATATTGGCTATTGAGGTTTATATTAAACATTTTAAATAAAATGTTTGTATTTTTTACTAAAATTGTATTTTATTTTAGGATCACACAGAATGTAATAAACATAGACCTGAGTTACAAAAGAGAATTAAAGTTCTTAGTTCATTAGTATCTGCAATTGATCAGAAGAATACAGTTTATCATATGATAGAAACAATTACCCCTCTGCTTCACATGATGGCTATTAAGTGCTTCATCGCTTGCCCTGAAGATCTATTATACACTGTAAGTATCTATTAATAAATATGAGCGATCATAATTTGAATATATCTGAAAATATACATCAAGTTGTATGTGGCATGGAACATACCATTCTATTTTAATATAAAATTTTTGTTTTGTTTTTTTTTTATATATAAACATATCTTTTACTAGTATCTATTGATATTTTTTCTTTGTTACTCTCAATAACATTCAATTGGCTTTTTACTATTGTTTGTATCATACAGTATACATATGACAACTCAATAAAAAAAGTATAAAACACTTTAGAATTAGATGCTGCCGTTCTGGAATATCAGTCCTCTATTAATTATATCAACCCTATAACATACAAAAATAATCTATACATGTATATTGATTATTTTTGTAAATTTTCCTTACTTATGATGAGCATACAACTTTAATTACCAAAAAGATTAACATCTCTATCATCTCGTGAAACATTACAAGGTTTATTTCTAATTATTTATATATATGCACAAGGTGATCCATTTAAGTCTGTACCATTCAATAGGTATCTCAGATAGTATTAATTTTTTTTTAGAATTTACTACATAAAACATTTAAGAAACAAGCAACTCTATAATTGTATATTTAAGTTATTTTTTGTCACCCTTATTCCTGAGGTTAAAACCACTACCTACTTGTGATTATCAAATGGTAACCTATATTAAAATATAGTATAGAAATATATTAAAAAAAAATGTATATATAAAAATAAAATTAATTAATGAATAATACTTATCATAATACTCCAGGCGATACATTCATTCATTTATTTATTTTATTTTTTATATACATTTTTTATTTATTTGTATTAACCATTTTAATAATTTTGTTTTTACTTTATTATTTTATTATCTATATTAAAAATTCCAGAAATAGATTTAGTATTAATTAAAATTAATTTTGCTGTTAACATTTTTGATTACTGTTAATATTCTAATTTTAAATTTTGAAACTATGAAAGTAGTGGTGCATTATTAACATGCTGTGTGCCGTGCCATCACACAAATGATGCTCTACTACTATCCTCTGACTTAAACTTAAAAGTGGAATATTTCGTCCATGGGTTGACCAAACTCATACATTTCAATATCAACATTTATTTTAACTAATATTCAATCTATTTATGGAATTTTTACTATAGGTTGTCATTTTCAATCAAGAGAAGTTAGTAGTTTTAAATCGAAAAATAAGGGTGACAAAGAACAACATAATTGTAAAATTCTGAAAAAAATAAATTTTTTCAGAGATAATGAGTGTACTCACTTAAATGGATCACCTAGTATACATGAACTGAAATTAATTAAATTATAATCATAGGCGGACCTAGAGTTTTATATTTGAGTGAGCCCATCCTTCTATGTAGTTATTTTAGATTCTGAGTGGAGCGAAGCTTATGGTTTTATAAAAATATTTTTTTTTTCTGTGGATACTTTTCTACCAGCAATTTTGCTCCAATTTATAATGATAGACATTTTTCTAAAAGAAAATTTGATTAGGGAGGTACTTTTACGATTTTTTCAGGAGTTTTCTAAACAAATGTTAAAAGGGGGAAACATAATATTTATTATTATTTGTTCTTTATCAGTGTTATTATTACATTAGGGTGTGCCAGGGTACACCTGGCACACCTCTTAGATCAGCTTATGATTGTAATCACTAATTACAAAGTAGTTTCTGTTGATTTAAAAATTTTAAAAATACTTTGTATCATTTACGGATACACAAAAAATATGTAGAATTCTAATTTTACTTTAAAGATAATAGCTATAACACTTATATAAATGGTATTTATTATATAAAAATATAATATTTTTCTTTTTTTGGATGCACTAACCATAAAAAAAAATATATATATATATATATTTACATTCTAGTAGTTTTTACATTTCGGTTAAGATAGATATGTTATTAGTAATAACAACGAAAAACTTACTGTCTCCACAGGTATAATATTATTTACTGTTGTAAATTTATCATGGGCTAAAAATTACCTGTTTTAAAACATAAATTACTTGGCAAATTTGTGCCCAGGGAGTTGTGTAGTTAAGTTAGTTATTATATTTTATTACAAGGCACGATTTGTTAATTATAAATTTATGAGCTCTGGTACTTTTATAGCATTAAATATTATAAACTTATAATAAAACAGTCTATTCAAAAATATTGTATTTTCAGGGAGTTTGTGAATTCTTAAAAATTGTTGTATCCAAAATGCAAGAAGATTGTTCAATGGCTTTAAATGTAATAATTGAAATTCTTATGATTGGATTTAGAAAATCCCCCCAGCCAGCTGGCATGATTCTTTTTAAAGAAGTAATTTTAGTTCAATTGGTCATATAAATTGCTAAATATTTATTTTATCTGAAATTTTAGATAATAATAATGTTTGGAAGACAAGAATCATTTTTTACACTTATTAAGTCTACGTATGAAGAAATTTGCATAAGAGTTAAATATCTATTAGAACAAGTGTCTTCGGCTGATCATGTTGGTCTTGGAGATATATTAGAATCGTATTTATCACTTCAAGGACATGTATTTAGAAAATTACCACTTGTTGCTATTGACAATCCAAATGTAGATTTTGAATTTATTTTTAAACTAGGTATCAATTAATTAGTTAATTAAATCAACTTATAAAATATTTCTAATAATTTGCATTAATACTAACATTTCTTATATTTTTAGCCTCTGAAGCATTGTGTACTAATGAGATATTCCTTGTAAAAAATGCAGCTTTCTTTTTAACAATATTTATAACTACTAGTCGGGAAAAGAGATCCCTGTTTAAAGTTATTGAAGATAATGGCCAGTTTCTTGTCATGAAAATAATATGTATTATAAGTAAGTTTTTATTATTTTTAAAAATGTGAGTTTAAACGCCCAGTTATACATTTAAGTATTCTAAGTTATATCAAATATCAGTATTAGATTCTGAGTAAAACAAAATGTATAGTTTTACAAAGATGTTTATTTTTTTTGTATAATCTGTGCGCAGCTTTTCTATCAAAAATCTTGCTCCAATTTTTAAGTGTAGCATATTTTCTGAAATGAAATTAGTGTGGGAAGGTACTTTAAGGAGGTAATTTTTCGGTTAAATGTAAGTATAAGTTGAAAAAAAATCAACCTTTTATTTTTCAGGTGAGCCACTTTTATACAAGCAATTTTGCTCAGATTTTTAATGATAGCATTTTTTCTTAAAGGAAATCTGATTGCGGACGTACTTTGGAGAGTTTATTTTTTATTTTCTCACTAGTTTTCCCAATAAATATGAAAACCGTAGGAAAAACAGAAAAATATATACAATATTAACAAATATTTTTTAAGAATATATATTTTGCCTATGTAATTATTTTACCATATGACATATATATTGTTGACAAAGCAACTACACTATCAACTGAACTCAACTAAGAATTGTTTTTTTTAATTAGTAATGGTTAGTCATTGCTAACAGATTACATTAAATTACCTATAACAGTGGCTGCATCAGTCCCTATTATTCTACAAGACCTTTTAAATTAATGTTTTATTTATCATTATAGTTGTTATAAATAGGATATTTGTTGACTTAAAAAATTGATTATATGATTTTATGTAACAATCAATACATAATAAATATAAAAAAGGGTCACATTGGTAAGAATGGTTCCCTACAATTTCAAATTGCGAAGTAAAACTTGATTTTACTTACAAACTGTTTTGGGAACCTATAAACAGTTTCTCAATTTTAAATAAATATCACTTTAATGTTTATATATATATAAATATTTATAGAAGGTGATACAGTGACAGCAAGTTTAGATGTTATGTGTGAAGTCTTGTTAATATTAAATAAAAAATATAGTAGTAATTTACAAATATGGTTTCAAGATATAATAACGATACAAAATATTTTATTACCGAATGTAACAGAAGATATGAAAACTATTTTTTTCAAACGAGTGATACGGTAAATTTACCTAGTATTAATAAACCTTAAAAAAAAAATTAATTATTTAAATTGTTGTTTTTATAGAGAAAAAAGTAGCAAAAAGGCTTTACAAGATGTAGTCAAAGAATTTTCATATATCTGTCGAGGGTTAATTGAAGTAGAGACATATGCAGAATCATGAAAACATTCACTTAATTTATTTAAAGGTAATTTTAATATTTCAAAAATGAATCATTAGAATACAAGTTTATTTATTTAGTATATAATTCGTCATCGGATGATGATATATCGGCTAAATCTTCTTTTTCTTCGTATTGTTTATTACTTTCTACACCAGCAAAAGTCTCAAGTAGTTCTCGTTTTTTAGAATCAAGTATTAATGTTTGAATATCTTGATTAGTAGGCACAGGTGGTGGATGAATATATCGTGAGCTGCTAAACATTGTTGAAATATCTTCATCATCACTGTCAACTTCTTCAAAAGCCTTAATTAAAAAATTTAAATTACCTATAAAATCTGTTTTTACTCTTTAGGTAGAAAAATAATAAAAAATTACCAACCATATCAATTTCATCACGAACGGTCGCCTTTTGACCTAATGCTTCCAACACTGAAAAAAAAAATAGAAAAAATAATCAATTGAATATTAAATTCTATAATAAATCCAAAAAGTATACATACTCAGTTTTTCTTTTTTTCTTTCCATCGCCAATAAAAGACCATCTTCTTCATCCATGTAGCCATAATAATCGGCATCTATATTTTTCATTAGTTCAGCTCTAGTACGCCGAGGAGGTGGAGGTGGTTCATGTTCAAATAGTTCTCGAACACCAGGTAGATCTTTTGCAGCTCCAAAATATTTATAACCTCTATTACCAGGTACTTCTCTGCCTTCATGATCTAGCATTCTAGGTCCCATTCGTAAGAAATCTGGACCTCCAAGCTCACGAATCTGATATTCCCAATGTTTTTTTTCTCGCAATAGTTTATTAATCTCATCATTGAGATCACGTAATCTGAACTCTCCCAATCCAGCTAATATATTAAATAATAAATTAGTAAATAAATCATTAATTATTAAATATTACATACCATTTTGGATTTGTGCTACTTTTTTAGATATTTCTCTTATAATTTGAACCCTCCATTTTTCAGCAGCCTTCAAGTCTGTACACTCAGTAGCTAAGTATGGTCGCCGTTCTTCCTTGCCACCATGTTCCTTCACTTGTGCAGCCCGCCAACGAGCTAATGTGGTCCTATTATTATGACAGAAATAATCAACTACAACTATGTGTAAATATTTCATTATTGTAACTAGTCCAACTACGTAGCTACGTATATAGAGTTTTTCCTGTGATCGATATATATCTAACTATATATATATTTTTTTTTTGTATTTATTTAATTAATTGTATTATGTTATTATGAGTGTATTTGTGTTATGACTTAACTGTATACATCATCAAAATTAAAAGATATCTCATACTCTTTCATAATAGTTTTCAAATTAAGAATGTGGAAATATGTTAGTTTAACAAATTGTATTGTAAAATGTTTGTTTGAGATAGAAAAAGTTAAAAATAGAAAACTTACATTGCTTTTTCTGCATTTCGGGCCATTTTTGATACCTATATGGCCTTTGAGAATGCTCAAACAAACGATTAATATTTGTTAAAATTGATCTTAAAAATTTTAATTTTTTAAATGATACTGATAATCATGTGTATATTTTTATTTGTAAATGGTAGTCTTAAGGCTTAGAGTTAAACAGTAATCATTCGTCACGATAAGCACAACAAACGAATGATTGGCAGTTTGGTCATTTGATAAAACCGAATAAGAGAAATACAATGAAAATGTTTATCTGCAGAACAGACTGTATAGCAGTGTTACCATCCTGCGTCCCCGGTAAAATTCTTTAAAAGACCGTGGTCCATTTGTATCCGTTTCCATCTGCTTGCCGATATTTTTTTTATATACTAGGATCTTGAAATATATTATTTATTTGTCATAGTATCAATAATAAATAATTCATAAAGGTATCTTATTTTAACGGTTGGTTAAGCGTATGTCTGATTTTAAATAAATATAATTATTAATTATAATATTTGAAAATATTATACGTTTAAACACAATTGACAACATCTGTTGAATGATTATTATCGTAGTAAGCATTCTTAAATTGGTTACATTATGTACACTAAAAATTTAAAAAGTTAATTTAGTAAAAGACATAATAAAATGTAATAAAATCGAATTCGCTTCAAATGAACACCCAGTGCGGCGATACGGAAGTAAACAAAAAATATTTAATTACCAAGGGTGAATATTTTTAAATGTTAGGGATAGTATGAATGTAGTAACGTGTACAAGTGGCGGGGAACAGTTAATCGGACCTAAGGATGCCAATGGTTAATCGAATATATAATACTTAATTATCAATATCGTTTACATTTAAAATTTAAACAATATAAATGTTCAAACAAAAAAACATTATCAATAATAAATTGTACAGGGAAACCGCACAGGATAATGATATAATCGGTAGGCGGGTAACACGTAATCGTATTTTTTAAAATGTCGATAATTTTAAGTTTTTCTCACCAAATTTAACAATACAATGTATAAAAACGTTTTGGTGGTTTTTATACTGTTACGTTATTTTTGGTTACGAAAATTTTTGACGATATATCGTGACATCGGTACTGAGTCTGCGTTAGACATATCGAAAATTCGAAAGTCGTCGATTTGTTTGACATCACGTATTCGGGCCCGGGCAATCCAGCGCCGTCGGCGGTGCCGGTGCGCGCGATGATTATCGACTTTTGGCCGCCGCCATCACAACGGTGTTACCAACCTGCGTTGGCCCGCGAAATACACGATGAATGGAACGAGGCGGTCGCGGGAACGGCTGCCATTGGTCCACCGGGCCGGGTACGATGATTTTTCTTTGTCCGGCCGGGTATTATAACACGCTCTAACGTATTTACGCGTAGCGCTTTCGTCGCTCTTCTCCCGCCATTTGCCCCGCCACCCACTTCCGCGCGCGCACACGCGCACACACACGGACTGTTGTCGTTCCACACCTAGCGCGCCAAATTCTCGTCGTCAATTGTTTTTTTTTTTTTTTCTCAAAAATAATTACTTGCACGGTTTCATTTTAAATGTAAATAAAAATATACGGCGTTCGGTTCGTGTGTATGTTGTTGTTCTATCCCATATCTAAGTGTAAAATTATATTGCCGGCGTACGTGCGTTTTGTGTTTATCGTAGTAAATATTATTGTGTTTGTTATTCTCGCGAGCCGGCGAACACTGAGGGAACCGAGGAGATAGCTGTGGCGCCAAGATATTAGGACCTTATTATAATATTATTACGGACTAACACGGTGAGTGATTATTAGTGGTAACGTAATCATTATTGTTGACGTACATTTTTATGAACCGTGTTAATTTTTCGAAAAACTTGTATGTGCGCCGAGAATTTTTGCCGCCGCAACCGCAGGTTGCCGGTCCCGCGCTTCGCGGACCGGTAGATAAAAACATACAAGGTCAACTCGGGGTCCCGCCATAATGGATCGTGTAAGCCGCTGGTTACCATGGTAACCAGTAGTGACGGCGGCCAGTGGTTGCTCTTATATCTATATACTCTCTGTGTATATTTTACGTTGTGCGTGTGCGTATATATACATATATACACATTCATGCTATTTCCCCGTATTGTGTTCGCGCGGTTGTATGGAGTAAAGTTTTGGAACGCCAACCGCGTTTTTACTACATTTACCGATTAGAAAATTCCGAAATTCAATTGTCCGCAAGAATTTTGTTTATATTTTATAAATGTTACAACCGTGGGTGGCCGTTTATTTTATTCGAGATTGGATATATGCGGTTGTTATGTTTGCCCGCGGTTGTCAATAATACAAATTTAAAACCGATAAATACATTTCGGATAGGACACTAATATTATTGCGAGATGTCGCCCGATGCGCTCGTCAACTGAATTATTTGGGACTGGATTTAGCCAGTTTCGAGTAGCATCGGAACGACTCCAACTCGATGTCTCGGAATTAAACAATAATGCGTGGGTTCTACGGTGTTAAATTATCGATTTTTATTTAAAAATAATGTGCATTGTATAGGCATAACTACTTCTATTGGCATTATTTTTGCCGTTTAATTTTACCGGTCGAAGGTTATCGAGAGAATGACTTGTGAGCCTATATACTATTATGTTTCGGCGCGCATTGCCAAATTGGATAATAATTCATCTCGACAACTAGGATATCTTTGTTGTAGGAATTCCTTTTGAACTACTGCATCTAAGTATTGTAATACTTAATAGAAACGGGTTCAAGGTCTTTTTGTAAATCTGTGCAAGTGTGCTGGAGATTCATATTTCCCTCCAAACGGATTGATGGTCATTTTTTTTTTTTTTTATCCAGTCTAGACGACTGTCCCAAGGTTATTGTAGCCTAGACATAGTATTTGAATATTTATTATAATTTCGATATAATCGCACGCGTAAACTCTTACATAATTGTCGACATAATGTTGCTGGCGTATCTTGGAGACTATTTCCATAGTGTGCTTACTATGCGTTATAATGTATTTTCTGAATAATATTGTGGAAAATAATTCACACTTTTTATGTGCAATCACTACTGGACTTATCGGTTGGGACACCGTAAAATTATATATCGAGTAGGTACCTAGGCGTGTATGGGTGGCTACCACACTTTTGTTAATTTTCTTTGATTTTCGGAGACCAATATTCTCGGTCACTTCTTAAAAAAGAATTAAAGTTGTGTTATCTTATTTTATTCCGTAGGCATCTCCTAAAATAATGCATAATTGTTTATACCGTAGTTATCTTGTTGTATCTTTACATTTTTCACCGATGCTGTTTCAACGTTGTGTTTACCGGCTTTCTTCGACGTAGAGCAGCACACTTGTACGTAGCCTGACAGTATAGTGCCAATCGATTTGAATTATTCACCCGGCACATTTGTTTTACTGTGAAAAGTTGTGTCAATCGAAACTGTTTCTATTTAATCTATATCTGTTATATTTCACGTATATTTTGTTTAACGTCCTCTCTAATGGGTCGATACGTGTTACACTGTTAAGAGTAAGTTTCGTGTGCACTAAACAAACCAAATTGTACAAATATATAAAGCGACGGGAACCAACTTTCTGTGCATTTTCCATATAATAATATATTATCAATTGGAGAAATAGGGAAGGGTTATGTTTTTAAATAAATTTTACAATTATACAATAAATACGCGTGACGACGCCGAAACACTTGTAAACTTACCTGTTTGGAAAAAAATTAAAATATTTCTAACCTTTTTCAGAAATTCGTAAATAATTGCCTATATGTAGCCCCTTAAATACTGACTTATGGCATTTATCCACGTTATCTTACTTATATACATTGTTTTTTTTTGTTTATTATACACAATTTATTCACGAAATCAAACTTGCTGGGTAATATTTGTTTTGTAATAAATATCTGATACTATGCCTATTTGTTTTAATAGTTTCTTATTATATACTATTATAAATACAGCATATGGTTTTTTTAACAGCATATCAAAATATTCTCTTTGCCAGTTGCTACCATTTAATAACAAATATTGGTAACAATAATCATCCGATGAACTTTTCAATAACCTTCGCCAAAACATGAATGAACCGTACTCTAATTATCAACAATGTGTCTTGATTTCATATTAATCCACTTATGATAAAATTATAGTATTTGCATTAATAAACAAATCATGTGTGTACATTTTAATAACTAGGTAGGTACATAAACTTAAGAGCACATTGCAAATTTGTTATTAAGAGTGAATTGACCGATTATCAAATTAAACATTTTTCTTTTGATATTTTCATTTTTATAGATATACACATTTTCAAATTGTGATGCATAATTTAAATTCACAACAGATTATCTTTAATCTTTTTTTAAATTAAAAATATCTAGATATAAAGTTTGGTATTATTTAAAGGTAAGAACATTATCCAGATCATAATCTATGTTTGATATTAGTTAGTGAATAGGTAAATTCACTTAAATAATAAAACTACAAAATGGTAGCAAATTTGCTATGTTGTGTGTTTTTAAGATGAGGAAGACACATGTGACTAAGAACATCCTCTTAAGAAGGCATTACAGTAACATTTTCTGTTTAGATTTAATACAAAAATTAGTTCACCAAATTAAACACAACAGCATTTACTGTGTTTTCAAAATAAGGTGTTTTTGATATCTCTTAGGTAATCTATTATTATTATAATACCTTGATAGAAAATTGTGCAATAAATATATAAAATAGTACCAACCCAATTTGACAACATAGTAAATGTTTTCAAATTTAATTTGAGAAAATAATTCTTTTATAATAGCCATTAGATAGGCAGAAACAAAAATTAATGTTACTATGGCGCCCTCTTAATATTACAATAAGTAGGTTATTGGGTTGTTGTGTGTTAAAATATTTTAAATTCTTTAAATTGGTCATTTTTAGCATATCTTACCTAGTTTGGGTAAATTCTTTAAACCATGACTGTATTGTAGTCAAATTTAATATGTATAGAATTTTTTAATTATGTAATTAGATAAAAATGTATTGATAAATATCAAATTCTTGTCAAATTACTTCATTAACCATTAGGAGTTGCATAAGAAAAAGACTGTCACCGTGCAAACCAAAATTATTGCGAAATCTTATTGGAGCTATTTTCTTTTTTATATTCTTTGACTATGATTGTATTTATTAATATCATCAGATTATGAATTATTTTGTAAATTACCTAATTTTTTAAATTTATTATTGTACTTGCCGAAAATTGATTATTGTGATAAAAATAAACAAGTACATATTAACGCCATCTCTCCGTTATAAAATAATATTTAAAAAAAATATTGTAGAGAATATTATATTTTATAAAATAATCTTTTGTAGATCAAAAGTAGTTTAAAATGATGCACTTACTATTATATTAATCAATTTATTTTAATGTCATGTTTTATTATTAATAATAAAAGTAATACCTAAGCTTATTTATATTATTTTATTGAAAATTTAATTTAAAATTTTAATTTTCAGATCAACTAGTCAAACATACAACATGGATTTTGGTGAATTAGATCTTACATTTTATCAAGATTGTATTGACTTTGACATGAAAAGTGATTATGAACGTGTATTATCCAACACCAGTTTTAACTATGAAGAAAATTCGCTGTCATTCAGTGAAGATACTGTAATGTCTATGATGAATCCGCTCAATAATACTGATTTATGGCTCAATTCTGAGTCAACTCATCATTTAGACTTCATTGAAGGTGATTTAGAATCGGCCATTATGGTCAATCCTAATTCAGTGATACCATTATCAGCAGAAACAGTAGAAAAGAAAATTATAGATGAAAAAGCACAGAGTCCACTGAGAAACATTCTGCCTTCAATTACTAATAAAAATGAGTCCAAAAAAGAAGAAATTTCATTAGCAGATTCTCCCAGGGTTAATTTCATGATAAAATACCCTGAACTCATTGCAGAGCATGTAAGTCTAAAGCCAGACCAGTTAGAACATAAAGTCGATGATATAAAATCTGCCCCAAAAGCAATACGACTATCTGATTTGTTGCACCAAACATCAAGTGTTGGACATAAGAAAACAGAATTGATGACCGTACGTGTTACAATGCCATCGTCTTTGCCAACACTAAAGACTACTGTGACTTCAAGAACAGTTCCCGTATCATTTGTTAACAATTCAATTACTGGACATTACAAAATTGTTAGACCAAAGCAACATATAAAACCAATACAATCTAGGATCGATGTTAGTAAAGATGATGAGTTGGAAAACCTATACCCAAGACCTACTTATTCCTATTCATGCTTAATTGCTATGGCATTGAAAAATTCAAGTACTGGATCTTTGCCAGTTTCAGAAATTTATAATTTCATGTGGTAAGTCAAACCAGCGCATTCAAATTGTGTTCATAAATGATATTTTGTCAGAATTTGTCCACAATTTTCTTAGGATATCTGAGTTGCGTCTGCATTGATAGGTGATATGTGCATATTTTTCTCACCACTTTTACAGACTGAAGACATACATAAAGTGGTTAAAAATATATATTAGGTATTATTAATTATTTGTTGATCTCTAAAGTTGTATTTATTAAAAATTAATTTAAAACAATTTTATGTCATACCTTTGTGAATATTGTTATATATGAACACCATGATGTCAGTTATTATTTTTATTTTATAAAACTGGTATATTTTTTTTCAAACTAACTCATATTACTTTTAATAAAATCTTCGTTTGCTTGTTAATTTTGACTTTGTATTTTAATATATATATATATATCAGTTTGAACATTTTTAACATGAACAAAATTAATTTACAACATTAAATTATAAGGTGATATTTACCAACCAATAATAAGGTATCGATAATCGACGGATAAATATTAACGAATTTATCATATATTTAAAAATAGAGTAACAATAATTATTTTTTGGGACACAGCTCGGTTGTCGCAAAGTATATTTTTATTTTTAGTGACACCATCCTATACAACCAGTCAAACATGATATATAAGACTTCATTTATTTTAATTAATACCATATTACTATTTGGTTAATGTGTTCATTATTTTTAGCAAACATTTTCCATATTTCAAGACTGCCAGTAGTGGATGGAAAAATTCTGTCCGCCACAACCTAAGTTTAAATAAATGTTTTGAAAAGATTGAAAAACCTACAGGTAGCACGGGTGCACCAAGAAAAGGTTGTTTGTGGACAATGAATCCTAGTAAAAGATCAAAAATGGATGATGAGTTGCAAAAATGGTCGCGTAAAGATCCTTTAGCAATTAAACGGTCAATGCTTAATCCAGGTACTGATTATTATTTATGAACACAGTGTGTCCCACTGTATCAATCAAACGATTTTTTGAGCGTTGTTAATATTAAAAAAATTTCAATTGATTTATCTTAGCGGGGGTAATCGATTTGGAAAAAAATTAAATTTTTATTTGTTCACTTCAGAAAATTTTAAAAATACATTTTTTGTTAAAAATTTGATATATCACACACCCATATCCAATTAATAATTTCTTAGTTTTTACGCCTATTTTCTAGAAATTAAATAAAACTCATATAAATAAGAGACTATTGATCAAATATGAATATATGATACATTCAAATTTTAAGAATAATATTTTCTACAAAATGGCTATTTTGAAAATCTTCCTAAGTGATGAATAAATATAAAATTATTACTTTTATTTTTTATTATCATTATTTTATGTTAATGGAAAAAAAATAAAAATTTAATTTCTTGCCAAATCAATATACCTCTTGAAGACAAACCGATTAATAAAAAAAAAAACATTTAATTTTAACAGCGCTTGAAAAATCCGTCAAACATCATGGTGGGCACAAGGAACACTATATAAGAAAATATCGACAATTAAATTTCTAATGTTTTTTAATGCAAAACATTTATATAGAAAATATGAACGCCTTAGAACGTGGTGAGATGAATGAGTCTTATGACCGTCGTGAATGCTATTATTTTGATGATGAAGAAGAGGAAGAAATAATTACTCCAGAAATGACATCAGAAGAAGAAGACAGAATGAGTGATATTGAAGAAGAATCTGAAAATGATTCAAAAATTGATAAGGATGATGATTCACCATACCAATTAATAACATTTGGCTTAGATGATTTAGCTAATATAAATGATGTAAGTTGTGAAATTACATAATTATTGTTCCAGTTTTTATAGTCTAACAATATTCAATTAATATTTTAGATCGATGAAGAAGAAGAAATTGAAGAAAGTTCAAATGACGACAGCTTTGGCATTAAAGCATCAGAGTACAAGACTAATTTTGATGATCTAATTTCTGTTCAAGATTCGGCTACAACATATGTGGTCCAGCCACCAAATAAGACTATAATTAATAATAAACGGCCGTATCAACAACCTATGTTTAAGGGTAGTTACGTATTGTCTAAAAATATTACATCAAGTGTACCTAACCCAAAGCGTAAATTTATCAGCAGGCCTGTTTCAATATTAAGAAACTATTAATATGAGTGTAAAATATTTTATAAAAATAACTGCAGGCTTTAATTAATGGCAATATTGGTATATGTATATTATAGTTAGTTGTGATGATACCCAAAGACTTCAAATTTTACCTTATAATAATAATATGATAATTTTAGAGCCTGAATTGTCAATAAAATAAAATGATTTACCAATTACTATTATAGACTAGATATGAATAATATAATATAATATTATAAATACAATTATTTATAATATTGTAATTAAAATTATTTATATTATTTAATTTAATTTATTGATTTATTTACACTATATGTATACAAAATGGTATACGTACAGTATAAATTAAATCGTCATAATATACATGTACTGATAAAATTTAAGAAGTGTTTAAATCTTAATATAAATTAGTTCCAATAGTCAATTATACACATTACCATACAAACTCCGCCATTTTATTTGGGTAGCTTTTGAAGAAAGTATATAAATCACATTAATTATTTTATAGCAAATAATTTGAATAAAATAATTAAGCTTTTGATATACATACTTTCTTTGACAAATATTATTCCTATTTTATATATATTATTGAAACCTTGAAATAAAACAACAGTCAATTAAAAAAATTGTATTGTACCTTATTGATTTGTATTGTGAATTTAATTATTTTTTTTACCCAGGCCCTAATTAAGGAATATAGTAACAATACCAATTTACCTCACTATTATTATTATGATAACTATTGGTAATTAATATAATTGACGGTTTTGACTCTGAATTTTTTATTTTGTTATGATCCATTAATAATATGGGTGTGTTCAATTATTTTATATAATATGTCTCTTTATAATTTATATAACAATTAATTAATAAGTTGTATTGGGCTTGTTAAAATACAACAAAATATTTATGTGTAATTAAATATTTTTGCTGGAATAATGATAGTTGAAAGTATTTTATTTATAGTAAGATTATATTTACCAATATTTGGTAAATAATTGGTTAAGATGTTTGTTATTTTTATTACATTTTGTATATGGATATTTTTTTTAAAAAACGATTGTGAAATTATTTTAATATTTTCTAGATAATTGTATTATCCTATAGAAGTAGATAGTGAGTGAAATTCTGTTTTAATAAGAAACGTGCCTATATTGATTCCATTAATATATAATATTATGTTTTTTTTTTAATTTTCTTTAAAAAAAAAAATATTATAATATTCAATTAAAAATTCAAAGCATTTATAATTTATTAGAAATAAGATAAACGATAAGACCCAAGTGTCCTATAAATTAAGCATAATTGTTAAATTTAATCTTAAGTAATTATTTTGAAGTAGTTTGTATTGTAGTGTCGGAATAATTGTAATTTTTAAATATAAATTAAAAGTCTGCGATCATTGCCCATTGGTCAGATATGCGTACCAGAGTACAAATTACATTTATATTCCTTAACATTTTTTTTTTATGACTGCATTATATATTTGTACTTTCCCTGCTTAAAATGTAATCTGTCCAATGTGTCTGTCAAATAAATTTCTAATTTTAAATTTTATTTTATTCCAGTAATTTATTTTATTAACATCCTACATCATTATTACATAACTCTTTTGTGATTGGTAATTTGAAAAGTAAATTACTTTTTAAAGTACTTCAGATATTTATTCCTGTCAAATGAATCCTCCAATTCCTCTACTACCTTAACTTTTTGTTTTGGTCTCCTTGCTTCAATTCTCCGTTTACGTTCTTCTTCAGAAATGGAATTAATGTCTAAAGGTAACTGTAAATTAATTTTAAAGAAAAACTTATTCATTAGTATCATATATATGTTTTTAAATTATAAAGTATAAATATTTACTTTAATAATCACACGAGGTTCATTAAATCGAACAGTAAAGCTGGAACCGTCTGGCTGAATAATTTTGGTTAAGTAATGTTGAGGATAAATGTTTCTATGTATTTTTGTAATTGATGCTGATTTACTGGTAAAGAAACGACAAAATCTAAAAAAAAGCAAAGTAATAATATCATAATTTTAATAAACTAATTGGACACAATTTATTTAACTTCACTTAACTAAAAAAAATATATCCTAAGTTTTTTAGTACTATTAATGCATAAGTCACTTTAATATTGTTTTATTTATGACCCGGGCCCTTCATTCCCTGACTGGTCTCCAATTTAGAGTAGATATATATAGATACCTATTGGAGATTATATTCAAAAACCAGCTTCCCGCTCCCAACTAGGGTGGAAAACTAGGAAATTATTTGCAATGATCTGCTGAATAACTCGAAATAATCACATATGATCATGTTCAATATTGACTGGGTAGAATAATTGGGCGACATTGGTATAATTTAATTTATATAAAAATCAACTTAAAGGACTTCATTTTTGCATAAATTTAATGAGACTAGGGATTTTAGTAAGAATGTCTGAAAGTGGTGTAGCTTCGCTTATACAAAATTGAAAGAAAAAACAATTAAATAACAAGTAAAATAATAGTAATTAATAAGACAAAAATAATTAAACACTCATAAGATTATGTTGAAAATAAAGCTAGTTAATTCCATATTAGAATAATTTGTATAACAATATATTTGACTTAAATCTAAAATTATCAAAGTTCTAATTAAAAAAGAATCTTTACCAGTATTAAACCTAAAATAAATAATAATAAAAGGACAGAATTCAAAAATTGATTTGATCTAACAGCTCAAGAAATAAAATATTATTATTTAATAAATCACACTCAAACACCAGTCTTTAAAATTGGGCACATAAGCATAATTAGTTTATTGATTAATTTATATAAAACTATAATTTAATTTGAGAATATCAAAAAAAAAAAATTTAATGACTGATTATTAAATTAATTAAGGTAATAGTAGGTAATTGACCCAGTTTTGTATAACTTATTTATTTATTGTGATTTATTATACTCTATTCACCATAAGTTAACCCACTTCCATGTATTTATACTGAGCTACCATGATCGATGATTGGTCAGCGGTGTTTTCGTCATACGAGTGGGTCAACTTACAATAAATTGAGTATAGTATATCATTATTATTCCCCTGACGTTGGTTAGGTTAAAATTTTGCGCTCTACTTTTTCTTTTATAAGTTAAAATTTATTCAATAAATGTAGAACAGTTCTACCTAAAACAAAATTGTATGTTCTCAATCTCTAAAAGTGTAGTTTTCAAAAACTTAAAATTGTGTTACTGAAAATAAGGAGTTTGGACTGACAAAACTAGCCATTAGTTTGAAGTTGCTCAAATTAGAATTTGGAAGTTTATCACAGAATATTCAACATTCAATTATTATTGAGTAGCAGTAATTTTCGCTATGCTACTTGTGAAATTTTCAGCACATTTGAGTATTTACAGTTAAATTTAATCTAAAAGAACATGACACTAATGTCTTTTAAAATGGCGAGGAGGGTTGCCAGAAATTAGGATGGTGTGCTGGTTTGCGATTAAAGGGTTTAAATAATGGAGTTATTTGGAGTGGAATTTTTTATAGTGTGTTTTAACTAAATTAACTGATTCAATATTTAAGTCATTGTGAAGAGTGAGATTAGAACCCTTTGAAAAACGTGATTATACAAAGGGAGATCAATTGAAAGGTTTTGATTGTTTTTAATTGTGTTGGTTTGACACAACCCCATATCTGTGCACCGTATTACCAAATTGGTCTTTATTTAATTAACTTATAGATAAGTATTATGTTACGAATAGGAAGTTTGGATTTTAATACAGGGCGTAATAAGTAGGATTAAGTGTTTAATAACCTTCTTTTAGATTTGAGGTGAGGACCCCAGGTTAGTCTTTTGTCTAAAATAATACCTAGACATTTAAGTCAAGCAGGAGATAAGAACTTCTCAGGGGAAGAGAGTAAGAATAATTTTTTTGTTGAAAGTAAAAAGAATATGGATAGATTTTTCAGCATTGATTTTGATTTTCCAGTTTGAAGACTACTTCTTAATATGGTCAAGGTGGTGCTGAAGGGCAATGAATGTTTTAATCAGATGGCAATTTGAGGATAAGATAGATGTATCGTCAGCGTAAGAGCTAGGGTGGTTTGGTAAGTTTGAGGGATGTCTATAAAAAAACACTAAATTAGGGAGGGGGTTTAAGTATGAGAATAATAATGGACAATTTTCAGATAACAGGGAAATACGAAAATCTTAACATAGAATTAAATAAAAAAGTTGGCATCATAATTGTTTTTTTTAGGAAGATGTTTTAGCATCTTGTTGGTTATCAAGTCATGATCTGCAAATTTTTCATGCTTTAATCATAGAATCACATTAGCAATTTTGTTTGGAAAGACATAAGAGTAAAAAGAAAGTTGCTAATTTTGACTTGGTGTGGTACTCAAAGTGTTCCCCAAAAAGATTAGCTTTATAAAATATAGGTATTATACAATTATTTTAAAGTCCTAGGTAAAACAACATAATTGTATTGTAATAAATAAAAATATAAATTGTTATTAAATAATAAAGAGATAGATTTATTGTATTCTTAAGTTATATTGGGTAAGTAAATAGTAATCAAATATAGCCTTGGCAAGCATTTGAATTCAAAAAATTACTAAATTAAAAAATGTTACTGTATCAAACTTATCTAAATAAATATATTTAATAAGTATGTAATTATAATAAAAAAATTATCAAATTCTGTAAAACGAAAAACAAAATTTTAATAATTAATTTATACAATCCATTTGAGTGAGACATTATTAGAGATAATATTAATTAGTAAGTATTTACCTGGTTATTGTGAGCATAATTGTGGTAGGAATTATAAATATTACACAAAGTACGTTAATAAAGTTAAATAGAATATTAATCACAATTTTATGACAAGAAAGTAAATAGTAATAAAATTATTTCATTAGATAATGCATGTAATATGATTTTAATGTTAAAACCACAAAATAACCGCTTTTCTGTGATAAAACTTCCACATAATAAAAATTATGGTCTTAAACATTGATAGTTATGAGATACTGATGTCTTATCACATACTGATTTAAAACATTTTCTTAGATTATTGTTTAAATAAATATAATTTAAAATTACGTTTACTGTTCATTGAACTTTTTTTACATTATAATTAGGTATATTTATAATTTGATTCAGTAGTAAGTAGGGTAAATCAGTTTGATCATGACTTCACAAAATGGTTTAAATTTTGAAAATAATGTTTCCAAAATTATGTGTCTTATAAAAATAAAAACATTCATTCATATTAGCAAAAGTTGAAATAGTATAAAACTGTAATGTTAAAAACAGAGCCAATACTGCTGATGTATGCACCACTGTTATAGGTGGAAAGTTGAGAAGGTAGAATATAAAAACGTATTTAATTTATATTTGTAAATAACAATAAACCATTGCTAACAAAAAAAATTCTAAGCAGTTTGTTTATACATGATAACGTAATATTTAAGGTTTTGATCAAAATTTCAAAATCTTAAAATAATTATAAAAAAAAATTACTAACTACTCTGCACTTAATTTTTTTTTTTACCATTAAGAACAACTGATAATAAGCCTCCTGAATTTAATAGCATTTTTGTTAAGTCAAATAACTATATCCATAAAGTACCTATCTATTAAAAATTAGATGGAAAAATTCTTTAACATAAAATACCTACAAATTGCTTAAATGTATTAAAAATTTTTTTGAGCCTAAAATAGTTAAATATAAGTTATATTTGAAATAGTAATCAAAACTACCATGAATCGAACACAAGTCTTTGCAAACAATGCTTTCTTTTAAATTTAAAATTGTAATGTGTTATTGGACTGCCATACTTTAACTATCTACAACAAGAAGCAGCATATTTAGTAAATATTGTTGGTAATGTTTCTTTGAATAAAAAACTATTATTGTGATTACTTACCTATGTTTTAGTTACACATTTAATTTTATTTATATCCGACAATCATATAGGTAAAAATTCAATACAGGAAAGCCAACTAAAAGTTCAATTTTATGAAACTGCTCCATAATTACAATATTATAATTATTAAAAATTAACACACATATATATTAGGTGTGATTAATTTAATTAGCTTATTAATTTATTTTATGAAAAATTGAATCGTATTACTTATTTATTGACACATTATTCATTAAAATTAAAATATCAACTACTTACAGATATTAATTTATAATAATTGTATGAAATAAATCAAGTGCTTATGATTAATAATGAATACTGTACTTAAAATTCAAAAAGGATTATTTTTGAGACATTAAAACCTAGTATGGAACTACCTAATAGTTTGATGAGAACCAAGAATTTTTCATTTACAAATAACATATGAACTAGTGAACAATAAATCTGTATTATTATTAAAAATAATATTATTAATGTTAATATGTTTGGACAAGGGTAGGCGGCATACTTAGCAATAAAGAAAATTTTAATTTGACAGATCATAATACACAAAAGAAATAAAAATAAAAAAAATACACAAGGTCAAACAGGAAATTTTAAGCAATAAAATAAATTGTAAACTTCAAAACTATATATTGCATGGAATGGTATTAAAAAAGTTACCAGAATTTTACAAAATGGTGTTTTTTTAACATTGAAAAATTGTAAAAATCTAAATATTAACACACGTGTTTCAACAATTATTAGCTATTTAAAACATAATATTTGTTATATTATTTTTCAACAATAGTAATAGTTCGTGCATGAATGGATCTATTTATTAAAAATCAGTCTAAGAGCCACTCTTTTTAACATAAATGAAGACATTTGATTTTTTAACTTATTATATATTATTACTGATAAAGTGATAACCAACTGAAATTGGTTGAAAGACAAACATTTATGTTAGTGAAAGTGGCCCTACAATTTTTTTTTTTTAACCACTAGTAGTTATGAAACATATAATATTATAAGTTTTTAGGACTTTTCAATAATATTTTTTTGATTCACTACTATTTAGATTAACAATAATACTGTCTAACACATTTATTTATAGAAACTATTTTTTTTTTTAAACATGAATGATATATAAATATGAGAATCTATTAAATTAATACTTTATCATCAAAAACAAATCATAAGCAAAATAAATAAAATGAGATATATAATTTTGAGTGTAACACATAATTTTTCAGTTTCCTGTAGATGGTTTAAAAATTATAACATGAAGGTTGTCATTTTATTTAATGGAGTGTCATATTGAATAACTATACTAATAGCGAAATTCTAGTGGCAGTATAAATGATTTAAATGCCAAATCAAGGGCTCACACAAAAGAAATTAAAATAGTAATGTAGAAAAAAAAAACACAGCTACAAGAGAACCAAAAACCAGAGTAGAATGATATTTTATTAGTTCAATTAAAAGTTTAATCGTCATCATCTTCTTCATCTTCAGATTCTGCTTCAGCCAACCAAGTCAACCATGTATTTACTTGGAATAATGCTTTGCCTTTACCAGGATATTCATCTGTTACATCTTCACGCCATTTAAAGAATGCTTCTTCCTCTATAATTTCTAACTCATACATCAGATTAAACCATCTTAGCAACAAACCTTTTGGAAAATCAAGTGAATAGAAGTACATTTGCAATGCATAAATAGAATTCATTTGTAAATCAATGCGGTTATCAAAAAATGTTCTCATAATTGGCTTGAATTTCTCCAAGAGGCTCTTTTCTTTCTCTAGATCTGATTTAGGGGCATTCAATTCAGTACTATTGGTCTCCTGTGTTATAAATTTTGCCATAACTGTAGTTAATGCAGTTATAAAACCCGGATCAGTATAATGAGCAGGGTCTAAATTTTCCTTGATCCATTTATAAAATTGTGTCGGACTTGAATCACTAGTTATTTGTTTCCATAAGTCAGACTGTATGCATAACAATGGAAAAAGGAAAGTTAAATTGCGTTCTTGTAAAATGTCTGCAAGCTGTTCTTTAGTTCTTAACGACTCAGGTAATGTATTTAGTATATTGACTTTGCTTTCTTTAAATACTGCTGTTAATTTGTTTTTTCCAATAACTTCATTCAACTCTTGGAGAACCATTAAAAATGCTGGATATCTTTTACCATTTTCTGATACTTTTGCAATTTCTGTTATAGAGGTCACATTTTGGCAAATTTCACCAGCATATTTCGAAAAACGTTTGTATAATGTTTTATCATCATCAGACTCATATTCAGGCCCTTTCAATACAAAATGTTTTAGGCAATCAATGGCAATTGCTTCAGAAACAATATTTTGTTTCTTGGTCTCTTGAATAAAACGGAGTAATAATTCTTCATCCAAATCTACTCGTTTGCGAAGTCTATCAAAAAGAAGGACATACATGACATCTGCTAAAAATTTATCCGGTACTTTGATTTCTACAAATGATTTTGCTGCTTTAACAGCATCCATAGATGGATCAGTACCAAGTTTATCCAAAACATCTAATCCTTTTTTAATAGCTTCTTCTTTAGAAACACCCTTATCTTTTTTAAAATGTTTATGTTTTTCATGTGAATTTGGTTTGATCTGAATTTGTTGTACATCTGACTTTATATGATTCGATTGACCTATATTAGTCATAGATATTGGCGGAGGTTTTATTTGAATAGGTTTACATAACATACTATTAGCAGGCGGCCGTAAAGACATATCTTCTGGTTTAGTACCTTGTTGCGCACGCAAGAGCTTTTTAATATTAGGACCAAGGTCTTTCATGTTGTTATTGTTCATATTGCTATTAGTATTTATATTTTGCTGGGTATTAATTGTATAGTTTACTCTAGCTGGTGAATAATAAATATTGCTGCTGGAATTAAGATTTAAAAGTCCCTGGTTTTTACGACCATTAACATTATAAAAATTACCAGAATTAGTAAAACCATTAATTGAATTGAATTTATCTGGCATTGTCGAGTTAAATGGTAATACCGGAGTGGAACTTATCATATCATCTCGAATTTTTAGTGAACGCCTAAACATTTCTTTTGACTGGTTCACATTTTGCATTTGGTTGTTTCTCTGATTCTGCCCATTTGTCTCTCCACTCACAATATCAGTTACCTGTAAACAAATATTTAATATGAATCATATTGAGTTTTTATGTTAAATAATACGCACAATGCCTATAATAGCGTTTTCTAGAGGTGTTCAGGTCAATTTTCAAGCTATTTATGAGCATTTTAAATTAATTGAGTTTTTTATATTCTGAACAAAGCTGGTTTACAATATTTATTTATTTATTATTGTTTTTTTTTTTTTTTTTATCCCTAAAAAACTTTTCTTCTACCAGAATTCTTGCTCAGATGTGGCAAGTGTAGTATTTATTCTGAAAGGAAATTTAACCTGGGTGATACATTAGGAAAGTAACTTTTTGATTTTCCAAGCGGTTTTCTCAACATTTAGGAAAATGTATAATATTTATTATTCTTTTTTTAACATTCAGATAGAAAAATTATACTTGCCTTTTCTAGGCGTAAAATTTTGAAAACAATTTAATTTTGGGAATTTGTATTACCAACATCACTTTTATTTGGTACGTACTCTGTGGATAAAATTGTTATAACTGTTGTAAATTTGTTATTTGAATATGAAATATACTTTTTTTTCAAAAAAGGTGACCTATAGAAATTATTATATTTTTTAAAATGGCACATATGATATTAGTTCAAGAGTTTATTTAGATAAATTAGTGTTCAAAATACTGAATGAATCACTAACCTGATCCATGAGCATTGGACCTTCTGTGGTAGTAGCTTTCCGCGGTACCCAGTTGTCCTTTCTCAATTGCATGGTGTCCAATAACATAAATTTGATTCTCAAAGGCAGTTCAGGATTTTCAGCATACTGAGCAATTCTATCAAAATACTGATTCATCAGTGGTTTTGCTTTTTCTGTGTCCAATATGCGTCCACAAGTTTTCATTATCTGACACAAGCACTCGAGGTCCTCCGCCGCGTCCTTGACATTGGACTTCCGCGGGAATAACTGTTGAATGCACAAGTGCAATATTTGTTCCGCCACGATCTCCAACTTGCCAAGTTCGCCGATGAAGCGTATGTTGCCCAACATTTTACGCTTAGCCACCTAAGCAAAGAATTGTTCATAAAAATTAAAATCTACATCACATTCAAAAAGTATAAAAATAAAAATATTTTATGATAATTTTATTTTACATAGATCATGCTACAATTATTTCCCAAACTTTCAGATATACTTTTATTTTAACATATACAATATATATATATACATATCAAAAAGTTATGCATGGTTAACAAGACAAAGCAATTACTCATTGGCATAACCTCTAGTTACGCTTTAGCTTTTTAATAAAATTCCCTGGAATAGATTGGAAGTTTAGAGCAATGATTAGTGGGTTAGAGTGGTTTGTAAGACATTTTTGCTACTTCTTATACTGTATGAACTTTTAATAAGACTTCATACCCGCATGTTCTGTCATAGTCTAATGGGCAATATAACAAAATCTACCTTATGCAAATTGTGTATAACTCGTTTGATTTTGGTTCTAGAATAAAATCATTTATTCTAAAATTAAAAGAAGATAATATTCTGGATGGCAAAACTGGGCATTTTTCTTATTATTCTAATTATTCTAGATAGAACGCTTAAAAATAAAAACTAATTCATGGATTTTTAAATGACTGTAAAATTTTAAAAAATATATACTTTCTTGATATCTAGAATAATACATTATTTTAATTTTATAAAAGGTTCTTTTACTCTAAAACCAAAATTAAGCAAGTTCTACACAGACTGCATAAGGTAGATTTTGCTATATTGTACGTAAGTTAGACTGAGATAGCACATACAGGTATAAAGTGTGATTTAAAATATTAATTGGACAAATGCAATCATTTATAATGAAGTTGATTGGGAATATTTGGATTTTTTAAGTGTTAGATTTTTTTTTTTTTTTGCTACTCCCCAGATCCCATATGATCAATTAGTTTAAGTTGGTTTTTGTACATTATTATTACTTTTGTATTTAGATTATTTTTAGATAATCTTACTTTTAAGTGTAAAAATACTTTTTGCCTGGGATTGATCAGGGGTCGATTTTTATTTGACATATTCAGCCAAAGTTAATCTTTTGTCTAAGTCTTAAACTCAAGTTAAAACTAGAAAATGGGATAATTTTATTGTTTGAATAAACTGAAAGAAATATAATTTTATTGAGAGTGAAAAGTTATATGAGAAGATTTTTCATTATTTATTTTTATTCTCCATTTGATAAGAAATTTGAATGATTTAATCTTATTAAATCTTAAAAATAAACATTCAAATATATGTTTAATTAAACTATTAATTTAAAATAATGTTTAATTTGTATTATGTTATCTACCATAAAATATATATTTTAATAAAATAAAATTGGGTAAACCTTTATCTCATACAAGTGATTATAGCATCAAAATAAGTGGTGAAACGTTAACTATAAGTAAACTAATAAGGAACAATATACACTTTATATTGTTTCATCATTAAATTTGTACAGATGATTTCAAATTATATAAGAGACAAAATGTCCTATGGTCAATTGAGTTTTAAATTTTAAAGGGAAATAATTAAATATAGCAAGACCCTAAGATTAATATAAAAAGAATGTAAGAATGAAATAAGCATTTGTATTGATTAATAAAATGTGTAAGTGATAAAAAATCAATTGAATCCTATTTATCTAACCTGTCGTCGTTCTTCATCTTCTGGAGATAATGTAGTTCCATTGTCATTGTCAAACTCGGCAGTTGCTTTAGAACGGTTATCAAATTCGACCTTACACCTTTTTAATAATAATTCTCGAAAAGTGTTAGGATCTTGATCGATTAAGAAATTCGATGCCTCGTCACTGAGTCGTTTGCACAGCTGTGCATACATAGAACTATACTTAGGTTCATCGAGAGCTTTTTCGAAAATCAAAAATATGACACCCTTCAATACAACGCTGGTATTCAAGCCAATTTGCAAAATATCATCACTCAGTTTTTGAAATTTATCTGGCGTAAGTTTATTAAGAATGCCGCGAACCTTGCGAAACACGGCATCATTAGTTTCCTCTTGGGCGAGTGCATCGCGTCTGATTATCGAGGGAGGTATCCAACGCGGTTGCTGATTGGATTCGGAACGGGCGTCGTCCCTTCCTCCGAAGACACGAGAAGCACCCCCGCGTTCTGCGTAGACGTCCGTCGTGTCTTTACGTGTCACCTGCGGGGACGAATATGTCTCCTCCTTCCTCGTATCCAACAGCAAACCGAATATATCAGTATAAAACACCACTATAGGTGTATTGTAGTAGTAGATACTTGTAGGTAAATTTAAGTATACAAAAACTATCAATTGAATATCACAGCAATAATTTCATTCAAATCTCTAGAACAAAAACACAAATATATATTTAAATAGCAATATTATATTTAAAGAATTTTAAAAATAATTATAAATACTGAAAATAAATATGTTAAAAGTTAAAACCTATAACAAAGACCCTTACATTAGATTTACAGTAACAAATATGGTAGTAGAAAAAAGAGAACAAAAATTTAAAATCTTTAAATTAGTAATTAACATACCTATACGATTATTAATCATCGATGATGACAGTATACTATACTATAATTTATAATAATTATCTAGTATAAATCATGGTTTCTTATTTAGATTGTGATAAGGTTTCCAGTTACTATATTATTTGAGTTCTATTCACTTAAACTATAAATCAGGGTTTAAGTTAAACATAACTTACAAATTGGGAAAATTCAAATATATGTATAACTTCAGTAAGTCGTGAAAAATTAAGTAAATTTTATTGTGTTTTTTTTTAGTTAACATTTGTCAACAGTCAAAAAATATCATTTAAATAGAAAATTTTTAAATCCAATAATGGTAGCGAGAAAGGAGGCTTTAAAGGGTATACTTATAAAACCAAGTAAAAGGGATAAATTGAGGGAAAAATACTTAGAAATAGTCAATAAAAAGTCTAAAAACTAACCCTTCTGTGACAACAGAACATAATCATGCTGCAAGTGAATCCAATGTCAATGTACAGTTTTACAGATTATTAATAATCATAAATGTAAATTACTAATTTAAAGATTTTCAATTTTTGTTCTTTTTTCCAGGATTCACACTATATGGACTAGGTATCTTTTTTTTTTCTTCTAAAAGTAAATAACATATGTTGTTTTTATTTTTTAATAATAGTATACCTAGGAGTATACTAATTGAAAAATGTAATTTGATTTACAAAGTGTTTTAATTTAATTTAATTTATTATTTTTTTTTTTAATCACTGTGTAATTATATTGCACAGCAATAATTGCTCAAATAAATAACAAGAATAGGTAATTAACGTATATTAAGTAATTTAAATTTTTAAGTTTTTCAAATATTCTACCTACATAGAAACTTGGATTATAAAATTTAAATGATTAACAAATTACAAATTCTACAGGTACTTAGTATTTTTTAACATTCCTTTGACAACTAATTTTATCATTTACAAACAAGTGTATCAATTATCATTTACCAATTTACTTAAATTAACCAAAAGTTGTTAAATCATTTATAATATTATAAAATATTGAAAATGAAATAAAATAATACTATAAAAAAGTGTTTACAAACATAAAATCATTATCTATAAATTATAATAAATTGTAGATACTTACCTGATAAAATAATTTATTAACAGAAACAATATTAAATAAAATTTAATAATTGAATTAAATGAAAATGAATATTTAATAATATAAGGTTGTCATAACTAGATTCATCTGGTTTCTACAAAGATTTAACATACCTATACATTATTTGGTAAATTGCTAAGATATAAAAATGCATAGATTATCGATTTCACATTCTCTATATAGGTATCTGAATTCAACTACCAAATCAAGTCAATAGCATAATAGAAAATGATCACAAAAAATAATCATTATATCACTTTTAATCAACTATAATAATTAATATTCTACAATAAAAATAAGCGAATAAGAATACAACATAAATATAAAAAAAAAAAATCTAGGTATAAATTAAAGGTTAAGATCGGGTTAACAGTGTCAAAAAATAATAATGATTTGAAAGACGTACTCAACGGAATTTAGCGCTCTGAAATGAACTCTAGAAATAACCCACGTACCTAACTATAAACCAAAGAACGCACGCGGGGGAAGGAAACGTCGTGACTGTCGTCGTCCCCTCGACCACCGGAGAGGGTATGTATTTTGTGACAAACCTAATAAAATAGGTCGATCGCAATCATCAAAAAGATTTCCACCGATCAACAGGTAAGAACAGCGTATTAAATAATAGCACCTAGGAGACCGTGGACATAAATCGAAACATCACCACCAATCTACAGATACCCGACAACGATGATGGCAGACACCAACAAACGTGTATGCTATACACACTGACTGTTGTCGACACTAACGCTGTTAGTTATTTACCTTTACTAGAAGAAATCCATGGCAGAGAACAGAACACGATCGGTGTAAATACGGAAAACAAATTACAAATGTAGAAAACTAAATATTATCTAGCGCGAGTACAACGGAACAAAACAATAAATAAAACAAATAGGAAGTAGGTACAACATTATAACATTCTAGAAAATCGACTTACGTACGCTGCTGCTGCGTTTCAGCGTTTGTCTTTGTCGGGCAATCATAATGGAAATTGATTGTCATCGGTGGGGATGATTGGGAGGAGCCATAAGCGACATCACACGGTAGGTAACTATCGATATCCCAAGCGACCCTGAGGCGGTGTTAACAACCGTGCGCTGTCAGCATGACCAACGTAAGTTTGTCGTCTTGCCATGCACCGCACACCGGTGCACGCACTGTTTTTGTAGTGTAAAGTGGGTTAGACAATAGATAATCACTTACACATCAGCTATACGGGATATTCAGCATGAAAACCCGTTCCGGTGGTATAATTTTATTTCGACGACAGAAACACACGAGATAATAAACTGAGTGTTTTAATTGGCTGTCCTCGGAGTGCAAATTTGCTCTCCCACACTAGGGCTTTATTTCAGCGTATCTCTCTTGATCCGTTCTGACCGACCACCCCCCCCCCCCGCCAGTCCACGGGGTGAATCATCCGTTTAGATGTACAAGTTTATGTAGGTAGTGTACAATTACCGTACAATACTTTATTTTTGGTGAGGCCTTGCAGGCCGTTTGCTTGGTATCATTGATTATATATATATAATAATCAATGGTGATATACACCGCACGCGACAATGGTCATTGACCTATGGAAACGGTGCACGCGCCTGAGTGGCATTGGTCATTGCCATTTTTCATTTTACACGGTTTGACCATGGCCAACAACTACAATACTATCGTTCATAACAATTCATAATATTATATTATATAGGTAGGTAGGAAGTTGCGTATACCTATTACAAAGTAATTATAGGTAAAGTATGCTATCATTAAAATAAAACTAACTAGAAGTATATATTGTACAAGAACATGCACCCTTCCCACACCTAACACGTAAATGTACCACAGCTTTTCTACAAATTTGATTGGAGGGCTATGAAAATCCGGATACAATTTCTCAAACCGCAATAATCCCGAGCGTAATATCCCGAAAACTATCGATGATTCTCAAAATATTTTCATGAGTGTGATGTAATGGTATCACAGCTAGCATGGGAAAAGACGTAGTAGAATAAACTTTAGGTCCAGTTTACTAAGTGTTAACATACAAAAGAAACAAAAAAAAGCGGTCATACTTCATACGTAGGTGAGCCACTACTGTAGGTGAGAAGTTAGAAAGGTAGAAGAGGAAATGTAATGTATATTTGTACGTAAGGATTAAACATTGCTAACGAAAACGATTCTGAGCGAAATTCGGTGTAGTGTTGCTTTGTCAACAATATATAGGTATGTGACATTATGGTAAAATAATAACATAAAATGCATCATTTTACATATTCTTTAATAATATTTGTTTAATATTGTATTTATTTCCAGTTTTCCAGGCTTTTCTCATTCAGTGGGAAAACTCCTGAGAAAATCAAAATATGAACTCCTGAAACTACATCCCCACATCGATATCCTTTCAAAAAAGGTGCTACACTTAAAAATCGGAGCGAGATATCTGGTAGTAAATTGCTTTTCAAAAAAGAAAAAATAACATAATAAACATCTTTGTAAAATCATAAGATTCTTCGTCCACTCAAAATCTAAAATAAATATGTCATCAGTAATGAAATATAATCCATATTATCATGACTGAATGCAGGTGCAAATTTACAGGGGATCTAACTACCTCGACCCACTCCTCCATAGACACTGATATAATTTTAATAAAATGTCTTACAGTGGTATGTAAATACCTTTGAATTTCTTATGATTTTTCTGGACTATGTAATCAATTATATATTATTTAAGCGCTAATTTAATGATCCTGTCAGAAAAATTTGACTAATTTGGTTACAAAAAATGTCCAAATAATAAATACCCACATTAAATTGTTTCGTTCAATTTTATTATTATAAATAAATTTTTTGAGGAAGTCGTTAATAGAATCGGAATGACCTTCAAACAGTTTATGATCAATATTTAATAAATTAGGTACAATTAGGGATCATTGATTATAGAATAGAATCTTTTTAGCATTTTCGACAAAATGGTGTTTATTATAAAAACCCAACAGCCAGAAAGATCAGAACTTCAATAAGAAGTAATTATATTTTTTGCTTAATATATATTTAATGGACAAACTGTGAGGCAACCCAAGATGATGATCCGATGGTAATTGAATCAGTAAAATTTCTAAATAAAATAAATGTTAAAAGTTATTTACATTATCTTCTAATTTAGACCCAGAATGCTATTCTAATTTATCTTTTTGTTTTTTATCATCTGATGTGGACTCAGTTAATACTCATAATATTAATAATAATGCTACTTTGGAAGCATAGGCGCAACTAGGAAAGTGCTAGGGGATTTTTAGCACCCCTAAAAAAGATTGTTCTGTTACATATTTTGCAGGTTATTTGGGCTATAAATGTATTAAGAAATTTAATTATAACTATTATCAACTTGAATTATTCATATATACAAACTTAAATGATAAAAAGCAATTACTTTTACTTAAAAAAATTTTTACTTCAATTGATAACGAAAATGGTCTTAAAAGCGCCCTCTAATAATTTTAACAATGTAATAAATAAAATTTAAAATATTTATGAAAACAATTATAAAAACTATTCAAATAAAAAATAAATTTCAATTAATTGAGCTTGTAAAAAACAATAAAACAGTTATAAAGTGGATAGATGAATCAATGAAAAACTGTACAGTGCATAAAATGTATACAATTGAACAACTTTTAATATGCAAAATATTTAATAAAACAAAAATATTTTCAACCACATCAAAATTAGCTAAACTTTCAAAATTAAAAATATTAAGCCACATTTAAATAACAATAATAATAATATTTTCATAATTACTTATTCTTTTTTATAATTTTGTACCTATGAGAGTAGCTGCCAGCATTTACACACTACAGGAACCATATTATCACTAAGAGACTCAAGATATAAATGTGAAATCGGTTTATGTTATTATAATTATATATTAACCTATTTTGCACCCTTAATTTTAATATTAGAGTATATTGGCTTATTATCAAACTTAAAAGTGAGAATATTTTTTATGTTTATATGTCAGTTTTTTTTTTTATATTTTAATTTTTAAACAAGATAGAATGATTTTAAAATTTTAATATTTTATATATTCGTAACTCGCTTTAAAATTAAAATATCAAAAAAACTAACGCAAACATATATAAAATACACCCTAATGTTAAAACTAACAGGACACAATCAGTTTTCATGTACAAAAAAGTATAAATATAACAACATTAACCATAACATAAATATTATAACTATTGAGCATTGTAATTTATAATATAATACTATTTTGTAAATAATTATGTTTTTTTAACCACCATATCTTGTCAAAAACATACATATTATATCAATAACATATGTGCCCAAAATATACAATTTTGACAATAAAAATCAAATATTAATATTTAAAAATTATTCAGATACTAACAAAAACATTGGGCTCTTGGCTCCATCAATTGTCTTAAATAATATTGTTTATCAGGCACTAAATATTTTTGAAAATAAATTTCACAAATTTAATTTTAAAAAATAAGAGCAAAATTAATGATTTTGCTTAAAGAAGATAAATTAATATCTAGGTACTTGGATTAACGAAAGTGACAACAGGTATATCGATCATTATATTTATATTTTAGAAACCCCACCGAGATGTAAAATGTTTAGAATATCGAAAACATCAAGCTTATCAAAACTTAAAATCCTTAATAAATAAATCATGTACGACGTTATAATACTTTGATTACAATAACATTATTATCAAACAACTTAATACATTTAATTTTGTATGTTGTTATAAAATGAAATATTTCATGATGTATTCTTATAAATTTTAGATTCCGAGGTGAACAAGATATTTATTAGTTTTATAATGATGTTGATTTTTTTATGTGAATAAAACCTACCAGATAAAAACGATATTGGGTATAGCCCGAGATATATTAAAATAAAATAAATTTTGATTTCAATTCATTCTTTAAACTATTAATATTTATATTATATTTCTTTACTATATACTTGAGTATCACTATTAACTAAACTTCGCTCAGAATCAGTTTTTCGTTAGCAATGGTTTATTGTTGATAACATATATACATTAAATTGCTTTCTGCATCCTACTTTCCCAACTTCCCACCTACCAAAGTGGCTGCATCCATGTGCGAATTATATTCGTCCTTATGTAAATGATATTTATTTTATATAGTATGAGTATTTTTTTCTGTAAATAAAATAAAATAACATTTTTTAAATACCAATAGTAAATGTAATTTACCTAATAATTAAAAATTACGATAATTATAATTTTACTAGAAAAATGTTCTATTGTTGTAATATTATTTATATATATTATATTGGAAATAATAAAATTATACCTAGTGTTTATTTATACATACAAAATATAACTAATTACTAATTACGGCCGCATCAACGATATGGTAACTACTGGATTACTAAATATTTATTATTGTTGGGGGAAAAATAATTTTGTCGAATATTACTGCGCTATCTCACGGGAGCCCGTACAACTATAATTTTGGTTGCCAAATATTTTGATGCCATCTGTCTATTCCATAATCAATGGTAGGGACTATTTTTTATAGGGAGCAGATCAATGAGAGAATTAATGCAGCAGAAAAATGTGAACCGTTTACGTTTGATTGGTCCGCTAGATCGCAGTGTAATATATCAACAAATCATTGTAAACAAATACTTACTATAGTAATACAGTCCTTTAATGTGGCCAATTGATTTTTTTCCCAGTTTAAAATTTTAATTCAAAAATACCGAATTATTTTATTTATGGAGAATTAAAAAATGTTATTAAGTATTCTATTGTTTACATCAGGAGTGTCACTTCTCATTATATCTATTCTGTTATATTAACATATTACTCATGGACTAAGATATACAGGTGTAGACACGAGGTAATTATTATGGTTACAAGTTGGGCGGAGTACGAGGGAATTTACCTTTCTATCGGAAATGTGGCCATCTAATTTGGTGTGTTAAAACACGGTCTTAGAAGATAATTATAGATTATCTATAGTCGTGCTTTAAAATAACCATGAGCCACAGATATATTATTGTATGCTTAGTAATGACGTCAGCCGTCATTTGTGAATAGGTTAATATTTGCTAAAATAGACCTTTTTTTGAAAATACCTAAAGGATCTATCTACCTATATGATATTCACAATTCTCATATTTCCAATTATTCCAATTAAATAGTTTTTTGATATTTTTTTCAAATAAATTATTAAAAGATGCATTCAAGGAGTGTATTTTAATAAGTTTCATTTTTTATACCTGGTGTTATAAGTTTTTGAGAGTTTTGAAATTTTTTTAATTTCTGTTATCTATCTTTTTTTTCATATTGTGAAAATTGTCTCATCCTCATTCTAATATAATATATTACAGTAAATGAAATTACATCCCCACCATGACTTGAACATGGGCAATTTATTGTATTTTCAGACATCAAATTGAGAATATGAGTTCAAATGCATGCGTGAATGGAGAATGTTTTATGAAACTATATACGATTTTGTTTTGATGAAATCAAAATAGAAAATGTTTGGGTGTATCAATCGTCCCTTCGTTTTCATGCGAACTAATGAAGAACACATTTGTTTAGAATAAACTTGTGATGTTACAAAAGCCGACTTACAAGTATTGTATTCACCAATGTATTTCAACATTTATTTAGATACCTACTCTATAAAAGTAATTGATTTTTAATATTTAATAACATTTTACATATAATAATAATATACGTATCACAATATTTTATTACATATCAGTTAAATAATATATATTAGACAATCTATGAATTCACCCTTTGTATGATTGTGTTTAACAACTTCATCAAATTCCCTTTTTTTTTTTTTTTTCAATTAATTTTGACTTCTTTAGTTCATAGATACCTTTTCCCACATGGATACCTATCCACACCAGCACATCAAATATATTTACTGAGCAAATAACATTTCCTAATTTATCAACAATATCCTTTGATCTTATTATTTGGTCATCCCAAAAATGTATTTTTACAAATAACCTCATTGTACTAAAATTATATATGCCTAAAGATTGTAGCCATTTCTCTTTTAAATGTTTATTTTTAGGAATATTAAAACTGGAGAATTTCTCAGAGTTGTTACAATGGAAGTAACAAATTTTATTCAGCATTTTCAAATTACACTTAATAACTTTAGTTAAAATAAGACACACCCAAAATCAAATACATATGTATAAAATAGGTTTATAGTCACCATTAGACAGCATAGACAAGAATACTACATAGTAGACAAAATTATGCAGTTTAAAATGTTTGTATCAAATTATGTTAAAATTATCGATTATTTGCATAAATTGATATAACATAAACAAAACAATAATATTATAATATAATAATACAATCTAAGTAATTTGAATTATTTTTGGCAGGCTGTTCTTAACTTCAAAATAAGTCTACCCAGCAGCGATATTACTATAACGTTTATGGTAGTCAGGAAAAAAACGTCACGGGAAAAAAAACAATGTGTATACTACGTACTTTTAATTTTAGATTCTGAGTGGAGCGAAGAAGCTTATGGAGCATACAATGATTTCATTATTTTAACTTTCAATGGCTTCTGTTTTTTTTTTTTTTACTCCCTTCCAACCATTAATTTTCTTACCACAAAAATGACCGAAGTTAAAAATAAATTAAATAAAGTTTTTAGTAAAAATGAAAATAAAAAAATACACATTATACAATCAATATTAATTAATATTAACAATTTTTCTATATAAGGTATCAGTAAACAATAATAAAAATGCACTCATTACTATTATAAAAGTATAAAATGCTATTGCTATTATTATAGAATTATAATTAAAGACCAGATTTAATTGCATTTAAAACGTACACAAATTGCATATTAAAATTATATAATTGCACCTAAATATAGATAAAAATTGCACTATAAATATGCACAAGTTATATAAAAAAAAATTAGATAAATGTTACTTTTTTAATTAAAATTGATAATTAGATACATTTCTAAATTATTTCCATTAAAATTAAATCCTCTATTATTTAAAATATATTTGTACAAAGAAAAAATTAGTTCTGCGTCTATACTAGTTATTGGTGCATATTTGAAACAATTTAATAAAGTAGGCGTTATATCTAAATTAGCATTTGCTTTACCTGACATGACTTCACAGTAAGTTGTATACCCATCATTTTTTTCAATTACATACATAAATTTTTCTTTCATTTTTTTCCCATTTGGACCAGGAATATTTGTTAAGATATCTTCAATTTTTTTTTAAAAATATCCATGCTTTTCAGTAGTTCACTATTAGACTCTTCCAAATTTTTAAGATTCGTGGGTAATTCGGATAAGTGTAATTATATGAATGCGAAACCATATTTGACTGATTATTTTATACAATCTATTACAGCTTTTCGACACTTGTAGCATCATCTGTTAAACTTTCAATCAAGTTTTTAAAGTCTACAAAATTATTTGCATAGAGAAGTGCAGCATATAACTATGTTTCCCATCTTGTAATAATAGGTTCGGGTGGTAAAGGTATACCTGGCATTTCTTTTTTGTATTTACTTATTCTCGATGGTGCTTTTAGGAAAGCTTTTTGTCCTGAAATAAACGAAATAAGTTACATATGTATTTAAATTTTAAATAGGAACTTAATATATTACCATTGTTAATTTATTAATGTTGGGATACAATTTTCAAATTTTCTCTAGAACTCAACTGCGTACACCATGCATGTAATATGAATTAATTTCGAGAAAAATATTTTTAATTATATAAATACCAACATCACTAATAAAAAGTAATATTTTTTTTTCAATACCAGGAATTATTTTTAACTAGAAAAAAATGAACCGATAAATAATTTCATGATTGGTGGATTCTAGTTCTTTACATGCAACTAAATATGATTTACTAGGTGTCCCATCTAATTTACCAATTAATAAATTTACAATAGCCAAACCTAAACAAAAATAGTATATTTCATTATGTGTGAAATTAAAAAAATTATTTATACAAACTTCTTGGATCCGTTGTTTTGTCCACAATTATGTAAATGTAATTATTTCCAATATCACTAATTATTTGGTCCATAACGCTTCTATAAATAATTGATATGTAATTTTTTTTAAAGTGCTTTCGTCCGAAATTGATTTGCCAGTATGTTTTTCCAAAAATGATTTTATCACATGAATGCCCAGCTTATGTAGAGGAATATTTGCAGCGACAAATGCATTACATAAATCTTCAAAAAATTCATTTTTACTATTTGAAATTTGGTAAGTAATCAAAAGCTGTTTTTTTTTCTTTATTCCTTTGTTATGCATTTATGTTTTAAACCAAAAAAAAATACATATATTTTTCAAATAATATATAGTATACTACTTGTAGTATGAGTAAAAATACGATGATCCAATAGATATTTTTTTAGCAGATACAGATTTTTACATACGAGACAGTATGTAACCTTTCCATCTGATGAAAATACTTCTTTATTTTCATTGTAAGGAGCAATCAAATTTGAAATTTTACTTTTTAAAATTGATTTTTTTTTAGGCATTACATCGATTATGTTCACTGTGCGGTCAAACTGATCAAAGAAATAGGTATTAAGGTACAAATAGATAAAGGCACACGAATCGCTGTACTACCAAGTTGAATTTAATTACCACCATATATATATGTAGACGCTTATCGCTCGCTGGGCTCTCCAAGCTTTTAGAAAATTCGACGAACGATAAATGATTTAAAAACATGGGAAAATTGCAAAAACGTCGAAAATTGAAAAAAATTGCATTAAAAAATTAAATTGGCAGAATATTTTTAGTATATATCGACTATCTATTAAATCAGTTATGATTTATCTTTATTGTAAAAAAAAGTTGCAATATCAATTAAATCCGGTCTTTAATTATAAAAAATAAATTGGTTTTTTTCCGTGATTTATTTTTCCCATAGATTTTTTTTTCCTGTTGATTATTTTTCCTATGGCTTTTTTTCGTGTATTCATATCTTGATACAGCGTAGGAAGCAAAAATTATTTAAGGTTGTGATAAGAATTTTGAATGTAAAGTTATATTGTAAAAATTATTGCATAGGCATATAAATTATCATTGATTATATTATGTATACAATTTATAATCATTGCTATTAATAATAATTATTATACTTCTATTTGAAATTAATACAATGCTATAGTAGTATCTAATTAATAGTACCCGAGATCTATACAAATTGTTTTCTAAAGTTAATATTGACAAATGTGTTAATAACATTTTATATTTAAGTAATTCATAATATGAGTTTTGATTACATCTATAAACAATACCAGAGAAAGAACTTTTTACAATTATTTTTAAATGATCTGTGCTCATAACTGTAGTCTGTAAGAGAATTACATTTCAATTTTTGATAAATAATATATCTGATAATTTATTTTAACTTGTAGTCTAGTGGTCTACAAATATTATGTGACTCATTAATAACTTTTACATTTATAATTACAAAGTTAAACTTATTTTTATACAAATGGAGATGTTTTAGGTACTAAATACTAATGGTAACTTTATCATTTTTGTGATTAACAAAAATGATAAAGTGATTGAAAATGTCCGATATCACAATAAAGTATAAAATACAGTGTGACCATTTTTTTTCCTGCTTTTATTTAAGAACCAACAAAATGTATTATATTACGCTGCTCAAAGTTCTTCGACAGCTGATTGTAATGATAAGTCTGATAAGAATCGTATTTTTCATAACCACCCAGTGTAACTAACATTGTGATAATATTTGTATACAATCTTATAACAGTAGGTACACTACATATTATTATGCTATTTCATACAGTCGAATAGTATTAAACTTGAAGGTATATAAAATATATTTGGTTTAATGAAAATCATTAAAATTTGTTTTTTTATAGATGTAGTCATTTTTAAACATTCTGTTCATAATTATAATTGGATGATAAAAAACCAACATAATTTTTAACTAATTGTAATATAATACTTATGGAAGTAAAAATGTGAATTCTGTTTTTTTGTCACTCGTCAAGAATTTAATTTTATTAATTCGATACATCAACAATATTCATGGTTCAAAATATATTAATTAGTAGTAATATTATAAGGGCAAATGTGTAATATAAATACATTAAAAAAAACATAATAATTATAAATTTATAACAAAACAAATTTTAAGTGGTTAAAACTTGTAAATTAAATTAAAATAAATATATAAAAGTAAGGTTGTTTTATTAAGAGCAGCTTTCAAATTTTAAAAATCATCACCTGATAACCTAGAATAACCAAATTTAATTTATTTAAGTAAAAATGTTTTATAACTTGACTTGATAGTAAATAATAATTAGGCAATGAAAAATGTTAACTGGACTTCTAGGTTATAAGGATTCTTATTAATAATAGTAAATAATATATTAAATATTTATTATCAATATAAATTGATTCTGTGATAAGATTTGATTAATGATTTCACAAACACCAAAACCTAAGTGTAATTCACTTCAAGGTCATATATCAGGTCTCCTAGTTTGATAAGAGATCTAACCTCAAATGACCGACAAATCGAAATCTAAGTACATCAACTTGGAAACATAAAAACTTTATTTAGTAGAAATTGTTTATGTTTTAAATTTGTAATTTGCTTTTGCTTTATGTATTAATCTATGCTCTCATTTTCTTTTGTCTATGGTGAACAAAGTTTATATTCATGTTCACCTATTAAATTGTGGTTGAAATAGCAGTTTAAATAATAGAAACATTTAGATAATTAATTGATGTATCATAAATTTATTTTAAAAGCCTTCGTGTTCCCTAACTTGTTATCTGTTGAAAGAATTATACAGAATTGAGTTCCCAAAATCAGCTTCTGTTTAATTAACATACCTTTTGATTCAAGTAAAATAATTTCTGGATTTACTCGTGAAAGTATGGTCTATTATAACCTTAGATCATAGATAAACGTTAAACTGTTTTTCTATTAAAGTGCGAATACACTTTGAATACACTAGTCTTCAAGGCCGTCAATTTGTTGACCTTAATTTCAATTTTTTATAACTGGTGTTTTTTTTTTTGCTGTCATGTTTCTTATCACACTGGGAGTAATGAGTGTATCCCTAACTTCAAAGCTAATCAACTATCAGTATTTTTTATTATAAGAAATAT